ATGCTCTTGTTCTATGTCATATATTCAAAATGATAAAAAGTAATCCATTGTATTAAAAAAGAAAGAAATGAGGACTGAAAAAATGTACTTTTCATCACGATTTTTGAGTTTTCATTTTTTACAAATAAACGAAGCTGCAACATATTGTAATAAGTACCAACAAAACTGTGGGACACAATTAGGAATATATGATAAAATTAAGAATGATATTAAGTAAATGAGAAAAAATTCTTTAAACGTTGGTCAGTTGCCCCGGTCTCCCTTATCACGAATGCAAATTAATAATATTGAACCAAAAAAAAGTTTCCAAGTCGTATTGCGATCATATACTAAGCGAACATCGCCCTCGCCGATATGGTGATGTCATTCTGTCCGACCGGGGCTTACGCAATGAAACTTTCATTCATCTCGAGAGTCCTCGACTCCTAAACGTAAACTAGTGTAATTACTCGGGAAGACGTTGTCATCATGTCATTCCAATGACTAGAACGGAGTCAAGGTTGCTGCGAAAGTGCGGAAGCTGTCATTTACCATCGCGAGAGGAATGACACGATTCGTTTCCTCTGTCAAGGTTCTGCGTGGTTCCGATGCAATCGCGGGTGATGTAATGACATTGCTGACAGTGAACTACGCACATAAATACCAATTGCAAACGCAACTTGGCAAAAAGGCAGGACTATGCGTAGCTAAAATATACAATGATGGTAAATATAAAAGCAATTGTCGATCACGGCCATCTTACAACTGCGACTAAATACTGTCGCCAGTTGATCGAACACATCTAGATCAACATTGAATGTTTTTTACACGATTTTAATTACTTCATCTAGAACCTAATTGCATTTTTACTTGAGCTAGTTTGCAATGTTACTTGATTGTATTGCATCTTCAGCATATGTTATGTGATGTTCGTAAAAATGTTTAGTCTAACTTGAGTAAGACATCTCTATCTTGAAGTTTCTGCAATTAGACTGTCTACGGAGCCAGGTAATTCGAAGCTTCGCTTCCTTCTCACCTTACAAACGGATGTAACTTACACGATTTTCCACCGAGAATTCAAGATTCAAATAAGCATGGAAGGAACTATTTTCGGAGAGTGGGTCATGGGAACTAATATTGTAAAGTTTGGGAGGCTTGAAGCACTTCCAGTTAACGTAAGCAAATCGAAATAGACGCCTAAAATGGACGCCCTTCTACGCGAGTCGGAGAACGATAGGTCATTTTAATATGTGACATCATAGTTGCGACATAAAGATATTCAAGTTCTCTGAGGGGCACTAATATTAAAATATTAACATCATTGTACCCTGCACTCACCACGTGGTCAATAACATTAAGACGTTAAGCGCTGTATGCATTTTTTTTAATTGCACTACTGCTCTTTTTTTACAGGGTCCCGAGTATAGTAGCGCTTAAGGTATTATGGAAATGTCATATATGTATATCAAAACGTCAAAATATTTTTAAAACTTTTCTGCAAAATCGATGCAATTAACCCATTTATATCTCCTTAACGTGTTAATAGTGCCTAACAAGTCAGCCATCATTTGCATTTTCTTCGCACAATTAAGATCACTTAAAGTGAGATTAATAGAAATAACGTTACGGCCATTAAAGTAAGGATGTCACTGGACTTTATCTAATTGAACGTTTATTATTAAAAATACAGTTTCATTCTATCACGTATTCACATATTAAGGAGGAAATTATAATCGTTTCGTATTTACAATTACCATAATCAGAGTAGTTCATATAATCGCAAATGGTTTTCAGTGCGGTTATTTTATCAGATTCTTCGATATAAATCGTACCGTAAAATTGATGAGAAAATGAACTCCATGAAAGGACTAACCGGGAAACATCTTTCACCTAACGTAAAGCCCATTAACCCCTTTTAGTGATAAGGTCAATCGCGATACAAGAGGAGGAACGTGCAATGAATTCCAAGTATATAAATAGGATCTGAATTGTAATGTGGAAAGTAAATTTTACCGCAGCACGTGCTTTTAACCAAAGATCAGACGCGATAATATTCTTGTCACGTTGTTTAATACAATGTTGGCTATTTTATTATCATAAAAGACTCGGAGACTCGAGATAGGAAACGAAGTCAATTAAAGAAACAATACGGAGAAAATTATTTAATTATATCAATAGAAAATTAATACAGGTTATTTTACCAAGTGTATTACGTGCACCTTTTAATACACTACTTAATACACTTGATAACGCAGTTATATACTATTAACGTAACATATGATATCATGTGTATGTGACATTACTCGTTTCATAACGATGTTATATAACTGCGTAAGAAATAATAACATAAATTTAATATACGTACAAAATAAGTAGGACATCCATTCCTTTTAGTGAGATGACATTATTCCATGAGGATTGAAAAAGAATACCGGAAGCATTAGAGTAACCATTAATGTTAACAATGCTACTTAAGCAGTTTGCGCACGTGGAATGTGGCCATGAATAGGATGCGTAACTGACAAATGAAGACTTTAAATTTATGCACGTGATTACATCCCGGATAATTTATGTCAATGCTAAAACCATTGACAAAAACGATTAACATCGACAACAAGTAAGATTATTATGCCTTTGTTTAATTTCCTTATACTTGAATACGTGAAATATTTTGACATATATATATATATATCAATCTCACACAGCTTTCATGGCCGCTTCAGACGTTAACCGTGCTAATATATATAAATAATATATATAGAAGATGTACAATATTTTTGAAACTTAGTATATCTAAAACTTCACCAAATCTCAAACCGGCACCATTTTGACAACTTAACATACTTTTTCAAACTTTACTTTTTATTGTGAACGGACACTCTTCCTCTTTAAATTGACATGTTTATTTTGTCTGCTTAACTTATGGAGTTTGTTGCTAATGCTTTTTTGTTTCACCGCTTGTCCATCGGTGTCACCGCATTTATTACGGGAACAAAGATATAATTCTACGTTAAAAAGAAGAGCAACAAGAAGTACAAGTGAAATTCTATTTGTTAGGTGGCGGAATCATCCAGATTTACAGACTCCAAACCACCCAAAATTCATCAGCAAGCAAGTGACCACCCTTTTTTTGTACGTGCACTAAGTATTTACAGTAGCCATATCCACTGAGTAATTTACTCGTTATACGTGCATGCATATTTCTTGCAGCCATTGCCGTTTTTACAACATTGGCCTGCATCACTTAGTAAGTGCTAAACATGCATTTCAAGCACGTACGCGGTAAATACTTTTCCTATTTTAATCTTTGTGTGACTACCACATTCAGCACACAACTATTTGTGTAACAAAATACAAATACAATCAGTGTTCACATTAAGTTGTAATTAAAATATATCTTTGAATACAATTTCATTAACTGTGGCGTGTATCTCATGAAAAAATGTAAGTCCTCAAACGGTAGTGAGAAAGGTACTGAAACGGGAAATAGATTGTTTATAATTTAATGAAAACCACGGTAAACATAATACTCATTAGTGACGAGCAAATTCAAAACGAAAACCAAGCCTACCGTGGTTTTTGGTCTTGGTCAAAGTCTTGCATATTTGAGTTTAGGTCGTATAATTACAATCGGGTCTTTGTTTTGCGACAGGGCAAAAAAATCACCAAGACTGTAAAATCGAAACCGATTGTGATCATCTATATTACTATGAAATATAAAGAAATTATGTTTTTTCTTTTTTAAATTGAACTTTTTAACAAACGTTGTTCAGGTCAATTTCTAAAAATGACGAATGTAATGGTTATTTCAAAATTAATGCGTGGGAAAATTCTTTACGTATGCATGCGTTTAAAATAATTATTTTAGTAGCACGACTGCAAAGACTACAAGTACGCTATGCAATTCCTTGAGCTTAATATGCTTCGTTCTTTTTTTGGTATTGCTTCTGGTCTTGGTCTTGCACACTCAAACTTTGGTCTTGGTCTTGGTCCTATATACTTGAGTCTTGGTTTTGCACTTGTTGCATGGGCAAAAGTACATTTATAATTTTTCTCAATTTTAAACAATGTTTAGGAAAAGGCAGCATTGATGGTTTGATCGATTTGTGGAGCTTATTTAAATCAATTATTGCGCTTGAAGAATTTATTTATACATTTTTTATTCAGATTAACTGTGCCACAGCATTTCTTGATCTTTTTGGATGCACCTTACTTTGGAAGCATCTTCTTTTTCCGTAACATCTCCTATTCCGGCCTCGAGCTAGATGTACCGCTCCTTTAAAGTATCTCACATCGACCTCGATCTAAATTCACCGCTCTTTCAAAAACCTTAGAATAGAATATTTGTCAAACAGAACCTACATGTTGCACTTGGTAAATAGTCCTTACCATTTTATATACATTTCTTAACAAATTTACGCGTACCCAAGAATATTTGTTACAAGCATGCGGTTCCAGCTTATTATACATGCTCTAGAAAGGAAACAACTATGTTAGCAATTTTTTAGGAAGGTTATATGCTTAGTGCCACATTCCATCGTACAGGCCATTATAGTCAACGATTAGAAGGAGCGTTAAGGAGATGTGAAAGTGACATCCGAAGGGTTCATCGTTCATGTAACTTTTCCCTGAACTGGGTGTACCGAATCGTGTCAAACATTACATTGTGAATGTGAAGGCTATAAGGAAGGTCCTGACACTCATGAAATTTCATATTTTATTGCAAACTTTAAAAACATCTATGAACAAATCTTTTAAAAGTTGAAATTTCATGAGTTTCAAGACCTTCCTTGTACCCTTCATATTGATATTGTAAAGTTGGAATCGATTCGGTATACCTATTTCGGAGAAAAGTTTCATAAACGAGACCTCTTTAACGCCACTTTCACATCACCTTAATGTCAATTCCTGTAAACAATCATTTATGATCATGGCTAGTTGTATTTCCCTGTAAACTCATCGTCATTCAAGATTTATCCACCGTTTATCTGCAATCAGAAATGACATGATCTTAAACATACCGGAAGTGGATGTGTCCGGTGGCCGAGGAAGACATTCTGGTCGTGTACAAGAAGGCTGACGTTTAAAGAATGCCCTGATCCTCGAGCAACAATTCCCCATTTCTAGTTATCACTGTTGAATGTAGTTTTTTCAAAGTCTCTTAGTTAACAGCCACTACTTCGTACCTCCGTTTTAAATAAGTTCCAAAACTATTAAATGTACGGTGTTAAATCTTACTATCCTTAAGGTGTTATGAAACGGTCATATATATATATATGCACACCAAAAACTCAAAATATTTATAAAACTTTTCTCCAAACTCGATGCACTAAATAATTTGAAACTTCAGCACGTGATTATGAAGGCCGTAAGAAAGAACGAGATGCTCGTGAAATTTAATTTTTAAAAGAAACATTTTTTTACTTATCCCGGACTAGAACCAAGGACACATATTTTTGTTGAAAAATGAAATTATATGAGCATCGCTTTCTTCCTTAGGGCCTCCATAATCACGTGCTGCAGTTTCAAATGATTTAGTGCACCCATTTTAGAGAAAAGTTTTATAAATATTTTGACGTTTTGAAATATATAGAATGACCCTTTCAATTCATCTTAAATATAATAACTTTGATCTACAAGGTCTCCCCTGTTTTTTCTGTTACAATATGATTGAGTTGATACACTTAAAGGACTACTATCAATGCCGTTATAATAATAATCCGTACCATTTATTAATTTTTCCATACCTTCGATATTATTGTTACAATAAAGATCTGTGGGATCCTAAATTTATACCAAATGGATATTACAACAGGAACCGAATTGAACTCGGATTGATATACCATTATAGTTTAAAGAGACTATTGCTTCAAAATCAGTACGATTTAGGAAAGTCACGTTTTATACCTTTGTGGTAACTGCAGTTATACCAAAGGACTATTAAAATTTCACTAAGTGGTACTGGCAGATAATACGGACACCGAAGTACTTTTTTACAGCCAACGTCACCTTTGGATATGGCGGTGACACCGATGAGGACTCTATGGGAGAAATTAAACGAAGGGCCTCACATGTCACGCGCACAAAAAAATGTTCTCCGGAGAACGGGTGCGGAGGACGGCGGTCGCGTCGTTGGTACACGACCGACTGTTCAAAGGAATGGTAACGCTATTAGTATCGTTGCGTCGACTGCGATCGGATCTCCCGCCAGTCGCAGTCGAGACCAAAGATTCTCGACGCACGCAACAAATGCATAACCGGTATCACAAAAGCGAGCACGTGTTTTTCAACATTCGGAAGTAGTTACTTCCTTCTCTATCACATTGCTGTAAAGAATAATAACATCTACCGCATGATATTAGATATATTAGATACTGTTGATTAATCAATGTATCAATGTTTAAAAACTTACATTTTGCAATTTTTACACGTTTCAAATTATTTAAGATCCATGATCAAAAGGAGAAACATTCAAAGTAGTTAAGCCCTTTCCTATTCATCATTTTAAGCGTAATAGAATCTATTTTAGTTTAATTATGATACACTGAGCTTAATAGGAAACATAAATATGGTTTCAATACTTTTTGGGAAAAAATTCCAGACCAACACTAGTACGTTTATTTATTGTAACAATTGGCATGTTTAAGATGAGTATAAAATTACAATTACACAAAAATCATGCAATTGATTCTTACATTATTTTTTTACATCATAAACTAATCTAAGTCGATTCTCGAGACGTTTTGACTAACTTTAATGCGTTGTACAAAAATGAAAAATATATTTACATAAATAGAGAGTGATCCAATGATTTATCAGTTTTTCTCTCAGTGGCTTTGTTATCTTCTAAAACTATAACATTACGAATCAAGTCGTCCAACTGAACGAACAAGTACTTGTAAACGTAGTTGCCAGTCTCGTTCTGAAAAAAATATAAATGTTAAATGTTCAGACATCCTTTGCATACATATACATTAATAACTTTGTTAAATGTTAGTATAGAAACTACAAATGTTAACATTTAACTCGCGCAATAGAAATTATATTAAAAATAGCTATTTTGTATTCTCTAGTATGAGGCATATCGGGAAACTGTTTCCAAGAAAAAAGTAATACTTACTTCATATACTTCCAAATGAACGGTACCATGTTTACGAGATCCTTGAATAAAAAATTGCATTCTCATATGATTTACTCCATCTCTTTGATAAATTTCATGCCTAAAATAAATCATGATATATTCCATACAGCTAGATTTAAGAAAATCATTAAAAAATGTTAATTCCTTTTTATTATACTAAATATAATTCCTGGTTACTTACGCAGGATGATTACCACGACCTCTACGGTTTCTTGTTCCATGAACACTAATAGGTTCTCCTAGCGCATCGATCACCTTAGGATCAGTTATACATCGTTCCATAGCTGCCTTATAGACGCCATTAGGACTATTGGAAGAGAATAACTCTTTACCAATTGTATAACATACAACACTAGTAACACCAATGCCAAGAACAATCACTATCAAGTACCATGCTGACTTTACATTCTCCTTGGCTAAAGAAAAAGAATTAAACGTGTTTTTTTAAAATTAACATGCAGACAAAATATAATAGTTACAATTCATTTGACATATTATTGTATGCTCCTAATTCAACATATAAATATAGAATCATGTTATGGATTACATAAAATATATAATACATTTACCTACTTCCATAAAGCCTGTCTGTAATTGATTGGATGATTCTTTTGAGTCTACTTTTGTAACAGACTTTTGATTCCAAAACCCATAAGTGTGTATTGTATTACTTAGAGGATTAAGGAATTGCGAAGAAACAGTTATGCGACCAGAAAATACAAAATGGTTTTGTCTGATAAGAACATTAACTGCCCTTGATAATGCCATAGTCTGAAAAGAAGTCATTGTATTTAGCATGATTAAGTGGAACAGTTGACAAGACATCATTACCGATTAAATATATACCAAAAGTAACAATTATAGAAGTATATAAGTTTTGTTATCTGCTACAATGAAACTACTTTGGAATTACATTGTTTATTCAGCAACTTCAACTGTAAGTCAAAATGAATTTTTAATCATGTTGACTGTTTTAAAAATAAAGATACTTAATTATAATCATCGAAACTATTTTTAAGATAATTTTGAATTGCGTACAAACGTACATTTCAACCTTTTTCATGTTATGACAAAATGTACTTACAAATAACCTCTGAATTCAGAGTACATAAATATCAGAGTTGAGTTGGGAGATTGCTCACGGGCAGGGTCGCGCGATCGCATCCTGTGCTGCCCTCTGATTTTATACGGTACGGTAATTGAGGACTCCCGATTATCACAAAATCCTGGTCATCATAAAATCCCCAAACTCTAATAATCAATTTTGAAATTTATTAATCAACTATGTATTAGACATTTTGATGATCATACGTCAAAAATGTCTAATACATAGTTGATTAATAAATTTTAATAAAATCCTAATCATCATAAAATCCCCAAATTCTCATAATCGATTTTGAAATATATTAATCAACTATGTATTACACATTTTTGCCGTATGATCGTCAAAGGGCAGCACAGGATGCGATCGCGCGACCCTGCCCATGAGCAATCTGCCAACTCATCTCTGCTTTCAAAATTGGTCAGACAGTATCACGAGCGCATTGCTGGGGTCCTATTGAGCACGTCGAATATCACACGCACAGCGGCGCGTCAACGCATCCAGGATAACAAACCAATTTGAATTGTGACGGAAATGACGCAGAAGTTAAGCGCAGTTCTCATTGGTTAACGTCTGACGCGTTGACGCGCTGCACTGCATGTGAATCCCGACGCGCTCTGTGGGACTCCGCCCAAACGCGACGTCGTACAGTGCCATCTGTGTAACTAGATGCAAAGCATATCCTGTCGTTAGTAAAGCAAGCAATAGAAACGAAACACTTAAGAGTAGCCGACACTTGTTTAAATACGAATGTAATTGCAAAAAGATAACGCATCAACGAATATGTTATTTAATTATAATAGTATCGTAAATGGTTTGCTTCCTTTAGAGCAGTTCTAAATAATTAGATCATCGGTAATTAGTGTTGGTAGAAACAAAATAATGGCGGGCTAGAAGTTTAAAATGCTGAACTATCTATCGTAGCACAAAGCTGAAGGCACAACAATCTGGGAAAACACATGCGCCCACGTTTAAATATGGTCGCATGTCAATTTCTCGTGAACCTCTTGTTCCAACGTGACACGTCAAGGTGAATTATGATACGTAATTAATTACACTTTAACGTTGGCTTGCCCATATGAATAGTTACCAAAGTTACCACCACAGTTACCAAAGATATAACCTAAAAATATTGCGCCTTGAAATTGCATAAATTTATACTCACGTCATGCTTGGGAATATGTACTACCTGTAAACGCATGTATGCACACTTTGGCGATGTAGAATGGCCATACCATATGAAAATTACGACAACGTTACTCTTAATGATGTGCTCGGATGGGTTGCTTCTGGAGCTATGATCATCGGAGGAGTGGTTCCATATATCCCTCAATATAGGGAAATTCAAATTAAGGAAGACACTAAGGGTTTTTCCCTATATGTGTGTCTTGCGCTGCTCATCGCCAATACTTTACGTATCTTATTCTGGTTCGTACAAGATGGTAGTTATTGTAAATAAATATAACGAGGCTATTTATATTTTGAAATATTTTCACAGTTTTATATATGATTCTGTTAAAATAATGGTTTTAGGAATTGATAGTTTTCATTAAACAATTTGAATTACTAGTTTTGTTTAATATAATTGTATGAATTGAAATATATAGCCTTCATTATGAATCACAATGAAATTTATATTTGGTTAGTAATAAATATGTTTACCGCAATTAATTCGTTAAACATTTTTTATAGGTTTGGAAAGCGTTATGAAACTCCTCTTTTACTGCAAAGTGTTTTGATGATTATAACCATGCTAATTATGATTAGAACTTGTGTGAATATTAAAAATAAAAATCAAATAACAAGGTCAAAAGAACGTGTATTTACAGGTGGGTTTGACTTTATTATTAAAGACTATTACAGTTTCTTTCTTAATAAAGAATATCTCATTTTTCATATTAAAATCTAGTTTTGTATTTAATGCAGTTAAAGAGGATTTATTTTTAATTGTAAATATGAATTTACAGGTATAATGAATCTCTTTTTTATAATGTTTGAGGTAGACTTGGATACTAAATACTTTTGGAAGTGGACAGACTTCCAGTCTTATGTTATTTTTATGCTGCTTTTTGGAGCGGTAGGAGCTGCTCTCATGTATTTACTTGTGGATGTCTTAGTATTTGTTGAGATTGTTGGTTTACTAGCAGTATTAACAGAAGCAATGCTAGGTATTCCTCAATTTTTAAAAAACTGCCATAACAAGTCAACTGAAGGAATGAGGTAAGATCAAAATGCTTTGAAGTTAGTGCATTATATAAATTTTGTTTATAAACTGCAATTTATGTATATTACAATTGCAACCATGTAAATTAAAACTAAAACTATAAACAAATAATGCAATAATTTGTATTTAATTTTAGTATAACTATGGTTACCTTGTGGACATTAGGAGATACATTCAAGACTTGTTATTTTATACAAAGAGAAGCACCAGTTCAATTTGGAATTTGTGGTACTCTACAGATTGTGGTAGACCTTGCTATTATTACGCAAGTATACTTGTATAGGACAAATCCTGCTGCTTTACGGACAGGTACAAGAGCGGATTAAGAATAATTGTACTCCTAGTTTATCAAAATACTGCTGTAAAATACTTTTACATATATTTAATGATCATGAAAACAATTCTTCCACCTTATTAGATAGATCTACCTATACCAAACAACGAATTATTATACTTTTATACAGTCAGATTAGTGTAATATATTTTATAACAATTGTGATGTATAGTAAATACTATTACTTTTCCAAGTTTTACGAAGAGCATTATATATAAAACAATTAATATATTAAGTCAGTGTAACTAACTTATATTTTTAGTACATTTTATTTCTATGAATAAATTATAGTGCGACCTTGTTAATTTTGTGCTTTAAAATACATTTTTGTGCATTGATTTTTAATGATACTAAGAGATTGATAAATACAGACATTAATTAATGAAAAGAATTGTATTGAATTATTTAATTAGTCACAAAAGCATTAAGTTTACTTTTTTTATAATAAATTATTTCTGCAATTATCATATAAACACATGGCATCTGCAGAACACATATTGCTGATATTTGTAATATGTGCTATGCATGACAATGATTGGCTTTTAATCAAATTCATTTTTTTATAATGTAGTATGATGTATTATTTATTTCTATGAATCACAGTGCAATTTAGATGTGTCTACTTCGTATTTTCAGGAAAATTAGTAATTGGGTCTGAGTTTTGTTTAATTGAAAATCATTGTTCCGTGCGACATAAACATAAAAATGGCACTCCTAAAAACAATTGTTACAAAGGATTAGATTGTATTCTTGTTTGAGTGTGACTGGGTAATTATGACTTGATAAGTCAATTCTGAAAATGTCATTTATTGACAATAATGTACAATATTGACACCATTTTTGCTTAAGCTCTGTGAAAAATCAACTTCAATAATCTATAACCAATTAAGTAAAACTTAAATGAATGTTAAATTAGTGAGAGTAGTGCGCATAAGAACTATAACGCATGCCATACAGATTTACTTTCTTCTGTTTGCTTAAAACTAGTTTCTTTCCAAATACCTCGTTTAAATTTCCCACATAAATCTCAGTTTCCGGTCCAAGAGCTAAGGCTGATATTTTATTAGCGCCAGAGATGAGTTGGGAGATTGCTCACGGCAGAGATATCTCTGCTGACGGGCAGGGTCGCGCGATCGCATCCTGTGCTGCCCTCCGATTTTATACGTCAGTTTTCACCGTTTTTTGCCCCCAAAGGCGGCGCAACTAATTTCTGGTAGGGACTCGCGTACTGTCGCCGTTGGCGGTTTACGTACTCGTGATGGTAATACCAGAGATGAGCAGATGTGTTTGCACAAATTCTAATAATAAAGTTTGAAATTTTTTGATCAACTATGTATTGGACATTTTTGACGTACGATCGTTGACGATCATACGTCATACGACGAAGTGCGAAAAGGAGGTTCTGATTGGCTGTAGAGAACCAGCGGAATGGAGGAAATTCCGCCTACGTTCTCTGTAGCCAATCAGAACCTCTTATTTGTTTTTCGTCGCTCCGTCGTTCGCCACTGCAGCGCTAATGAAATATTTAGTCACAGCTTCAATTTGCTCTATCTAGATAGATATCTACGAACGTTTAAATTTTTTGTTTTAAAGTATCAATGGGACCATATCGAACTAGATGTATCACAATGCCTTTGTCACAATATATCAGGCTCTTCTGTTTGATGTGACGATCGTATATTAAATGCTTCAACCTCGTCCAATTTATCGTGGTGGCATGATCGTTAGACGTCCAAAAAATGGATGATGACATTGATATTTACGAGGACTTGCCGAGTTTCAGTGCGGATGGTAATGAAAACGTAAGTGCTCATGTGAATGGATTTTAGGGTTATGTTGGTTTGGAGTAATGTAAGCTGCTCTATCTGGTTACAGAGTTCCGAAAAGAATAAAGAGCTTGTGCAAAAATGCACGGACCTAGAACAAAAAGTATCCGAACTGACTGTACAGATCGATGTGCTTAAAAAAGCCAATCGAACCTTAGAGGTTAACTTGTCTTCGTTATTGAAGACTGCTCGTGCTGAAATTTCCCGAAAAGACAAAATGATTGCCGATGTTAGAAGAGAGTACGTTTTTAAAAGATGCTATAATTACATAAAAACATATACAAAGTTTTTAATTTCCCATTCTTAACAGGTTAGACAATGCAATGTTTAGACGTGGAAATTACAAGAAACTTCCAAGAGCACCAATTAAGACCTCGGAACGTGCAAAACCTTCTGAACATGCGAGTATGGAAGATAGTCCATATATTCAAGTGCCAGATGCTACTGAATTTATGTGCAATAATCCTACCGTACATAGCGAGGATGAAGAAGACACGGAACAGAAGTATAAACCAGATAAAATTGTAAATACATTATTTAATGAAAGATTGAGAAAAAGAATCATGGAAGAGGAGAAACTAGAAAAACAGCAAAAAGAACAACTGCAGTCTTTGGGTAGTGATGCTACTAAATCTATAAAGTCCAATGTTATACAAAAATTAAAAAAAATTGAGTCTACGTGTAACGATGACAAAGAAAATCATTTTAATGTAGATTCTAATTTGAAAGAAGATGTAAATATATGCAGTCGAGTGCCTAGTCAAAATGGTACAAATAATTTGAATGCCTTAAAAGAGGGAGAAGTACGACAAACTTCAATATCAGTTCATAAAGTCTCTCGTAAGAGATCAATTGATAATGATCACGATTTAATATCCAGTAAACGAATGAAATGTGAAAAAGATGAAAACAGGAATAGGGAGCAATGTCTTGATAATAAGGACACAGATCAGAAATGTACTGAAAACCAAGTACATACTTCAGTGACTAAAGATAAACAACAGAGAATGACAAACGACTGTAAAACCAACAGGAATACGAAAGAAAATATAATTAATTATTCCAAAGCAGATGACATTAGACACAAAAATGTAACATCAAGACTAAAACTTTTATCGGAAGGAGTCGATCCAGATATAAATGAAAGTGACTTCAGTGAATCAAATTCGAGGCACAGTTCTAGGAATACAGAATTACGGAAAGATAAATACAAAGGTAATAATGTAATTAATCGAAATCGATCAAGAAGTAACGAACGTGATCCCCATTATGAGAATAGCAAATATCACCGTTCACGTAGTAGGTCTTTGGATCGGAAACACAATGATTGGAAGTATGGTAGAAGTAACTGTAATCGGTATGGAAAACACAAAGATAACATTGATAAAAGAAGAAGCACAAAATATATAAATGGTTATATTTCGGCTGAGTCTAGTAACGTAACATATGATTTACGAGGTAGATTGGTACATACGTTTGATGAAAGGACTATTGGTGGTGAGCATAATTCTCACAGAAGCAAATCACGGCAGGATAGAAGATACAAACGCGAAAGATCTAAAACACCCGCATCAAGAAGGAGTGGCAGCAAAGATAGTGGAAAACATACTAAACGAATTGACTCCTGTGACAGAATGAACAACAGAAGTAGTAAATCAAAAATTATTAATCGTACTGCAGATGGTACTCAAACTAATAATACGAAATGTTCACAAAATAAGGGTGCAGCAGAAAAGGCAGAAAGAATTAGTTTATATTCTTTGGAAGAAGGTGAAATCATAGATACGCCGTATTCTAGTCCTAGAAAAATTATTCCTACCACTTCTCAGTCCCAAAAAGAATCTCCCATATCACATAATGTCAATAATGGAACAATTCAGAAGATTCAAAACGAAATTTCAACTGTTTCAGACATCATCACGGATCAATTTAATAGCGATAGCTTGCAGAAGATATGTAAATCACCCACAAGAAATAAAATTGGAGCTGCATTATTGGTTTCAAATTCTATAAATACAAAAGAAGAGGAAATAAAAAATGTACAGAGTTCCATTATGAATGATAACCCAAATATATTGCCACAAAATGAACATACTTTAGAGTCAAAAGCCCAAAATGAGTTGAAAAATACCGCAACAAATATTCAGGATAATTTAAACTTAACTTTAAGTCAGATAGCTAATGACAAATTCGAAGACAGTGAGACAGAATTAGGTAAACTCATCATATCGGATAATGATACAGATTTCAACAATGAAGATGATTGTCACAGTACCATTAGTTTATCGGTTACACCTGAAAAAAAAGCACAGGATAAAAATGGAACAATAGATGCACCAAACGAGCATTTAAAAATGCCAAATGATTCAGTTTTATCATTTCCTGTGCAGGAAGATTCCAAATATTCAGAGGAGATTTTATTAAATAAAGATATGAATTTGAAAAATGAAGAATTGAATGATATTAAAACATGTGGAGTTCCAATTATAGAGATAAAGTCGAATGATGAAAGTATCGAAAATAAAGGTATTCCTAGACAACAAGAACTTGAAAATCGATCTACTGAATCAAATTCAAAATTGTCTACAATAGAAGCAAAACATTGTGAAAATACAACTACAAAAATCCCATTGGTTACAGAAACGATTAAAGAACCTGTTGTAACCAATTCGTTGAAAAAAAGCGGAAATGTTAGTACCGAAGAGTCTACAAATCTTGCAAAAGTTTCAAGTCGTAGCCCGAGAACTACCAGAAAACCGGTAAAAAATACTAATAGAGATAGTTGCGATGAAAATATTCAGGAACCTGACAATATGAAGTGTAACATCGAAAGTACTTTAACGAAAACTATTGAAGAAAAAGATAAAGAATCTTCAGATAGAAGTACTAGAATGAGTGTTACCTTAGAAGAAGCTGCTTCCGATTTAACTACCTTCATTCCCTATAAGTTAACTAAAATTGATATGGAAGAAAACCAAACGAAACAAACTTCGGCAGAATACGGGATAAACCAAAGAAAAGAATGTGCCTATAAACTTGATATAACTGGAAGTGCAAAAGTGACAATTTCGAAAAATGCGGACGTGGTTAATGGGTCAAAAGGTTCCAGCAATCCAGTGGTCCCAGAAGTGAAGATTGTAACGATAAAAGATACAACGTCAGATAATATCGTCTCAGAACTATCTAAAACAGCTAAGCAGTCTGATAAATTGGAAAAAAGTATAACGAAACCAGTTGGCAACGGTAGAATCATTGTCGCACGGCGCAGGAAGCCAGTGCATTTAGGAAACAGTTCCTCGTCGACAACTGTGGCATTAAGCTTGAATAATTCGAAATGTATTTCGACACCTGGCTCGAAAAAAGTTGCTCAATTAAAATCGAGTTCTACCGTTCAACCACAGATGCGCGCTCCGAAGCCAGAGTTGCTTGTTTCTCGGAAGAGGAGGCAATGCACGATAAAAAATTCGGACAATGATAGATAATCTTGTCAGTTTGGTTCGCACTTGTGCAGAATCTCTTAACGAAATGTGATACTTAAAATTCTAAGGCTAAAAAATCTTAATCAAACGTAGAGAAGTGGTAATGGATTTTAGCTTTCAGTTACTTTTACCATTAATAACTGAGTTGCTTAAAGCGAGCGTTACCATTGTCTCTTCCCGTTTGCGGTATTTCATTTTTTAGCATTACGACCGAAGGTTTTCAAATTACTGGTAACTTAATCCCAACGACCACATCCATAAGTAAAACAATTTTTTTTAATGACAGTTAAAAATTTGATTTGATGTCACCGGGGACCACGCATGTTGCAAATTCTACAGATCGGGTACTTGTATTTGGTCGCTGACAGATGCGAACTCCGAAACCCGAATGGAATCTTTACAGCTGTAAATATACACATGCGTAAAGGTGTACTTTGTTTGTATATAGATAGTATGAAATTAAGGTACCGGTGTTGTGGATCATTTATAACGTGCTTGATGCTACTTGGATGATAAATAAAGTCGCCCAGACGCTCTGTGATCTTTGAAATTATCTTACAAATCCATTCCCGTGTTGTATAATTGTTCACATGAACTTTCAGCTATTAACTGTAATATCAACCCTTCCGGTGCTAAGTACTTTTTAAATTTAAGCCAATATCAAGAACATGTATAAGTCTAGTGACCCCAATGTAAGCACGTCTACACGTCCATAGCACCGAGAGTGTTAACGTACATACCGTACGTACATAACGTACATAAGTGTACATGCATTTGGTGCGAAACTCTGCCGAGTTTTGAGCAATACATAAAATTCATTCATTTATCTATGGTGGATTCATGGATGTATTGACACCCAACTGTAGTTGGATTCTGTACACCACATTCGGTAAATATCGATATCATTAGCTGTGTTGTTCCCTTTATTGTTTAAATGGGCTAACAATATTGATAGCTATAAAATTAGCGTAGAGAATCGCTACTGATCTGACTATGAGAACGGTAGAAATAAATAAGAAAACAAAGGGGCTTTCGCTCTTTCCTTTTCGCTTCCTTCGCAAGAATGTCAATGGGATGGTTAGATTTGTAGCCTCCATATATTCTGCGTTTATGATCCAATCTCGCTACAATTCTTGCGTATGTACGCACATATCAGGACCGAAGGGTCCTCGACTGTTTCACAGCGACGGCAGCTGTCCCCTTGATATCTCGACAGCATTCGAAATGCGGTCAATATGAGAATAGCGTTTCTATTGGTGAATGAATTTTCGACCGAGTTTCATATGAAGGACGACTTGGAGTGACACATTTACAAGAATTAATTTATTCTCAGATAATACAGCTATATAAACTTTTGGCAATTAACGGCAATTTTAATCTATCACATCCGAAGGGATATTCACTCGGAAATCAGTGGAAATGATTTCCTTCTTTGACAACCAATTGCCTTTGATTTCATATGACAAACAACAATGAGATTCGGTAACCAGTGACGTTCGACCTTAAAATTGTGAGAATGCGTCGGTGATTTCCAACATTAAAATCCATGATTTTCTGAACGAATAATCCCTCGATCACATCCCGACGCGATTCTTGTCACCAAGAACCAAGTAAAGGGCTCTCCGCCGTTTTATAGCATTCCCAGCTGTTCCTTAGATACTACGGGAACATCTGAAGTGCGTTCTACCCAAATGCAGTGAATAAGGGAATTGAACTGTTCCGAAGAATAGCGTGGAGCAAAGTGTATATCACTACAACAAATATTTCCTTGGATTATGTAATTGCCTAGAGAGATTCCAGGATACTTTTATACAGGGCACTATTAATCTAAACAATCCAGATACAATTAATGTAATGGGGAACCAAAGGGTTCTTCGCTATTTTATAGCAATTGTATCCAGGAATATTTGGTTGAAGTATGTTACGTAAAAGTATTTATAATACTTTATTTAAAACATTATATTTAAGACGTATATTCGGTATTAAGTAGCACAATGAAAAACGAAAAATGAATCTAAATGCAAGACAGATACAATACAAAACGCATATAATGGCAAGGAGGATAATTTGCTTTCTCGGCTGATGTACTTGTCTTCGTGAATTCCTAACTATTTATGACAATATTATCCTTTTTGATATGAAGAGTCCTAATCGAAAACATCGATCTAGTATGAGGCTTGGTCCATCGTGTATTTTTCGCTTCAGTCTAGTGCAATGTAACAAATAGCGTTGAACGTTATCATTACGAGCTGTGAAATAGGCGCCATTCCCTAAAAAGATATGACATACAACTACAGAAAGAATGAACGCAATTGTATGAATACTAAAACACAACAAAGAAATGAAATAGGAATGAACTGTATAAAAAAAAAAGCACCAGAATTTCGAAAACGGGTCCCTCGCATAACATACGAACTTACGCGTACGCCGTGCCACAAGAAGTTTCACTTAAAAAGTCATTGTACATAAGAGGTGAAAATGTTGGGACGTTGCAATAGGTGAAAATTCAAATGGGAGAAATAAACACTGTATATCGAAGCGCGGGGATTCAGAGGGAAAATCGTGTACAGCGGGTAGAAAATGTGATATTTGGAAAATTCCGGGATATTCAGCTGCCTAATCGAGCGTCGTAACCGACATATCGATCCGCCAGGTGCCGTTACGATTCTCGCGAGCGAGCGCCAAAAGGTTCTCGGATATTTGACAGCGATCGCAGCTGTCCCCCGATATCCCGAGATTCGTGCGGCGTGCGGGGCGAAAGTAGCGCCGGGGGGGATGGGTCCGATCGGAAGAGCGAATTGGCACGCGGCTCGTATAACGATTTTCCTCGGGGAGTCGAGGCGCCGAGGGTTGGGGCGGCCGCGGTCCCTCGCAGCGCGCCGAGTCCCGAGAGTTGGGTCGGATGCGCATGCACGCGGGAAGCCCGACGGAGCTTCGCCTCTCTGCGCGCGGACCGTCGACGTGACGTCACCGGGCACAGAGTGGCACGGAGCGGCACAGAGCGTCGCCGCGGTTTCGCGCTGTAGCATCGAAAGATGAACATTATCGACAGCCCCGGCTCCTGAGTGCGCGATTCCGAGTCGAGAGGGGAAAATGCGCGCGTAGCCCCGTGCCGAGACGGTGAAGAAGCGAGAGCTGGGGAAGAACGCCAGACACGGACGGAGGGAGTGCCTCCCGATTGGGCCGATTGCTCGGTCGTCAGTCCGGTCGATCCGAGCCGAGGCCGCGCGAGGCCCCCAACGGAATGGGGTCGATCGTGCTCAAGTCGCTCTCGGTGCTCCTTGGGATATTCTTCGTTTTCGTGGGCACCATGAAGCTCACTTCCCACATAAGCAAGGACCTCCACAAGGACCTGGTGAGTAGTAGAGCGGTCGTTCCTCGCCTGGATGCGATCGGCTTCGAGTTATGCAACCCTCGGGAGGGCCGCCAGGAGGACTCCCGGCGTCTCTTCGCCCTTTTTCGCCCTTTTCCGCCCTCGGCGAGCGACGAGTCGCTCGCCGAGGGGTGATCGCCGCCGCTCGTTACGCTCGATTACGGTCCCTTACGTAACCGCGGCGTGGGAAGCCCTGGCTTGCCTCGCCGAGCCTTGACAGTGCCTGGTCCTATTCGCGTCCGAAGCGCGCCAAAGCGGACGGCGGCGGAAAAGACTCATCGGGTGGACGCGCATCCGCTCGTCTGAGCGGCCACGATGCCAAGGTACCCCCGGATGGACGCATGCCGATGTACAGGGGGGCTTGTGTTCCCGAACGACGTTTGCTACAAATGAAAATATTATTCCACGTGGTACCTCGCGCGAGGCGTCCGTTTTATGGGACCGAACGCGAAAATCGATTACAATGGACGAATTAAAATCTAAACGTTGGGGGGGGGGGGATTTAAGGGTATTGTTATGCATCTGGTTTTTCGTTAAATATTAAGGACAACTTGGTACTCTTTAGGATACTCTTAATTCATCTTTCAACGTATTGTGCGCTAGAATCTGGCTAAAAAAATTATGTTTTGGCTGCTGCTGCATCATTGAGACTCTGAGCTAATGAAATATTTCCGGTGTCTTGTTTGACTTAATTGCAATGCTCGTGAGCATCTGAAAGGAATTAAATTTTAATTATTACGATGAAGAAAATTGTCGTTTTGTCAGGGATTGGAATCGTTGAAGGAAAGAACACGTAAATGAAACAGCAACTGAACCAGGAAATGTTTTTAATCTATCAATGAAATCCTAGTTCAGGCTATTACAAGTATATTTACAAATCGAATAAAATATGTTTCAATTCAATCGATTTGTTATTGGTTAAGATATGTCAACTGAGAGTTGACTTAAAAAAAGACCCTATAAAGTAAAAATTAATTATGTACACTCTACTTATCTACTAATTACTGTAGATTTCTAAATATTTCTTGCTTGGAAAGTTTGAAGCCAGGGCAGAAAATGAAACGAACTGTATCGGTGCCTTCAATTTTACATTCCGTTGCCTTTTGTTTCTTTTTTGCGCCGACTTAAAACTTTCCAAGCAATAAATACTTAAAAATCTACAGTACGTAGTAGATAGGTAATTTGTACATAATCATTTTTTATTTTGTAGGGTCATTTTTGAAGTCGGTATTTTTTTATTAAATTGAATTTTCGATTTTCAATTGTTACTCCTTTTATTAAGGTTTGAAAATTCTTATTACACAAGATAAAAGAGATCGGTTAAAAAAAGTAACTCAATCACGGTACGATTTCTGACAACCGTACACGATTTCCGTTGTCTATCTTCGGATCTTATGATTGGATGATAACGTAATTTACATGGGACCACCTTGAAGGTACCCTCAACAAAGAAAGACTCATAAAAATCAGTTAATCCGGGAAAAAGTTATGCGTTAACATACATAAAAAAATATACAGATCGAATTGATAACCTCCTCTTTGGAGGTCGGTTGAAAAGAAATTGATTTTTTCACCCGAAACGTAAGAATACCCCATTAAAGGCGTACTTTAACCCTTCTCATGCTACTGGTGACTACAGTTATTATTCATAGCATGTTTACTATATTCTACCGGTAAGTATAGTCACCCATTTGCCATTCAAGTATCCGTAAGCGAAAGCATATTGGCGAAAGGCATAGCCGTATCAAAAGGGTTAAATGTTGAATTGTTGATATTTTCGATTTACTTAATATTTCACAGATCTTATGCATTCTTGGTCGCATGCGCGAGTACATATTGATTTGAATGTTACTGGAAGTTGGATATTGTTCACATTCGATAATTTTCGGAAAATAAATGCTCGATTTAACGATTAAATCGTATTCATGTTATCTGGAAATTAATGTTTTCGGGAATAAAAATCTAAGGAAAGTATTTATAAAATGCATACTTTGTCGTAGATCTGTGGGTGATCGCATTTGAAAATGTCAATATTTTGAATAACCGAATAGTTTTTACCCTCCAAGTTTTATACTTCTTACGTATTCTGCAGTAAAACTAAAGGCTTATAATTACTATAACTATAACATCGCTTACACTTTAAATAACATTTCGAAAGAGTAAATATACCTTTTGTCACGTTGTGGTAGGGACAAATAAAAATAAAGATAATTGAAACCTTTCAGACTTTCGGATAGCCGTATTTATTGCGTGTAAACATGCAAATTGCAAGGCATTATCACGCAGAAAAAAAAATTGGTCTATTGAACAAAATCATTTGATTGACTGCGTTTCGTTCATTTGGTCTTTCATTTGACCAAACTCGTTTCCTTCAAACAACTAAAATATTTTGGTCAAATCGCTTTGTTAATTTTAGAAAATATTTTAATTAATAAACAGAATATTTTGGTTAGATGTACCAAATTACTTTAATATTTGGCGCGATTTACCACAATATTTGATGTAATCAGCCAAAGAATTTTGTCATGACAACAAAATATTTGGTTGTCCACATAATAACCATGTTCTGTGGTTGAACCAATAAAAATGTTCTCGATACAATCAAATATTTTCCTGAGTGTACATATACCTGTTAAAAAAAATAAAAGGGAAGTAAGCAGAATAAGTATAAGTAACAGGCTGTATTATGTTAACCAGTTCCCAGGTGCTCATTTAAGGATATCCGGATTATTTCTACCCCTCCTTTGAGTGTCCGGATATTAACCATAAGATAATCCGGCTATTTGATGCGGCTTTAATAGAAAGATTGCGGACGGTGCTGACGGGAAATTTACTTCGTTTCAAAATCTCGTATACTCGTGTCGTAAATGTTTATATACCACTAATTAAGGAGTAAATTCTTTCAAAGAAAAGCATTAAACGTAAAGTAAGACAAAACGATTTTAGAAAATATTTCAAAATACATTTTCATTTGTTTGAAATAAGTGAAGGTTCATTTTAAGACAAATAGATCTATTTATATCGCGTTTTTATATTATTTTTCAATTATCAGTACATCTAAATATTCCTGGAAAAATAATTTTGATGATTTGCCTTCTTGTTAGACAAAATCGTTGTTACAGTTGCAATTATAATTGCATACAAATTATTTTACCATACATTTAAATTAGGGTAAATGTAAAATATATTATATATACGTGAAACATGTGAAAATGTGAAACACTCCAGTTTCTACAACGCTTTTTACAGGGGGGCTTGTGTTCCCGAACGACGTTTGCTACAAATGAAAATATTATTCCANAGTATTGTAAATATTCCACTTCACTAGAATTTTGCGGAATTTCTATTCAAAGAATAAATCCGAAAATCTACCCGCGGAAGGCGGCTGATTATGCATTTTGTTATTTCCCTTAATAACTCTTAAACCAGATATTATAAGTTCTTTTTCGATTTACTCTATGCGCAACCCATATAAAACATCGTTTGATGTTTTTTGCCAGTTTCGCCGAGAATTAATCGGGTCGATTCCTCGATTTTTTTTTTTAATCCGCGCGTTGATTCCCTCGTTTCGCCGTGCATCTTGACACGCACGTATGAGAAACCCGACTCGGTCCCACGAATTTTCCGACGCTATTTCGGTAGTCCCATTGCCGTAGTCGAATTTGTCCGAGCGGCCACTTGGGAATGCGCCAATCACGCGATTCGACTCAATGCCGCGGTTAACAGTGTCGCTTGAATTTTTCAGAGAAAGGAGTACGTCAAGTATGCCAAAGTGTTCCCGCTCTCCGGGACGCTGGACTTTAAAGTCCCCAGCAAGTGGTACCGAAGGGTCGTCGGTTCCCTGGAGATTATTTGCGGACTTGCCATGGCGATTATTCCGAGCCGTACGTCCCTTCTATATAACTATTTCCTGTGCATGTTACAATTATTCCCCGCATTCCTGTTTCTTTTTTTTTTTTTTTTTAATAATTTCATCGGTGTAACTAAACACGATCGGGGGGAATACTACAATAAGAGACTTGTTCCTCAAATATTGTTACGTTGGGTACCTAAGGAATCGAAGATGGAAAAACAAGTAAAACGTGTTACTGATATTTCATATTGTTGTGATATCTGAGCTTAACGGTAATAATTGGTCGCTAATCCGTTATAGTCTAACAGAAATTGAAATTCCTCCCTATACCTAACTTCTTGAATGCATGTGTTTTAATCAGGCTGTTGCAGTGTACCTAAACATAGTATGTGGGTTTCCATAAATGTCTGCTTTCCTATATTTTACATCTAAGAACTCAGATTGTACCGAGGTGGACGCAGCGCATTGCATTGCGAAAATTCTTATAGGATCGATTTCATAGATTTTATGTGAACTGTCGTATATGTATTACGGACGGAATATTGCGATTCACTGCGGCCCGCTCCGGCTATAATGTACGCCAGCCCTAATGGGTAATGTTACACGGACGCCTGATTTCCTGCTGTGCTTTTATAACAAATTATTTTCATTGGGAAATCCTCAAGAAATGAAAATACACCTCGTGGCTAATGCCAGAAGGCTGCACTACACTCTGTTTTGGCATTAGATACGTGAAATCGAAATACCAAATCTAACTAGAGCGCGGTGTCCCCTGATATAGAAGATTACGAGGCTTCGTATAAAGAATTCGTTAAAACATACCTAACAATATTCCCTGTTTCAGATAAAATAAAAAACGCATCAAATGCCGTTCTGTTGTTCTTGATGCTCATGGCCGTGTACTCTCATTACATGGTTAACGACAAGTTCGAGAGAATTGCCCCAGCGTTGGTACGTTTCCTTTCGCTTATCTGTCTTACTTATCGTTGGACGATATTTCAATGGCTTTTACATTACCTGAAATTTGTTCGCAGGTGTTCTTTTTTATGTTAACGGGTCGTTTGGTGATAGACTGGCAATTAAGGCGTGAGGATTCGCAACCAGTAACGGCGAATGGTGTCGACGACAAAACTAAGAAGCAAGACTGAATTAAATCATACGATGATGGCAAAACCCTGAGTCTTTTCCACGCTCATACACGTAAAGAAATCCAGCGAAGCCTCCGAATTCTTGTAATGCTACGTTGGCTTCGTTGAAGTCGGATCGACGGTTCTTACGTACGTTTATGAAGACCGACGGAATGTGGCAGTTTTGCGATTCCAGAAGCTCGGATCAACTGTGAACGCGTTGTCAAAGATCTATACAATGGATTAAAGACACCCCAAGCCGAGGAATGACATTGGGCAGGAATTTCCGATACTACCGCGGGTGTCGAAGACTTCGCCCTTTGTAAGGAATTGCGTAACTTCGAGGACCGATGACGTCATAATCGTGATTTAGACCTGTAAGCATCTCGTTAGGCACAGTAGGGTACGAAAGATATTTATTTATTACAACTAACGACCGGAGGTTGTTCTTACGCTTAAATTCGCAATATACTCGTAAGTAGAGATCCTAAATTTAACACCCTCGATGGGGCGGACCGTGTCGCACAGGATCATGATTAATTGACAGCAGCTCCGTTGGCAGTCTGCTGGGAACCGAGGTTCACACTCGAGGTAAATTAATATCAGCTTAAGCACAATGTACTAACTGCCAATTGACGATATGTGTTCTTATCGATAGAGAGTATTAGGATGAGACGTGTCCTTAGCGTATCTAAGTACCCATGTTAACTCGCACAGTGTGGTAATTCATTTTTCAAACGAACGCAGTCCAAATCGAATTGGCTGCTGTCAGTCGATTTCGCACTGGCTTTGCATATACATTTTTAAGAACAACTAGATGCAAGGGTGTGAAGAAATGTGTGGATGTATAGTATCAAGAATCAGTTCAATGTTCGACCTCTCGGAATTAATTTTGTCTTATTTCGAATTGATTCGCGAATATTTAATGGATTTCCGAATATCCGTGAAATGATAAGGGATATGTTAGAGCGGCTGCTTCCGGCCGAATGACCGCACACACAATAGGAATGTTTGCTTCTCAACATAGACATATCTAGATGCTATGAATGACTCTCACACATGTACATACATATTTATAGGAAAACATGAATATCTAAAGAGACTTAATAACCAACTACCTGTTAGCAACATACGAAAATTGTAATTCATGCACAATAGCGACTAGAGTGAAATATGTAAAACGCATCAATATTCCAACGCACCATTTGATTATCGTCTTGTTATTTTATTCAGATCGCAATTATTGTGAGAGAACGTTTTCGGTATCGCAGAATTTTTTGAGATAGCACCTCGGAAATGAAGAAATTGGCCTTTTAAAAATTGAATATGAATGAATCTCAGTATCCGTATTAGATAAAAACATTGATTGCAATGCCTAAACTGAATCTAATAAACTGCTGCCACATTAGCAATGTTAACTTATTTTAATCAGCATATGCTGCAAATGATATCAATGAAGGTGCATCATTATTACGACAAATCCAGTCCTATACTAGTTTTATATTATTTATCAACAAATAATTTGTGTATCCTGAGATGAAATGTATCTTTGACACTAAGGGAAGAAAAATATACGTTATTCTTGCCGCCACTGATGTAATTAGTTATGATAATTACTATCTGCTTTGATATATAACGTAAGTATCGCGTATTCAATTTCGTAGTTCCTTTGTATTCGGATTGAATTATATTAACTCGATAGCTGTCGTAATAATTATTTCGTGTATAAGTTTTCTAATTATCTTCGGAGCGGATTATACTAGCAAATAAATAATGATATATGCAGCTCCCGAATAATTATATATGCAGCTTTTATTTTAAATTATGCGATAAATTTAATTTTGCATAATTCTTATTAATCTTATTAATTTGGACGAGACACACAACACAGCTCAACAAAATGAAACGTATTGTACATCTATTGTGATAATCGTGTCACACTCGATAAGCATGTCATCGCAAGTAAATTATCAAATAAGAAAAGAAATGACATTAGTGATACCTGTTCACATTGATAGACTACTTTATATAATTCATAGTTAAATGATCGGTGTAAGATATACAATTCTGTTCAATGTCAAAGTAAGACTTACAATAAAAAGAATGTGTTATGGTAGGTTGGATGAAATTCATTATTTTCAACCTCAAACAAATAAAATAATTACGCACTAAATTGTGAAGTTAAGACATATCTCCTAACGTTTATTAAAGATATACATACAAGGAACTTAAATATGCATAGATTATTATTTACATATAGTTATGTATTCAACTCTTGTATTCATTAGTTTCAGATTTGCCGCGTGCATGGATTAAGAAAAATATTGTTCTCAATATCAGAGTCTCATTACTCACAAGGACTTTAGTAACAGTAAATATTGTATTACAATTATTTTCAATAACTCGCATTTAGACGTTATTAAGCTGGACAACATGTCAGTTTTTATCTGAAGCGTCAAGGCAAGTGAAGTAAATGTAGTTGCAAAACCACTCTTCAGTGTTTTATCCTTTTCCAATATAATTGTTTCAAGAACTAATAATTATATGTATCACCGTTTATATGTGAAGTACTGAAGTAAAAAAAGTACCTGTTATTTGTGATGTTATGTTATATGATGTCTAAGCAGTATTAATTATCCTTTACTTACTTTTCAAATGGAAAGCGATACAGAAAACTTTGACAGTTCTGTGTGTATATTTCTAAGCTATGTCTTGACCAGTAGTTAAAAGATGTAAAGCTTTACGGATATTAGTAACTGCTGTCGGCACATCATCGTAATTCAAGGCACTTCCAGCCCATTTTACATATTTCTGAGCCTTCGCGATTTGTTCCACGTCCAGGGAAACTCCACCTATTAAAAATGTCAAGATTCATCGGATATTTGTTGACAGAGTAGTTTCTAACAAATAAGTTTTTTTGGTACCACTTAACTGTTTGCAATAGTTTGTAAAAAAAACGGCATGTTCTTACTTGATAAAAAACCCTTTTAATAAAATCAACTTACTTTCTGTCTTTAATGTTGAACTGTCGTCGTACGAACCGAACCCTGCTGGCTGATCAAGTCCTGCATTTGTAGGTGTGGGTGCTGGATTGTATGGATTAGGATTCATAGGTGTGGGAATATTTGGATAAGGAAAATTATTTTGATTGGGTTTTGCAGAAGGTGTTGTTATGCTTGAATTTGAACTGCTAGGGACGGAAGGAAACTGAAATGCATCTGTGCTTGGAGGTGGCGTTGGTTGCACAGAACCTGTAAAAGAAATGTGTTCATTGTTAAATTTAACATTCAAACTGCTTAACTGACAAAATTACAAACAGGGTTTAATACTGTGCATACATTGAAATGATTGTAAAGTGCAGACATAAGCATAAGTTGCGATTGTAAATACATTTTAAGTTTTATGTTCCCTGCTAGTGTGTAAGTGTGCATATTAGGTGAATATACATATTTATGATGGTGATTGAAAACAGCAATAAAAAAAAAACTGTCATCTCATCCTGAATCAAATTGAGAATTGTAGAAGTACTGTACATTACCTACTTTAATTACTTACATAGAGAAATATATTCATGAATGAATTAAATTATAAATAATTTGTATTAATATACAGTAAGCAATTAAAGCTTAGTAATTGTATCTGATATATTCATATACCTTCACTCTTCTCTTCGTCATCGGCTATGGAACATACAAAAACATACAGCTGTTAAAATATATTATTTTCATAACTTACCATCTTATTAGCTCACGGTTGCTACTAAATTACCTAATTCCGTATCAGGATCTGGATGTAATTCTTCAGCTATCAAATAACGTAGTATCAATGTGAAAAATTGTTAATTTCGAAAAATTATATATTAGTCATTATTAAACCGTATATACCTGACTCTGGATTACCAACTTCTTCTTCCAAATCTTGTTGAGGTTCCTTATTATCCTTAGTCGCTATGAAATTGTTTTTAGTTTTTTCTTTTAATACATATGTAAATACATAAGCTTTTACTAGTACAAAAAATTACCTTGTTCTTCATCGGGTACAACACCCTCATTATCGGATAATATAGGATCATCAGCTACGCAAAGAAGATTCTTATGTTTTTATTTAGTTTTAACATTTAGAAAAACATTTCACATCTTGTTTTTTAGTTGACAAATATACCAGATTCATTAATGTCACCTATCATTAAATATTTGATTTCATGAGAAAATATTACTAATCTTTATTTTTTAATTGGATTAGTAAGAACGAGATGACAGGTTCATTAATATGTAAACATTTATTAATTGTTCAATTTATGATCAAACATTATTTTTTTTGGAAATATGACTATAGTAAACATTAAGTACGAAATGTTTTATGTCACATTACTTTATCTAATAATTTTATATATGAATTAATAAGTTTCTGCATAAGTGCTTTTTTAATACATTGTACAACTTTAGATTTTTATGTATGAGTTTCTAAACTCGCATGTACAAACAATAATGTATGTTGTGTTTCACACAAATTTTGAATATTATTATAGTCTGCCCTGCTTTTATCAATGAGAAATACTTACCTGATTGCGGTAGTATTTCAGAATCATCTTCCCCTTCTTCTTTCATGGGACCCGGTATAGGAGTTTCACCAGTTTTTAAACAGTTGTGAATGTAAGCAGCTTTCCATTTAGCATATTTCCTATTCTGTGTAGCCTCTTCGCTTAGATCTCCAAATGTTGTGAGAATATCATAAAGTATTCCTGCTGTATAAAAACTTTGAACGACACTCTTTCCAAAATTTGAAGCCCGATCATTCTTATCGGCATATAAAAAGAGTTTTAGAGCCCAATTTTCTAAATGAGCTTGCGCAGCAACATCATTAGTAATTGCTTCATTATCGTGCATGGCTTTCTTTGTTGCTTCCAACCAATCCATCAATTTCAACAAAAAATTAGTTTCTTCTGAAGTTTTTGTCGAAAGCTTAAGTCCAATTTGAAGAGCATAGATTCGAGCTAGTAGGGAGAAAAATAATCGTTATGAATTTTTGTATTACAGAATCTCTAATGTAGAATCTCAAAAAAAGAAAGTCAAATTAATTCTTTATATCTGTCTTATTCTTGAATATTTGTTATGCTATAAATCTCATGAAGATGAGTAATCGTCGATAACCAAAAAAATTATATCAAATGAAATTGACATAACGACATAATTGAAATTTACGATGCACGTAAATGTTGCATACCCCAATAACTAACAACGGGGTCTCGATTATCATGTTCTGTGGCTATTTTTAAATAATGCTGCATGCCCTTCAGCGAAGCTGGAATGTCTGGCAAATTGGGGCCTGGCATTTTTCTTTTAATTGACTCACGATTTCGTACAGTCTCGTAGAAAGGTTAGGAATTTTGTAAATGTCAAAAGCAGTCAAAAGTGACAAATATTTACAACTACACTCTCACAAATATACCATAGATCATTTAAAGGAAACGTGATCGTGCCAATGGGGTACAACTATTACGTTAGCACTCTCGCGACATCTGTACGGAAATCAATGACTAAGTCCATGATCGTATAATGGCAGCTTTACACATGAGCAGTGTTGCCACCGTCGCCATCAGAAGTTAGTAGAAATCATGGACATATACAGAGATAAGAGATGAGTTGGGAGATTTCTCACGTGCAGGGTCGCGCGATCGCATCCTGTGCTGCCCTCTGATTTTATACGCCAGCTTTCACCGTTTTTTGCCCCCAAGGGTGGCGCAACAAATTTCTGGTAGGGACTCGCGTACTGTCGCCCTTACATACAATGCAGCTGTGACGGTGGTGACTTACTTACGCTTACCGATCCTGCTCGCTTTTGATGATAAGGGAAGAACACTCGTCGCGTCCTCTTTGACTTTACCCTTCACTTACCTTATTTAAATTACGGGAAGGTAAAAATTGGCCGAAATTTGTTAGACCCGAATACCTGACCACGAGTCTCACGCGTGGTTGTAGGGCAAAGGGTTAAAAGAATATTAACACATGATTGAGATCTCGGAGAGATCTCGAGATCAACATGAATTTGAAAATTGGTTGATCGTCAAAAATATCTAATACAAAGTTGATTAACAAATTTCAAAATTGGTTAGTCGAGCAGCCATTCGCGAATCGATGCTTCTCTTGCATTTCCGTGCAAGTCGACCATCGAACAAAATTGGTTACATTCTTGACGATCATACGTCAAAAATGTCTAATACATAGTTGAATAATAAATTTCAAAATTGATTATTAGAATTTGGGGATTTTATGGTGATTAGGATTTTGTGATAATCAGGAGTTCTCAATTACCGTACCGTCGCTTCTTCCGGGCGACACCTGACCGCAGATCATACGTCATACGTGATCATATGATCCCTGCCCGTGAGCAATCTCCCAACTCATCTCTGACGTATATATTGTTACGTCCATGGTTTATAAATCTCAGATAATACAAATCCCGGATTTAGAGTACAATGAAGACGTAGTCAGCGGTTCGGACCTGATAAATCCCGGATTTAGGAGAACGATGGAAACGTAGCAATTGTTTTCTAACCTTGAATTATTACCATTATTACAATGTTATAAGTACTCAAAAGAAGATTACCCTTTCATACCTCATGTGCAGAAATGTCGGTATTAAGCATTTCATGTTCTCGTGAGCAGGATAAGCAAAAACGACACGTTTTACTTAAAAATGAAGAAAATATTACATTCATTATAACAGCTGTATTTACAGGTTCTATTTTCCCACTTATTTCATAAACCCTTTCCTTCAAGATGATTTTTTATATATCACTAGTTACATATGAAAACTATGAATGGTGTACTATCATATTTATAGAAATATGAGAAATTTAATCTGTAAAGAAAATTCTGTAACGACAGAGATGCTGGTAACGGCACTGGAAATCAATGAGCCGGTTTAAACTTCCCGGGAAGAATGCGGAAAAAGTGCGCCGTAGTGTCACGTCGTTATCGCCAGTGGTGGAATAAGGTGATACGAAGTCAAGCAAAGCGCATGGGCAAGTCAAGTTTGAAGCTGATTGGAAGGTGCCGCGAGTACTGAAGGTCACTAGGTGTCATTGAAAGGTTATTAAGGTGATCCGTTGATCTGGTGGCCTGCTTTTTTAAACGGAATTTAGTCGCCTCTCTGTCACATCAAGATGCTGCCACGCTTTCTAAAACCCACCATTACCGTCGCCCAGCAAGGTGCGAAATGGTTGTCCACCAGTTCACAAGTGAGTTCAAACAAATTGCAGTGAAATATTAATGAGTTTCTTTCTTCACGTCCGCCACAATCTAGTCCTACGTGCCATTCGTGTATAAATCTTAACTAAATGACACTCATCTCACAATCTCTTGTTTCACTAATTTGCTAATTTATAATATTCCTGTAATAAGATGAGGTCAAAATTGAGAGAAACATATAAATTTGGACTCGGAAACTATATGTTTTAGGATTTACTAGATCTTATCAGATTTATTTGTCATCATAGAGTGAATGAAATAACGATGAGACTGGCTTTAATTTTATTTAAATTAATTTTGATACCTAGACACGTGCGTACGATTTCCTCACAAGAATTAAATCAAACTGCTGTTATGCAACTAGAGGAGTTTGCAAGATAAATCGGTTATTAAGCAAATAAAGTTATCTTTGCTAAAAAGCAAAGACCATTCGGAATGATATTTTGTATATTCAAAAAAGTAGTGCCTTAATGTTAGATTCATTTTTCCAATATACTTCTTTCATTGAAAACCGTTTCATTTTATTGTGTTATAACCATTTTTAAAACGTAATTTGAATGTTATAGGTTATTATTGTTCAAATATATGTTACAGTTATGCAATTGTAAGACTTGTTTTTTATTGAAAACTACCACTTGTGAAATGAATATATTTCTTCCAAAATTAGACAATCAATGTACTTGATCTTTTATGTTGCAAACTATAATAAGAGATATATTCACTTGTATCTTATCTCCATTATTCTTCTCTTTTAGCAAAATGCCAAGGTAGCCGTAATGGGTGCCAGTGGTGGCATCGGTCAACCGCTGTCCCTCTTACTAAAGCAATCGCCTCTTGTCACCGAATTATCCCTTTATGATATTGTTAATACTCCTGGAGTTGCAGCTGATCTCTCTCATATCGATTCACCTGCTAAGGTCAAAGCTTTCAATGGACCAGACCAATTAAAAGATTCACTAAAAGGTGTTCAGGTATAAATTTATGGATAAAATACTTTTACAAGTTGTTTAATACCTTAAAAATATAATAACGTATCATACAAAAGAATCTATTATTTACATATAGCAATAGCAAATAAAAATAATTATTACATTTGTTTCTTTCTAGGTTGTCATTATTCCTGCTGGTGTCCCTCGTAAACCAGGAATGACACGTGATGATCTTTTTAATACGAATGCCTCTATTGTTCGTGATCTTGCTGCAGCAATAGCGGAAGTCTCACCTAAAGCCTTTGTAGCCATTATATCAAATCCTGTAAATAGTACAGTACCTATTGTCAGTGAAGTTTTCCAGAAAGCTGGTGTGTATGATCCAAATAGAATATTTGGTGTTACTACTCTGGATATTGTCAGGGCCAACACATTTATTGCAGAAGCAAAGGTAGTTTAACTGTTATATCAAATATGCTATCGTTAACATTAAAGCCATGCCTTAGAACATAACAAAGTATAAATTTGAATTTAATGGATGAACCTACAATTTAGAAAACTTGGATGCATTTTTTTATTCGAATTTCAGTACTGGGATAACTGCACTTCATGAAACATAATATACCTATATTTTTTTAGAGCACTATTTATAGAGTCATTTTCCCATTTTCACATATTTCATAATTTCAGTGAGGTATTCCTTTAATAAGAATGAAGTCCACATCTTTGAGGGGTAAAGATAAGATAGTACTTATGTTGATTTGTTTTTCTACAGAGTCTCAATCCTCAGCAAGTATCAGTGCCAGTAATTGGAGGCCACAGTGGTATTACCATAATTCCTCTGATTTCGCAAGCTACTCCCAGTGTATCGTTCCCTGAAGATAAGCTGAAAGCTCTTACTGGTAGGATTCAGGAAGCTGGTACTGAAGTTGTCAAAGCAAAAGCTGGAACTGGTTCAGCAACATTGTCTATGGCCTATGCTGGTGCTCGGTTTGGTTTCTCCTTGATTAAAGCACTCAATGGTGAAAAAAATATTATTGAATGCACATATGTTAGGTCTAATGTTACCGAGGCAAAGTATTTCTCAACTCCTATAATTCTTGGCGTAAGTATTGACTTCAATAATTCTTTAACTTTTTTAATAATCATTTATCACTGTTTAGTTTATTAATGAAACATTAAAAATCTAGATTATTTACTTACAGTAATTTAAAATCCTTTAGTATTTTTTAGAAAACCTTAAAAAATTATATATAATATTTTAAGTATACAAAATTGTTTGAGAGGCTGTAGACATAATTTTTCATATTTTTTGTACTGAAAACTAGAAATTGCCTGAAATAGAATGCAGATAGAAGATTTTTAAAAGAAAAATATTCTTAAGGATCTTTTTTGTTATACAAGTGTTCTTTCTTAAAATAACTTAAGTTTTGTTGTAACATTTAAGAGTTATACCACATATTAAAATAATGCTGTTTCATGTTTTAGAAAAATGGAGTTGAAAAGAACTTGGGCCTGGGCAAACTGAGTGACTTTGAATCCCAATTGTTGAAAGCAGCCATACCTGAGCTTAAGAAGAATATTCAAAAGGGAGAAGACTTTGTTAATAAAAAATAGTAATACTATGTTTCAACATCTCCTATGGAGAAGAGCAGAATCCTGAAGAGTGGACATACATCAGATAACGATCCACGATAAGAAATCCCTTGATTCGGTCCCTGTATAGGCTCAGTTTAAAGCAACTAGACACATTACATTGATGTAATGTTTTGTAACATACAATTAAAATTATCTATGTTGACCAAATGAGATTTTAGTCACTGTATTGAATTAAAACCAATTCATAATTATTGTCGCGTGGAAGTACAAAGCTTTAGCAAAGTTGAAATAAAAAATTTTTAAGTTATAACACTTTAAGAAGAAAAATAAATCTTGCAATGCATTCGGTTAAATTTCTATTTATTTAAAATGTCATATAACGAATACAGATCTTGTGTGATAGGGGCTTTGAATCTTCAAGCCAATACATTTCAAAACAGAGGACTGTTACGATGATTACAATTCTAGAAGTATAGAGCTATGTCTAGAAGTGAACTTGAACGAAACTTTCAAGTCAACCTTCTCAATGTCAGTGTGTCAACAGTTGCGAAAATCATCGCAGAACTATTTAGTGGATAATATGAACGTGGTTTAGATAATATGTAAGTGAAAACGTGTTTTTTTTATTGGGTTCCTTATTTATTAGGGACATGTTATTGAATTTCAAACTACCGAGACATGATAATTTGAAAATTACAACATACAAGTAAGTTAGACCATTCATTAAAGTATGTTTATATTAATCAAATGTCACTACACTTTTTTAACCCTCTATACTTCATAGAAGTTTTGCCTTTTGCAATCCTGTCACAGTTTTAAATAGTTTCACAAACCATTTCTCTAAGAAAGCAAATAACATTTCCCATTTCTAATACTTATTTAAATTAAATATGGAAATATGAAAACAATCAACATAGAAATGAGGTTATAAAATACGATTTAGAATTAATTAATAAAAATGTGTATTATGGATGAATATTAGCTGGTAATTATAGCAGTGTCTTCATTTTTCATTAGCACGCATTTTCTCAGTGTACGAAACGGTAATGGTAAAATCTATATGTTTTGCAATGATCATCTAACTTCATCGTTATACTTTTTAGGCCATTTTATTCTGTGTTTTATGTTAAGAATCCTTTTATATTATGTATGCTTTAAATTTTGTAGCAAGGTAGCTGCGATAAAATGGGAAGACGAAAAAATCATAAAAGATCACGACATAAACACAATCTACAAGATTCTTCTGGGCAAATGTACGATAATAAAACCAACTTAATTAAAAATTCCTCTGTGGCTACAGGGGAAAATCATGATTTGACCCTAGAAACGAGTTTAGATGACTCTGATCCGAGACAGTGTTCTCCCGAGTCAGTACTTTGTGAATCTCAGCAAGACGACTTACTGTCCTACAAAGATCTGAGTCCTCGCATTGTTCCAAGAATTATTAAACGAAAGTTAAATTTAGATATTCCTGAGAAAGACGTGGAGCAAAGAAGTTCGGATTCTGCGTTAGCTGTCAGATCAAGTGTTAGTGTCGATGAAGTTAACCGAGATTCCAATCTCCACCCAAATCACGATGAAAACTTATTAAAAACAATATCTGGTGAAAGACATCTTCTTGAGTCTGAAATACATTGTCAACCAACTATGTATTTATGCGATGTGCATGAAGTATCGAGGTAGGAATTAAAATTATTGATTAATTAATGTAATTAAACAATCAGATCTAAGAACGTGTCTAACCATGACCCTCTGATACATTTATCCTTAGCACAATGTCTCCTCATTGTGATTGGACTATCGGAGACCATATGGCAGATAATACTTTACTGGGACAAAAGGAAATCCAAGACGAAGATGATATTAATAAAATGTTCCCAAGTTTATTTGAAAATAAACCAAAGATTCCAACTGTGGAACAGTTAGAATTTCGAAAAACGTGTTCCAATTCAAAAAACCAGGATCGTTATCCAGATAGTACGTCTCACGGTGTCTCTAAAACAGAGGCATTAAATAGATCGCAACCTGTATGTCAGAGTGACTTCTACTGGATTCACTGTTTTGGCAAGACTAGGAATAAATCTAAAATATGTTCTCCATTCATGAAGAAATGTCGTACCGCTTTGACATTTAATGAACCTATACCACTAAAATTGCCTGTTACACCAAATTTTGACTTGACAAGACTTGCATCTACTGACACTCTAATTACCAAAGAAGAATCTGCAAGGAGTTTACAGATGTCTTGGAAAACATCTCCAGGCTCAGCAACGTTTGTAGAACTGCCAACAGTGGCAGATTCTGATTTAAAAACTCCAGTGGTAATATTTGTCATTTACTGTCTTTTAACAAAAAGATATGAGAATAGGCATTATTTTATCCCAGCGATTGAATTTAAAGTTATGGTATATGGATTTTGCAGACGGAGTCACTGGAATCATTGTGTCAAAATTTGTATGCAAGCTGCGTGCAAAATGCAGTATGTTTGAAATTATCGAAACAGCATTGTGAAATTCTGAAAGCACCCTTCGTTAAATTGATAGAGTTTTGTGCGTGGCTTTCTAAGAAACTAGGTGTGCTTATAAAAGGGGTAAGAAAACATTTCAATTGTATTATTAATCCCTCTCACAATATAAGTCTTCTTTTTACATATAAACCTAATCATTTTGATAAGGTTAAGGCGATACGAATGGCATTTGAAGGGTCAATCATTTATGAGACTTTTCTGCAATTTGGGTATACCGAATTGTTTGAAATTTTATCACGTGAATATTGAGCCCTAAGGAAAGTATAATTTGTTTTTAATCAAATTCTTAATTTTTTATAAAAAATGAAATTCATGGATGGCAGGATCTTCTTTAAAGCTTCCATATTCACATAGTAGAATTTCAAATGATTCTATACACAGAGTTTGGAGAAAAGTTTCATGAACGAGATTTCTTAGACACTACTTTCATATCACCTTAATACGCCGAATTAATACACCGATTAATACCGAAAAAAGTGGATATTTTTACAAAATTAATTAGAATGTTAGTGCTTCAAAATAGAAGATTACTCAATAAAGCATTTATTGTCTGTGAAAGGGCTGCAGGATATTCCGACGAATGGTTCTGTCCATTACGATGTCATCTTCAAGTAGACGTTTAATCGAAAACGAACTTACTCACATTGTTAGCGTGATAAAGTATGAAAATGAAAAGACGATGTCGGTTCTTTCAGAAAAGATGAGTCATTTGTCGCAAGAGCTTCATCAGGCAAGTACTTTCTTTCGATTATGCATGAGACTTATGTACTATGAATGATTAACAAGATGCGAGTTAAACAAGCATACGAGGTGTGTCCGAAAAGTAATGCAATTTCTTTTGTGCTGGTACTTAAAGTGGCCGCAGAGAGTTCCGACCGATTGGATTAGGTCTCAGCTTCAAAGCGATGCCTTCGCCAATCTGCTCCAAGCAGTTGGGGCGTCAAGATCGCTGTATCCGCGCACCCCTGTTTAGTGCCTGTGTCACGAAACGCGATGGAATAGACACTCGAGCAACGTTACGCGATAAAGTTTTGTTCGAAACTGAACAAATCTCTTGCAGAAACCCACCAATTGATTGTGCAAGCTTTTCGGGATAGTGCTCTCTCGTATTCGCATGTTTTGCGGTAGTTGAAAGCGTTTAAGGAAGGCTGGGAAGAGGTGGTCGACGAACCCCGCGCTGGATGGCCGTCAACCAGCACAATCGACGACAATTTGACCCGTGTGCGCGATCAGTTAAATTCTGACCGTCGATTGAGTGTCCGGATGATTGCAGAACTCTCAACATTCCCAAAACAATTGTACACAAACTGGTGACCGATAGATTGCACATGAGGAAGGTGTATGCCAAGCTGGTTCCCAAGCTTTTAACGGACGATCAGAGAATCACCGGGTAACTGTCGCGACTGAACTTCTCGAACGCGTGGAAATTGAACTTTCTTTCTTGGACAATGTCATTACCGGGGGTGAAACACGGTGTTTTGAGTACGATCCAGAAACAAAACGTCAAAGCTGCGAGTGGCGTGCCTCGGGATCCCCAAAACGGAAAAAAGCAAGAATGAGCAAGTCGAAAGTGAAAACGATGTTGATTGTCTTTTTCGACGCCAAAGGTGTGGTCCACAAGGAGTTCGTTCCGCAAGATCAAACCGTGAACGCTGCCTACTACGTTGATGTACTGGAAAAACTGCGAGAAAGGGTCGTCCGAGTGAGAAAGGAGTTCGCCACTACCTGGGAGCTGGAAAAAGTGTTTAGATGTCCAAGGGAACTACTTTGAAGAATATTAAACTTTTGTAACGATATCTACAATAAATCTATTGGTAAAAAAAAATTGCATTACTTTCCGGACAAACCTCGTAATATCTATAAAGTAGAAGATAAAATATAAGTATAAGATAATAACCCCCGGTAAGCGTTTGGTGTGCGTTAGTTCGAGCTAATCTCAAAAACCACTAAATCGATTTTAATACTTAATATACTTAAATACTTTTACAAATAATTAAAGAAAATGTTATTTATGCACCCTGGCATGGATAGTCAGACCTATTAGTAAGGGTAAATTGATGCGGCATATATTAATAATATATAATAGATCCACACGAAATATAACCAGTAATGCTATTAGATAAAAAATGTATTTGTAACAGACTCGAGTATCCAGTGAAACAGCATTGACAGCTCTGACGACGGAAGTACATTGTATAAAACATGTCAACGACGAATTATTTAAGAAGAGCAACATCTTAACGAAGGAATTGAAATTGCTTCAAGAAACATTACAATCTGCACTTACAAGGCTTGAAACACCAATACCTGCTCAACCTTCATCGCTGCCACCACCGCCACCTCCACCGCCACCTCCACCTCCGCCACCTCTTCCACCACCGCCACCTCCACCACCTCTTCCACAAACATGGGTCAACTCAAAAGAATTCGCAACACCTTCTAGTCATCACATGAATATTAGGACGCCCACCAGAAAGTGTTCAACACCATTATCGAATAGGCCTGCTATAACGGTGGAAGATCTATTAAAAGTTACTCTAAAGAAAGCACCCCAAAATGTTAAGGTACAATAGCACATTTTTAATCTTCTGTCATTATTTCAAGAAGTCAAATTAGCGGGCAACTATAGGTTTCTGAAAAGGGGAATTCAAACTTCTACATTGGTAGAATTGCGACTTAAATGAATTAGATCTATACTATTAATTTAATATACGCTACACGTTTTAGAAATAGAGGATACTGCTGGTAGCGCTTTGAAAAAATCTCCACATGCTTAATTTAATAGTATACACGATACTTTATATAATAAAAACATGATTTACACATCTTTTTGCGCATAGGCGGAGCATGAATATGGGCATTTCTTATTTTCTAGGACATTTTCAGCTTCTTTTCTGTACTGTCCTAACCTTCCGCCATTTGTTTACGTTCACCATTGCAAAAAGACCAACTTTAGGTACCAAAGGCATTTGTGAAAAAGCTTGTAAACCATGCTTGCGTTATATAAAGTATTTACTTTAATAACTTGCCCTCCATTCTGATAAACTTTGAATATCCTCGGGATAATATGATATGCCTATTGTACCGCTTCTGGCCAGAGATATTTGACTTCTTGGATTGTTTAATCCAGGGGTCGGAAACTTTTTTAATCTCAGAACTATTTTACCTTAAAACCTCAACTCAACATTTACAGAGAGCCTTCAAATGATGGGAGAATAACGACTTTAATAAATGCTTATGCTTTATATTATTTCAAACAATGTATATGTAGATTGTAACTACAAAGAAGAGCTTATAATTGCAAGTTTAAAGGGGTTCATACCTATTGACAGTATTAATGAGTCGCAAGCCGAAGGTTGCCGACCCCCGGTCTAACCACTTAATTGACAGGAATATCATGGAGAATATAAGATTTTATATTTTCAGGAAAATCGAAGCAACACTTCGTGTGGTCCCAAAGGCCCTGTCGTCTCTCTTGACATGCTACACAGTGTTAAGTTGAAATCAACGCGGCGCAGATCCGCCAATGGTACTCTGAAATCACCCAGAAGTTCGTCACGCTCTTTAAAGACACGCCTGGATCCTAGCTTAAGTCTGTCACCAATAATGGCAGGCAAGGAAAACTCTCTTGGACGGATCTTGCGCCAACTGGACCCCAATCGGCGAAGTGAAAAACGTGCCCTTTCAAGTCCAACTCACAACGAAAATGACTTGCTTAAAGATAGTCCTCATACCTTCAAAGAACTAAAATGTAGTAAATCTCATTCGGTGATTCCGTAAATCTTTCGCTCCATTTTATTGGGTCACTCTTTTTAATTTGCCTTTTTAGACAGGGCATTTGCAATGCTGACACGATTTCCAAGGGATCAAATGCGTTGAAATGCCCATATTGAAATATCTCAATTAAAGGTCGCGGGTCTGCATTTTTATGGTTTGGCCAGTTTGACGTTGTTAGAACCGAGGGTTTTGTTAAACAAAAACGTCTACTGAAGCGAACCGATATTTATCAACTTTCTCAATTGACTATGACTTTTTGAAATTTGGTTAATCTATACAATTGTTGAAGTAAATCTACAGATGACGTCTTGTTAAAATCTAATAAGAAACAACTTATAAGTTTGTGCCGTAGTGAATTCACATGTGATTAATTATTTTATAACAAAAATGAGAATAACAACGCTTTAACGGAAACATGCCTTACCGAACTCATTGATAGGTCTTACAGGCCCGAAACCTAAACTAATATTAAAGGCATGTATTACACGTCATTTATTTTTTAGGATTTAGTATCCCTGGCGGACTATTAATCGAACAAAGGTTACTTTACTTTCTTGTCCTCATTCCTTCATATTAGAAAGAGAGATAACAATTGTGACAAATAAAAACCATCAACAAAGTACAGTTCGTTTTCTGAATGTAATCGATTTCGTTACAGATAGTAAAATGAGTTCGTTTGAATTATTTTTAATGTTATACTGAAACTCATGTATGATAAAGTAACATACGATCTTTACAAATGTGTTTCAAACTTATGAATTTTAACCCTTAGATAAAAACTTAACGCAATTTAAGACCGTTCTTCGATGAAAAGAAACACCCTGAGGACGATTCCGAAATAAAAAGAAAATTATAGTAATTAATGTGCCGTTTCCGTATGTCATTCCTGGTGAAGGGACAATAACAATTAAAAATAATTTTGCTTGTGCGTCAACGGTATAAATTTGTCTCGTTAAGTACGACTTATCCTTTTGCTCTTTGAAGACGTTAAACGTTCCGCATTTACAATTACTTTTCAAAACAAGTAATCGTATATATACGTATCTAAGTAGCTTGGGCTTGATAACTCGCGCTAAACATGAAATTATTTAAATTGTTTCCATATTGGCGCAACATGATGACGTAGTCAATTAAAGTTTAGTAACAATGGAGACGGTATTTGAATGACTTTATTTCCTTGACTCGCGACACATGCGTGTGCTTCATAAGTGAAAGGGATTTTACATGTAAAACTCAACTCGGAGTACTTCGCAGTACATTATTAAACACTAAAGCGCTTACGATCCGGAGATATTGAATATCATCATCTTATAGTCTCGGAAGGTTAACAATAAATACATTCTAAATTCGATATTGTAAACGCCCATCGTCGCCTATAAACTATCACACCCCGTGTGATATTTGATGAGGTAAATGTAAAAATGTTAGCGACACTAGTTTATTCAAACAAAATCTTCGTTCCATTAATTCCTGTTGATTTCATTTCATTGATATAGAATCGAATAAACATTATCTTACCAAAGGAAAGTATTGAACCGACTAAATAAATTGAATTGATTCGTGTCCCTCGGAACACTTTAAAGTACATAAGAAATTTTTTATAAATAAAATCTTCATTTACCATTGTATCATGTGTACCTTCTACACAAGAAAATCTAACGTGAATTACCTCGCATATTAATTCGAACACCTAAATACATGTTTTTACTTAACTCAAGGTGGGCACTAATTAATAAACATGAATTTGTGATTTCTAAGTTCGTCCGATTATATTAACTTTTATATTATTATCTTAAAAATATAAATTTCTTTCATATTAATAAAATTCTCAAAGAAATCACTAAAGAAAACTTTATTACACGAGACTTAAACGTGAAATTGTATTCTCTTTTAGTCTAAAAATACGTACGAATATTTCTTTAGAGATGAATTATCAATCATAGGAAACATAATCTTGCTATGAAAAATATTATTGAAAAGAAGCCAATTGGTATTTCAATTTAATGAATGATCCCGTTTGATTAAAAATTAGTTGTCTATATAATATCCGAAAAAAAAAGAAATTCATGCTTTAAAGTGATAATTTCTCAGAGAATACTGGTTCCTATCACTTTCCACTTAGGAAGGCTTGTTGCCATTTTGTTGTCTCGTCTTTTGTTCCGTAGAGTTAAATGTTTACGGCATTTAATAGTCTCTCCTTCCAACCAGTTATTAATTCCTCCCCTTATCTGTGGGCACAGTTAAAATGATCAGATAAACGTTTTTTTTTACGTCTATAGTACTATTGCAATATTCCTGTAAAGATATTCTTTCATCCATTATTATTTGTGTACCGGTAATATGTTAATTATGTAATTACTGGTCATACTGTCGTAATACTCCAATTCATGGGCTTACCGCCAATTTTCATGTTTAAAATAGATATTAATTTCAATAATGATAGTGAGTCTAAGAAAATGTTGATTTCCTTATTAAGATTCTTCTCAGTTTCGGTCAAACCTAATTACGAAATAGCCCTATTTTAAATACGTGCGAATTATCCGAGTGATTATCACATATTAAGTTAAATCCGTCGATAAGAAATCAACGGTTAATACATTAGTTCGATAGGTCAATCAATTGTTCAGTTAACCCACCTGAATCTACCATTCTACATGTAGGACGTTTACATTATCTTATTAATATTTACGTTGCAGTATATCGCTCGTAACGACTATTGTAAGTAATCTCCTCGATTATTCTACTAGTTTATTTAAATAAGTTACTGAATGTTTGCGATCAGAGTTACATGATTGCGCACAAACGGCGAGTGATATTTATTTATATCAAAGGGGGAAACAAGATGAACCATTCAAACGATAAACACAGCAAAGGTGTTCCCAAATTACACGGCAATAATGCTCGCTACAATCTAGTCGAACTTCAGTTGTTATATATATATATAAATCAACATCAAATTCGAAGTAGAAAAGTAACCGCTGTATTTATACACATTTTATCCTCTGTTAATTCGTTTATTCCTCGTGTGGCTTCCACCCTTGCAAGTCAAAAACCAAACGACAAAGTGGGCGATACTACCTGGGAATGATCGGCTCTTTGAGTCTTGTACTGAATAATGATTTTTACTTTTAAATATCTGGGCTCTTATACAATGTTAAGCGATACATACACGAAGTCGAATTTAAGAAACCTAGCTATCAGTCGGGAAGTATCGTACCGGAAATCCTGAAAAAAGTACGAGCGCTAAATACGAGGGCGAATCTCGGCCCTCCGTTTCTACGAGGGGGGTACCGTCTTCCAAATTCGCTGTCATTTAATAAAGGTAAAGGTCGGTTCAAAGGTAAATCGTCGACATTGACGAAACATCGGTTGGCTTTTTAATTTCACAAGACATCGGCATCAGTTTTTCCCTGCACCCTATCTTGTCCAAAGTGTGCCCTACCATCTGAAAGTTGTCCGCCGAAAAACACCGTGTACAATGAAAAATTCCATTAAGAGTTATTTCGTGCGCGGAGTCGAAAGACTCGTCTCTAGTAATCCGTTAAAATTATGCGCGGTTAAAGCGTTAAAAAGTATTCGTACAACGCTTAACCGTGATAACGCAAGGAACGTGTTTTGCGTGAAACATTTTTTAGGCGATACACCGTGGGGGCAAAGAGCTTCATCTGAAATAGCAGAACATGTAATTAACGCAATAATTTATCTCAATACGGCGGCCTCGCGAATTAAAACAACGAAGAGAAGGACGCAGCTCCAAATCATAAAGAAGCGATAATTGTGCGCTTAAGTCCTCCCGAAATAGTACGCTAGATACTTATGGGAAAGGATCGCTAAAACAACGGAGGAACGGAGCGGCGGACTTTTCGACAAGCACGAGAGATCGAACGTAAAACCAAAGTACTGGGTCACCCCATAAGAAATGAGGTCTTCTTATTTTGAGCAATAAGAAAAAACCACACTACTTGCGGGATGATCTAATACAACAATCCCGCGCGCGTGCGAGACAGAGAGAAAGAAAAGCAGATATAAAGAGAGAAAAACCAGGGTACAGAGAGCCATTTATTCTGCCATTTCTCATACCATAGCTACCAATACAGTTCACATAAAGGACGTATGCAAACGTACATTCATATTATGGGCTAGCTAGCCAGTTAGTTTTTGGTATGAATACAACGCTAAAACAGGCTTCTCTTCAGCGACGAGCGGTACGTTGCACGTATTCGTGTTTACCTATTATTATGTTTTTTTTTTCATTTCTTCCTTCTCTTCCGTATTTTCCGTTTCCGTCTGTTAATCCCATTTCCTTTTAAGTTGACGATGCGCTCGGATGGGAAAAGTCTTGGAAGTAACAGAAAAGAGATTCCTCTATACGCTCCCCTGCTGTTCACAGGCGGACGGCCTTACGGGTGAACAGTATTCATCTCGACGGATGGCCTTTCCTCTCGTCTCTGCTGTTCACGAACGACAATGCATAATCTCAAGCTATTCACCGTCAACGGATGATTCGTCGAAGACCTCGGTTTCCCGGTTGATCGTTTCTGACGGAAACCACGCATCTCGGACGTACACGTGCACAGGGATGACGAGCTCCCTGTTCCTCGCTAATTCTCCCTCTATATTCTTATATATCCGACAATCCGCAACTAGTCACGGGAGAAAAATCGACCTACTATACTCGCTTAAATGACTCTTAACCGTTTCGCTCTATCGTCGACTATTACATCCACGCGACGATCTATAGGTACTAGCACCGTTTCAGGACATGACATCCGTTTAAATTTTATTCTCTCCTTTTAAGTGTATCAATTATTACGATTCATTTACATCAAGAATACTGATTACAAGGCTTTAATTAACGCTGGAGTATAATTTTATACGTGTTCGTTAGCACGAGCGCGAAACTCTACTGACTTTCCCGACGTATCGGACATCGTTCTTACATAAATTCAGTTTTACTTCAGTTTTGAACGGAAAGTGTTCTTTTTAATGCGGTCCATTAACTCCATTAGAAGCAGAAATTATTTTCTGTACGCATTGAAGCTCTATACATAACGTGCATGATGCATCATTGGCTTCGAATAGGTTGAAACGGCGAAGTAACTACAGAACGTCTCGTTTCCTCGCACGTAGAATTAACGCTGGCTAATTACATTGCCGTATAATCGCTCTTAGGTCGACGTAGTGATAGGGTTGATGCTTGGGTGTAGATGCAAAGAGATATCCTAAAAGCAAATCCATCCTTGGGACATTTTCCTGGCAACTTTCGGATGTTAGGTCACAGTTTTATGTTCTTTCGGGTCTATAAAGCCTCGAGAAGGATTCATTTTTAGACTAGTCCTTGTCTCTACAATTTGGAATTGGAATCCGATGTTTGGTCGACTGCCCTCGTTGGTAGCCACAAATTGTCGGAGCAATGATACTGTGTATAATGCATGCTTATCGCTACCTCTGGGATGCATTACGAGACAATCCTGCTGGACAAATTTTTCGGAAACTTGACGGAAATATTAGCGCTCCGGTCTCTCTTAGAGAAATGTTCTATACTACACCGCAATGACAAAACGCAAGGACTTCGCTGATTACGCGTTCGATTGGTATCCTCTGATCGTTAAGTTAAAGAGAATTATGAAACGAATAAGAAATTTGTCCATCAGGGAGCTCTCAGGCCAATGAAAAACACCCTTGTAATCTCGGTTCGGTCGACGTGGCTCTGCCCGAAATCTGAGTTCAACTGCTCTTTTATTCTTATCGACCGTCCTCAAGAAGTTACAACTAAGTCAAACGTGCACAGAAGTGCACATTAAGAAGAGGCTTAGAGCCAAAAAATTGGGCCAGGGAACCCCAATTAGCTCCGAAGTTGCACGGTTGTACCACAATTCTTGAATTCCGTAACAATAATCTTAGTCTCTGTGTACGATACACGTTATCGTTGTCCCCAAGTCATCGTTCGCCATGCAACCGTGGAGCTAACCGTGAATTCCCCTCCCAAACTCATGAGTTCCAAACGTCCCCAGCTGAAGTAGCCTTTAGCAAAGGCTTGATTTCATTCTCACCCATCAAAGTAGCAAGAGCAAGAGCCTTCGCAAGAAGAGAACCTATAGGCATGTTTTTCTATGGCGGGCTATAACCGACTTCCGTACCCCATCCGCAAAGTGTAAAACTATTTAAATCGAAGGGCTACCGATCCTAAATCTCCCCGTGGCCGTGTTCGCGACGACTATAGCCTTTCGTCCTCGTCGACCGCCCTCGAGAACTCGCAACCGAGTCGGACGCGTACAAAGTAACACCTCACCGAGTAATGGTAAATGCCAAGAAAGTAGGTAGAGACAAAGCATCGATCAAATCCTCGGTCACGCGACGGTATCCCGATTATTGCATTAGCTACGATCGCCTTCCTACGTCCATACGTGGGACATCGTCGCCGTCTTACCTAAGAGCTAATCGTCACGAAATCGACGAGTTAAATGCGGTTTGATCTCCCGACTTTTCGACCGAAGACCTCTCTCTCGTGAAGCGTAGCCCTATAAACCTCCAACTTGGTTGGCGTATCACCCGGGAGCTAATAGGTATAGCGAGAGCCACCGTAAGGAGAGAGCCTAGACACGCGTTTCGCTAACAAGGAAACATTCCCAATTGTCCGCCGTCGATCTTATTGATTTTCACATATGTTGAAGAACACAAAAATCCAAGAGACACGCGTTTTTTTTTTTATCTGCAATGGTCCACATTTAAGGGATGAATCGACCCCCCAAAATTTGGCGAAAATTTGAGTTGTATATTCATTTCGTAGAAGCAGTGGAGGGATTTTGATGAAACTTGACTTAAAAATGTATTCTGTATAAAGACAGTGGAAATACAATATTTTCCAGGAATGCTACTCCACCTCAAGGGGGTGCACTACTCTTCAAGCGAAATTTTTTTTGTAATATCTATTAAACAAGCACTCCTATTTAAGTTCCACTTACGCCATGTGATTGCTCATGAAAAACGAGGAAATACGTGTTTTTTGCTTTTTGCCAATAAACATTTATACATCGGTTGAAAAGAATGAATGTAGGTGGTATATGGGTATATCCCTACTGTCTTTGTTGGGTCATACCGTGACCAATTCATTGTAAGTAAATCGTGTAAACGTGCTAATTTCTCAAAATGTAGTTGGTTTTTATAACATACAATTATTTATAAATAAATTTAAAAAACAGTTTAAGAGACTGAAATTGCTTCGCAACAGATTCGATGATATAACCCAATAAAGATAGACGGGATATACCCATATGCCACCTACATCCATTCTTTTCAACCGATGTATAAACTTTTATTGGCAAAAAGCAAAAAAAAACCGTTTCCTTATTTTTTCTAAGCAATCACATGGTGTAAGTGGAACTTAAGTAGAAGTGCTTATTTAATAGATATTACAAAAAAATTGCGCCTGAAGGGTAGTTCACCCCCTTGAGGTGGTGTAGCATTCCTGGACAATATTGTGTTTTCGCCAGCCTTATACAGAAAACGTATATGCCAAGTTTCGTCGAAATCCCTCTCCTGCTTCTTCAAAAATTAATATAAAAATCGATTGTTGGCCAAACTTTGGGGGATTGTTTCCGCCCTTAAATGTGGACCATTGCAGATTAAAAAAAAAAACACGTGTCTATTAGATTTTTGTGTTCCTCAACATATATGAAAATCAATAAGATCGGCGGCGAACACTTGGGAATGTATCCTTGTAAGTCGAGCTGCATCCGGCTTCCGTGTTCCACCCGCAAACGGCGAAATGACACAAGTCGAGGGGGTTGCTCTCTAGCCCTAACAAGACTGGCGAGCTATAGGGCGCATCGACGCCGATCGAAATCCTCCATGCAACTTTCGTCCTCGACGCGACTTCGGGCCAAGAGAGGCCCGACGACTCGGACCTCGGCGGAAACGAGCAAACACGGAGCAAGTGCAGCAAAGCTCGCCGTTACCCACTCTGGTCTCGACTCGTCGGCCCGGGGTTGCTCGTACCTCGTACACTCATATAAATAAAGGAGATGTATGTGTGTAGCCACGTAGGAATTTCAATCCAGGCATACGCGACGCGAAGAGACAACAAAACCGCGAGTAAAGCGGGACGCTCTGCCAGACCCGCGGTTTCGAGACCCTCGCCACTTTAAATGCTTGCAATCTCACTATTAACGTGTCACTTACATTACGTTTTTCTTATTATTTTCTTTTCTTTTTTTTTTTTTTGCGTGCTCCGTTTAACTCAATGTGTATGATTGGATGATTTTTGGAGTAACCGTACGTGCGTACTTAGGGTCACACAATCGCTAAAGATCTCCTCTTCTTCGCTCCCAACCCTTTCCCCTCTTGCCGCCAACGCTTCCTCCTCTGCCCCTCCCCTCCTTCCTCTTCTTTTCGCACCCCACCCGCCCCACCCCGCCCCGACCTCCCTCACCTGCTGAATTGTTTCCTTTTGCTTAAGAGTTATTAAGAGTTTGTTTTTCTTGTGTTTCATTCGTATGCGCAATTAACACTCACTGCAACTAGAGTTACGATACGTCCTGATCCTCCACGTCTTGCAGCTGCTCCTTCTGCTCACCTTCTCCTAGGAAACAGAACGTTATTCTTTGTATTAGATACAAATTCATCGAATGTTTCGATCAAATTTACTCGAGATTAAAAGTATTTAATACATTGGCCAGTGAAGGTGTCACCACCACCTGATATTTCCAAGCTACGTACAATTATCTAGTTGTTTTCATGAACTTGCATACCTCTTTCCGAGAATTAAATAAAAAAACATATTTAGCTCCTTTAAAAGTAAAATTTCAATTAGTATGTAACAAACAAAGCCGATTATGAAGTGCATCGGTTCGGTGCACGTGTACAAGGAAACATACAAATTCTAAAAAGTCTTACCCGAAACAAGTGTTTAGTATTTCAAACACGACAAAACGTGATTTTTCTAATTAACGCTTGGCTGCTTTAGACAATATTATTGTTTAAGTTTCTTGGGGATTTGAAACTTCTGCAATTAAAAGTAAATGGTTGCTTTCGGTTACTACAGTGAGGTTATTTAGGATTACGAGCATTTCTTGGGTACAAACTTGGCTACGAAAACTTGCAGACTACCTTAAAAGCAATACTTCCTAAGAAATTAAAATCCCACGAAAGCTAAAAGCCTCGGGCTCCTAAATTTACAAATCCGGGCTGCTGATACCTTTTTGGGATTAAAGCATTCATCAATTCAATCTTATTTTTAATTTCTTATCGCTATGATCATTGCCAGTCACATCTAAGCACATATCCGATTCTAAGTAAGAAATTGTTGAGAAATCTATTTGATACAAAAATTCGTGAAAATAGTTGAACTTTTTAAAAAGACTTCCGAAATATTCCTAAAATGAGCTATCTTTAACAGGAAACTTAAGATTTCCTGATATGATAAAAACTACTGGAACCCATGTGAGCTATATATATATGGAAGGATTGAATGTGGGAAATATCATTGAGGGATATAATTAGCATTCACTTCTGGAATCTTGTAAAGCGTGCGATACAGAGAATATGTAATACAATAAGACTTGAATATACTGATATATTCCCCTCAGGTTATGGTTGGTATACCACGTGTACTCATTATTGTGTTGCTAACGTTTTTATTGATAAACATTTATCAATACATGATAATCTGCTCCCAGCGAATGCTAAAGAACGAGAGTATCATGTGTTTTGTCTGTATCCTTTTTTCCCCTCATTAGTAGAGCTGCTATTTTGTACGCGATACCGTCATCATTGCTGATATGAACTGCGTAACTTCCGAAATTCTTGTAGACATACACGCTCGGGCATTCAATTAATCAATGGAACACAACTCTTACGGCACAATTCAACGTCCACGTTGAAATTTCATTTGAAATTATAGCAAATCATAACGAAGTTATTTTTCCCCATAGATAAAATATTCGAATACCTGAGTAGTTGTACTTGAAATTCATTATACCGTGAAAAAAAAAGCATGTTCAAAAACCTGGCAACAATTCGATTAAGTGCCCTCAAGAGAAGGAAATGGACCTTGGATATGCATACCTAGGGAATGGCGTGCCAGGAGATAGGAAAGGTATTCTTTTTTTTCTCTCTAAGGGTGAGCATCACTGGTAATGGCTACCGCGCCGTCGCCTTGAACGGTCAACTGCTCGGCTTCGGGTTCTAAATCAGAAAGCATTCCAAGCCCAAGTAAATTGAAGCGTATATACAAGAGAGCAACATTCATTCAAGAGCAATCCAATATCCGTAACACGTAAAAGGTGGAAATAATGTTAAAGGTATGTCAATGCAGAGCTTCATTTTAACGAACGATACAAAGCTACCGAACGTCTCACGAATGAAAAATTGATTAAAACTTGAGCACGTTCGCGTTTTTCTCAATACTTGAAAAGCGGATGATTTGAGAGATAAATTTGATATTATATACTTATACATGAGGTTATTAAACATAATACAAAAATTAGAAATAAATAGGAAGTCGACAATGAAGTCTATGAAGAAGTATACTGTAAAGATGATCACTGTTCGCTACTAATGATCATTTCTTTGAATATCATTACTGTTTCAACAATTTTCTTCATATTCTACCTGTAAAAGGCATACATATACTTCTTAGAAAGTAACTACTCATTATAAAAAATATGTACTTATAAAGCCTCCCATGTCAATGACCCTTTCCATTGACATTTAATTGAAAACCATTTGGGATATTTGCATCGATTTAAACAAATACCCAGAAATATAAGAGACACTACAAATAATTAAGTATCACCGACTGTTCACATCGAAGAGATGTGATTCCGACGCAAACTGTTTAAATGTACAAAAGGCACATATAAATTTAAATTTGAATAGGTGAAGCATACTTGTGTGTTTACTAAACTTGCGTACTGATGTCAGTAGTATCGGTGATACATCTCAGATCAACTCGCAATTATCATTTTACCCACCCTGGATGGTGTCATTTGTAATGCAGCTCAATAAAAGTGTTTAAAAAATACCCGCGAGAGGAACATCAGAGACCAAATTCGACTGAAAATGTTCATTGTCGACCACCTATTCGTATTAGCTGAAACTAACCATCTCCTTGCATATCCGACGTCCACAAAGTAAGATTGTCCCTGAGGAGCTGCATTATGAGGGTAGAATCTTTGTAACTCTCTTCCGAGAGAGTGTCAAGTTCGGCGATAGCGTCGTCGAAGGCTGCCTTCGCCAAACGGCACGCCCTATCAGGACTATTAAGGATTTCGTAGTAAAAGACGGAGAAGTTGAGCGCCAGGCCTAATCGAATAGGATGAGTTGGTGGTAGCTCCGTCATGGCAATGTCACTGGCAGCTTTATAAGCCACCAGAGAATTCTCCGCTGCTTCCTTCCTGTCGTTGCCAATCGCGAACTCAGCTAGGTAACGGTGGTAATCGCCCTTCCTGTAATTTTACAACTTATGATTAAACTTCAAGCCGTATTAATGTACCATGCTCCTAACCTCTACAAGAATAAGCCTACAGACACTTAAAGAATAATCATAGAAACCAGAATTCAGTGAAAATTTAAACAAGTTTATAGTCTGTTCTCATTCTTTATACCAGGCATTTATGTTCCCTGGAAGGATTAACAGTGTACGTAAAAATAATGGTAACGTGAAACAAAATATTTTCTTGGCATTTTTCAGCAGAGGATACGATTACGGGGACTTACATCTTGTAGTAGAAGACTTTCGATTCCCCGGTTGAAGCACAAGGAATTAAATGCTTGTCCAGAACTCCTAATATGTCGGCGCAGATGTCTCTCAGTTCCTTCTCAACTTGGGATCGGTATTGACGTATCATTTCCAGCTTTTCCTCTGCACCCTTGTTCTCTTCCTTTTGTTCTATACTTGAAATTATCCGCCAGGAAGCCCTCCTCGCGCCGATAACATTTTTATATGCTACCGATAATAAATTCCTCTCTTCGACGGTCAACTCTAAATCCAACGAAGCTACCTTCTTCATAGCCTCAACCATTTCTGCAAAATTATTTACATGATATAAACATTACATACACCATGACATGCGATACATTTACTACTAAGATTTACTATCCACAGATCAGTTTCACCATCAAAGGCTCCGAATGAATTTATTTCACGATCTATTCTACACCGCATTTATTCAATTGATTCAAATTGAAAATAATATATATATTGAAAATAATATAACCCTATAAAAAATTAATTAACGAATTCTTAATTGCTCGCTATTGTAAGAAATAATACCCTTGTCTGTTTTCATTTCCCTGCATCGACGAGTGGGTCTTTAAGGGATCCAAAATTTATTCAATAACTATCATAGTAGACCATCATAGACGTTTGAAATAGACGTTGTACAGTCGTCATAACGTAAGTCGAATAAAGTGCTGTTGACCTTGCACTTTATTCCGACATAGCCGTGCACGGGTTTGAAATTCGGCATTAAGAGTTCTAATAAAATATTAACCGTATAGTCAGATGTAAAAATCAGATTCCTTAGATTTATGTGATAAACCCAAGAATTAGTACGCACACGACATACCACCAGCTTAGGTGTACAGGAACGGAGGACAGCAGGCACAGATCAATACTTTCCTTCAGCTATGACCTCCCCTCCCACTCCCAGCCCCTCGCCCGGCTCACCCTCCGGCTGCTGTTGCAACCCTCAAATTTAACCTCTCTACCCTTTACACCCTTCCCACCGAGATCTTATAAATATATTTTAACCTTCACACGTTTCAAAATAGCGAAAGAACTACCAATTAAGAATCTCCCTATAAATATACTCATCTCGATTGCCCGCTGACCTCCCCGCGCGAGTAATCGAGAAATTATTTCGATTTTCGGTAGTCCCCGATTAAACTAGTCAAACGTTTTACTAAACATTGTAATAGTTAAGCTTTGCTCGAGGGTTACACCTACAACTTTACATTCCGATGCAGCTCTTGGGCAATGCATGAACCGCGAGTACTTCATCTCGACAAACAATGTAGACGGCATCGAGAAATTATTTGGATTTCAATGGTTTCTGATTAAACTAATGAAACTTTTTACTAAACGTTGTAATAGTAGCTAAGCGTTGTTAGACTGTTATACACCGCAACTTTACATGCGAGTACTTCATCTTGACAAACAATGTAGACGGCATCGAGAAGTTATTTGGATTTCAATAGTTTCTGATTAAACTAGTGAAACTTTTTACTAAACGTTATAATAGTAGTTAAGCTTTCCTCGACTGTTACACCCGCAACTTTGCATTCCGACACAGCTCTTGGGCAATGTATGAACTGCGAGTACTTCATCTTGACAAACAATGTAGATGGCTGGGAGCTAAACAATTGTCAATGTCTCAAAATAGATATGGATTACATAAATAACGCCCAATCGATGGATCGATAAATGGATAACGCAGTATAGTATTTAAACAAAGCTATCCTTACCTCAGGGGATTTAAAGTGTACGTACGAAAAGATTATGTTAAAGATTCAGAGATTTGAGAAAAATCATAATGGTCTGGTATAGGTAAAGGTGAAATGAAATGAAAAAAGAGGGTGTGCAATTATTTAAAAGTCAAGGAAGATCGATGTCTTTGGGTTAATCAGAGGATTACTATTTGAGTATTGTTTTTAAACATTTGAAGTTAAAGTACTATTGTATAATTTAAGCAACTGATATAAACGAGACATATTTATCACAAAATATAGGGGGAAAAAAAAACTCTGCTACCTAAATTGCATCGTTACAGAATAATATCCTATTGTATAATTTAAGCAACCGATATAAACAAGATATGTTTATGACAAAATATAGAAAAAATCCTGGTACGGTAATGGCATCGTTACAGAATAACACACTATGAATTGTGACAAGATATGGTCAAAACCTGATCTTGCACGTTCAACCACTTGCCATACAATTACGGATAACTGCACCATTGGTTGGTCTTCTGTTATTACACCCTACAAGTGCGATTACCTACTCCAATACATGCGTGAAACTCTATGCATATAAATTCAATTGTTTGTTAACTGTCATCATGTAGTGAAACGATTAAAATTTGCAAATGAATTTTCATATTCGGCACCATTTCCCCCTTAATGTTACAAAATATGTATTTGCCAAAGGATAATGTTGTAAATGCGAGGCATACGATATGCTTCCCTGAGTATGTCTGGAATTAGAATAAGGTTTAAATGAATTGGCGATTACATCTTATTGTTATTACCCTGACAACTATTTTTTCTATAACTGTGTATTTCAGCTATCAAAATTTAGACAGAATTAACCCCTTTCTTATGTAATTTTATCTAATGCAAATTTAAATGCGTTGCAATTAATCGACAAGCATTTAACGTTTGGACAACAATCGTATTACAACTTATACAGGTAATTCGTACTCTCTCCGTCGTTTATTATTTCAATAAATGTTTGGAGTCTTTCTATTTAATTTTGTGTTTAATGATTAAGAATTGTAAAGTTTTATGGACGTTTAGTTAACTATTCATTGCATGTTGATGGTCATTGACAGTTTACAAGTAAATTACAGATATACCTGTTTAGCTATCTGTCATGTGGAACATTTGACAGTTATCTCTTATCCGTTATACCACAAAAGAACATTGAAACCAGAAAATTCTTTAATAAAATATCTACTTATGACACATCGGAAAGGAAATAATATTCGGTATATCTTGCTTAGACCAAAAACATTTGTTTTCTTAAAAAACGTTACACAAAACGAGTCAAATGTTAACCGTTAGCTGTTTTAAAAGAATATTCAGTACCGCCGAGGAATTTTCTGACAAGCTACAAAGTTACATCGAACGTGGAAGCAGACTGAGGTATCAAAAACAAATTAATTCCATTTTCAGCATTAATTCCCCCCGATTTGAACTAAAATGGCTACTTCAATCTAATCGAAACGTTAAGAAGAAAAAAAAGTTTGCAATTCTCATTACATCCTTCGTTATCTTAAACAAGAAAACTTGTGATCTCGGGAGCACCTAACGACAGGCATCGGCATAAATGATTAACGTTAATTGATAATTGGCACAAATGATAAAATTGGCAAATTTCGATACGATACACATTCTTCCAAGACTAAGTCCAAGCGGTTACAATGTTTCTTACACAAAACAATGGTACATTGCTCTATCCGTAATTAGCGTTATGTACCGTTACAGGTTAAAAACAAAGAATAGCTTAAAAGTACGGCAGACATCTCGATGATGGAACCGAAGCTAAGGACAGAGACGCGAGCATTTGCAAGCGTGGGCACGAGGAGATTGACAGTCGCAGCTAAAGGGAAGGCCTGGTCTCAAACAAGAGTTTCGAGATGCCCACACTTGGACAGGCATAATTCGGAATAATTTCAAGGCCGCAGAGCGGAGGTCACGGAAAACAGGCATAGTAAAACACGTAGCTACGTAGCGGCGTACGTAGTAAACGCTCGGCGCGTCACCGGCGCCAGAGCAGCGAATTCGGCGGCGGTAGACTCGCGATGTGCCGGCTAGAATCGGCTTAGCAACCGTCGCCGAATCGGGCAACCGAGCTCGTTAAATCCTGCGCCGAAAAGTCCCACGGAGCCGCGTTTCCGGGATTCCCCTCGAGCTTCGTTCCCGCAATGGAGACGAAAAGTCGAGAGGATGCCGACGTCAAACGCCACTAGAGCCTGGTGGTAAAATTCCCGAGCGCAGCCCGACCATGCTCGCGTCGATTAGCGTCGACCCGCGACGCCCGCCGCCTCGCCGAGGACCGGGGACGGGTCTCCTGCGAATTCCCCGTCGATTCCCTAGAGCTGCCGACCGCGGGACGGCGGGGAGCCCGCATCGACTCGTCCGCGAATTTGCGCCGCCTTGGGCGCGCGAGAGCGGGCCGGATGTAAGACGGAGGGAAGAGAGAGAAAGAAAGACCGAGGGGAAAAAAGGAAGAGAGAGAGAAGGCCGTCGACGAGAGAAAAGGGAAAAGGGAAAAGGAGTCGCACCGCCCGAGAGCGGAAGGAGGGCCTCTAGAGCTCGTCTTTGACGTTTCGCGGTCGCTTCCTTGACAGATATCCCGTGGCGGGTCCGGCCGGCGGCATGCCAGGCCCGGTCGCGAGGACCTCGAGGCACCGGATCGTTCCAAGGATACGTGGCTTCTCGAGGCGCGACGGAGAGCGAGAACGAGAGAAAGAAAGAGAGGGAGCGAAGCTTCGCCGATTCCGCGCGACACTCGCTCGGGGAAGCCGTGCGGCTCGGCGACGGGCCGCTCGTAAAATATCGAGTTACCGTCGTAGCGCTCCGCCTGTTCGGCCAGCTTAGCTTTGTAGACGTTGTCCTCCCGCTCCGACATTCTGGATGCTCGTGGATTCTCAGCGGGTTGTCGAAAGGACTCGAAGGATTCGCCTTCGCCCGGATTCTCGCGTATTAACCGGACACACGGATGGACACTTCGCCTCGGACTGCTGCAAGCGAACTCACTAACCAAGATGGCGGCGCCCGCCAACAATCGAAAGCAGTTCCCTGCGGCGCAGACTCCGAATGGATTCCGCTGGATTACGCTCGCCCGGAGCCCGGCCGTCCTGTATTACTCCGCGTGACGTCACCGTCGACGCGCGCACGCGCGAGCCGCCGCGTCGCTCGAGTGTTCGACGAGAATCGACCAATGGCGAAGGGCAGAGGAGAGGAGGGACCGAGAGACCTGTCCGCTTCCTAAGGATCGCTCCCTCTTTCTCACCCTCCGCTTGTCTTATGCGGGCGAGAGCGACGGCATGGTCTCTCGTGCGTAGCCAGGGCTACCGCATCGAACAACCTCGGAAGAAACGCCATCGATGGGGTCACGCCTACCTAGTTTCAAATGGACGGAATTTCAGTTTTATCTAGTTTCGCCGCGTGAATTACGGAAAAATGAATTACAAAATACGTGACCCGAAAACGTACGTGCCGAGACAGCTCCTCCGGTAGAGAGTATAACGAAAATGAAGATAAAAAGGTAGTAATTGTACCGCAGCATGATGCAGACCGCGTCGAGCCGCCGCCGAGTTCGGCCAATGACGGAACGCGCGCTTAATCGGCGGCGCGCGCGGTTCGATCGGCCTAAAAGTTGGCAAATAGGAAAAGAGATGAGAAATTTCGCTTTTCGCATTGGTCGCGCGTAATCTTCTGACACTTCCGGTATTTAAATGCAAGTAGATTTACTATCCCGATACCCAGTCGCGTTCAATCGTTTGATAATGAAACCTGAAGGAAATATTTTTCGGCGTGAGAATAGATGTCAAGAACATTTCTCTGCATGTATATACATATTAAGCATGACATGTAAACGAAGATGAAATAATTGGACTAGGAACGCCGCAATATAACACTTTGCATATGAAAATTGTCACGGTTGCAGTTTTCGCAATAATAATCGCTCATTATTAAATTAGAAACATCTTCTATTTAACGTATTTGATACAAACTTTGATAAAACGAGAAACATATATAGATATATTCAATTAACGGTGGTAAATTAAGCGGTGTAACACGCAAAGATACATTGGAGCATTGAAAGCTTATTCATGACAATAATTTTTATTTTGACAGAACTACTTTTAAACACTTTCAATATTGAACGAATTAATTGAGCCAAATATACATGTGATAAGCCTTCGTTTCAGAACAAAACATGTTATGCGTTGATAATTGTTGGCTACAATTGTCAACTATAAAAATTATTATACGAAACTCGTTATACGTATTCGTTGCTTATTATTAATTTAGGATTATTACTAAATCAACATCTTACTATAAAGTATGTCTTTGTAAAGGAACATGAAAGGATATATTGTAGTAATTCTTTTCGAAATCAAGTGGCTTTCTACAAAAGCCAATCTTAACGCTACTGGAAAAATTAACTTTATTACCCTATCTATTGCATAAAAATATGACTATTTTGGTTTATTATGGCATGAATATTTTAAAAATTAGAAAAAATTGAAATACTTTACTAAAATCGACGTTCTCCAGATATACTTGGATTTTACAAAAGTTAAAATTTTATGAGATAACTTCCTGCTTTATGCATATCTTTTAAAACGAAATATCAATAGAATCAATATGTACGGGTTGTTAGTAAATTAAGAATAATTACATATCGATCAGTAACTTGCATTATATCACAAATTAACATATTTAGCAAGAGTAAACGTACACAAAAACCGACTAAAACCATGGAACATTCCATTACGAGTCTTTTGCTCATCATTCAAAACTATTGAAGTCTACTATGCAAGATTAGTAGCTATCAATATAAAAAAATAAAATACGTGACGTACTTTACATATGTAATTGGAAGAAATAACATTGTAAGTAAGCCAACTAATTGTATATAATTAAGCAGGACAATTATTATTGGTATATAATACAAACAAAAAAGAATGTAAATATCCAAACTTGTTCGTTGTTTCAATATTCTTTTATTGTTATTTATACACTTCTATCTTCGCATAATGCATGGAACATGGAACAACCATACCCTATACTGCATAATACCCCTTCCTAAAAAAAACTGATTACATATGTGGAATACAAAAAAAAATCTTGTAGAAAACAAAATTCTACCAGATTATTTCATTGAAATTTAAAAATTCTTCTGCGATGCAATCAAGATGTATTAAACAAATGACTTGTTTATTATAAATTAGTTATTCTCCAATAAAAAAATCTTTCCTTTCAATAGGTTTGAAATTTATTTCACAATTTTTTAAATACTTTGATCACACTTCTAATGAATTCAAATATATAACGATTTAGAAAAGAACACGTGCAGTAGTTTTACGACTTTTTGTGGACTATAAATCTTGGTCATTTTAAACATTAATACATGGAAAACAAGTATATACCGATTAATTTTGCACACTGAATATGTACAAAACATTTGACAAAGGTCGCTTGGGTTTTTGTAATGTCCAATTTTGAAAATAATTACTCGTTGCGTACGTACTGTAAAAGCAATACCCAAGAAATCCGACTAATCGGAGTTATTGTAGTACTTTTAAATTATTTATTTTATAATTACTTTGTATTTATATGTATACAGATATATGTATATATCATCTTTTTTGATAATTATCAACTATTAAAATTATGATACAACCTGGGTTATCCATACAGACTTAGTGTAACAATCATTGTAAATATTGTCCGCAGGTCGATCGTTCCTCTCAAAATATTAACGTTCCGTACTTGTATAATGCGTCAAAAAAAAATATAGTTACTTTTATATCTAATGAGAAGAACCATCTATGTGCGGGATATTTAATAGGGATATACAAGTGTTTCGACTTGATAATATTGTTAATGTATATATTAACAAATATAAACCGTGGAGAGGAAAAATTCATAGTACGTTATTGTACACAAAGCTTGAAAAGCTTCCCTACCGTGAATCACTTGGAAGCTCATATGCCGCCTGTGTCAGTTATCTTTGCGAAATACCCCTCTGCTTTAGTTCCACGGTGCAGTTAGAATCGATCACTCTAGGTCTATGGAAAGCCATGAATGTGTGTACAAGTACTGCACATCGTATCTCCCTAAAATGTAATGCCCCCAACAGTGAAATCCTGATTACCCATGAACAGAATTTTCCAGCTTTTTATGTTTATCATACAAAATAAATATTCGCACATTACACGTACATTTGTTTATGTACGAATATCTTTTATGTCGCATAACTGATAGGCGCATATAGAAATGCGGTATTGGAAATAACTCGGTATTGTCCGGTTCTAAGAAAAACGGTTCAACAATATTAATTAACAGTCGATTCCGAAACCTGAATTAAATGTTGCACTCCGTTCATCTTGTATATTAGAAATTAACCCTTCCTCGCCTAGGTGCCTAGGTCCTAATCTGTTAGTAAATGGCAAGAATTAGGTAATTAGATTTTGATCGATGCTCTGATTGCATGTCCTTGTATAAAGTGATATCGAGGTTGCTCATTGCTCTTTGTAGTACATGGAGCAATATGATTCGCTTTTGTACCGTTACATTAAAATACCTATTTCCACATATTAATCGTTATTTAAATTAATAATGTTGCCTAATTGAAAATCATTATCCCTAGCCAATAAATTTTTGTGGAGAATGTGAAACGGAGAATATTATTTAATTTATGTAAAAATCATATTAGTAACTCTTTCAATGATGCTAAACGTTTAAGATACATTGGAATAATATACCTTAGATAAAAGAAACTCACGAATAAAGATTTTCATCGATACCAGAACTCGGCGAGAAAGGATTAAATAATGATAAATATCAATGGACAACGTAACAATTCTTTTATATGGCAGCAGTAATGAATTTTCGACAGCAACTGAATTCAATGATTTATATACGAAGTAAATATTATAGTTGTAATTTATTGATTCTAAAGAAAAACTGATATTCCTATTTTTTTTTTCTGTTTCTGACAAAAGAAATATCTTTCTGTGTGCCAATAAAATATTTTTCTCTTGGAAATCCAGCTGAGCCTCTATTCTGAATTACACGATCATTCCTTTAATATCACGAAATAGACTTTTATGAAGCACGTTTAATTTCCTTGGATCAGGATTTTTTTCAGACAGTATATTCTGTGATCATCATTTGATCGCATACCTTTGATAATTTTATATCGCACAATCCATTTCGTTATATCTTTTAAGAGCATACTGGGACCTACTAGTTGGAGTTGCCGTCCAAAGTAACTTCAGTTTTTAGGAAAAAAGTAATAAATCTAGGCAACATATCAGACATGTCAGGCACTAAGAGATTAAAAACCAGGACGGTTAGAAAGCTATTCGACTAAATTTAACCGCCTCACTACGCAGAACTTCACCGCGAATATGTTAGACCTCCTAGGGTAAGAAGCACGAAAATAATGGATATCATTTACGGTATCATCTTTCAAGCGAATTACAAGTGTGGTTTGTTACTTATAGCAGATACTAGTGTTCAAATTATAAATAAAACGTGGTCCTATTTAATGGCTACAAGCCTTATAATATATTTACAATAATTTGTAGTGGAACTAAATCGTTGGAATATCCACGTGGGTACGCACTGAACAGCTTGGATAAAACTAAACCCTGTATAAAACAATCATTTTTGAGCGATTATATAATTTTCGATGTAACAACCAAACGTGGTAATTTACCGTAACGTAATTTACAACGCCCGGCACATAATTAATGCAAGAAAAGTATAACCAGACTTTGCAGACGGCAGAAATGTACAATGTCAAACATATTTGTTACGTGCTTAAGCACCAACATGTCAGCAATTTCAGATTTTCGCGAACATTGGAAGAATTAGATCATTTCCTAGCTCGTTCGGTTTCACAGCACCGCCTATTATGCCAACTATCTATCGACGTGTACTTCTTGGAACCAAATTAATGGTCGGATATCGATTAACAAAGAAATTTAAACAGCGGACTAAAATATGTTCGGACATCGCGACCAATCGCCTTTACTCTTGCAATCCCAGTATTCTCCAGTGTACATATGGCAAAGAGATTCCGTGTATGGATCCTGTTGTTTTTTAAACCATACCGGTTCGTATGGCTCATATGGCAATCCTGTAATACATGAAATACCAGTTGAATAGTGTACAAATGAAAATAACAGGCAAACTTAGCGCGTTTGATTGAGACCATCGTTTAAAGAGCCTTGAAATTATTTTTAATTATTATTTCAAATTCATCATATTCTTCTCTAGAACATCCTGTACCAATCAGAATGTGGATTATCGCATAACCACGATGTTCGTAACTAAATGAACAACAGTACACGAAACAACGAACAAAGGAAAACGTTCAATGCGTAACGATTCTGTCGGCAGACAGACCATCGCACAAAGATGAAAAAAGTAAAATATTCTTATCATTCCGCGCGATTCATTCGAAGGTCATTCCATTTTCCGCACTCCGTGTCGTTTCAGCGTGTATGAAAGTAAGGCATAATAGACTCTACAGTTTCTAATAATTACGATTAAAACATTACATGGTCGAAAACCCCATATACTAGAGATAAAAGATCTTTTTAATAAGAAATAGTAAAAAAAAAAACTGGAAGAACACTGAAAATAATAAGCTGAAAGATTGACCAACCACGTTCTGTCGCCACCTCCGCCTCGAATTCACGCATTCGTCTGGCCGCACGTTGCTTTTCTTCTAATCGCAATTTTTGTGAATTAGCCTCATCCCAAAGTCCATTCTCCATTAACCGTTGATCGGGCCTTAATCTGGAGTCGGTTGGTGCTACTCCTTCTTCGGGTTCATTCAACTGACAGGCCAATTCGGTAAATGAGTAATACTTCTCACAGTCCTCACTAAAATTCAATTGCAAAATAACTTGGAATGACAGTCTTTACCTCCTTTGTTTCGATTATTAATACCGACTCCCGTTTCAACGATTACATTAATCTTGATTTATGCATGTCTGGATGTGAAATATCGCATAATCACAACTTATTGTTATGAAAATGGAGTATATGATTCAATGAGATTCAACCCAAATGTTTCAACGATACGGCCATGATGATGAAATCGATAAACATGAACACACTCACGGTGGCATACGACGTTTCCAAGCCAGGATGTAAGGTCCCGTCTTATAAACAGGGTTATCAGGTGTGCCAGAAGTACTAATAACTGGGGCTATTTCCATCTTAGAATCCCAGGTACCCTGCACGACCCATTTAACTTCATTGTTCGAATTCATCACAACTCCACGAACCTTGCGTTGACTGTCCCTCGAAAAATACGAATATGGAATATATTTGAGATGGCACTTAATGCCTTGTTTGTGATTGATAATATCCATGTCGCCACTCTGATCTACCCATAGCTTTCCAACAATAATGTTATGTACTGTCGTTGTGACCTTCCGCCACGTATAATGATTGTTTCCGGTAGTGAACTCCAGATGTGCAGTACCCAAAGGTATAACCTAATAGATGAAAAATTAATTATCAAGTCCTTGTTTATATTGAAATATGTTCCGTTACTGTATCAATGTATTATCTGTGTTACGATATAATATACTGACGTGATTTATTCATATGATGTACTATTTTTATTGATTTATTGAAACGTCACAAGCTCTTTCCTACGTAATTGATAGGGATATAAATATGGATTTACTACACAAAATAGAACATGAGTAATGACAATTTGATATAAAAAAAAATGTTAGAAATTCACAGGGAGATAAACTGAAGACCTCCGCCAAATTGTCAATGCTCTTATCCTATTTAAATTGGAAAACAAAAAAAAACATCGATCTCTTTAATAATTGCAAAGGAAACAGCTTATAACACTGTATATGAGCCACCTTTAATGTTGTAATACTAAAAATTACTAACTATTTAGGTTTAAGAGGGAATTACAAATTACCTGTAGATATTTTCCTCGAAATTTGGATGCCATTGTAAATTCCTGCCAACATCGCCAGGTTTTACCTTCGCAATACTGTGCCAACATTGGTGGATGATGTGAAACCTGTTCAGAGATTGAACGCCAGCCTAAATCTTCAGTTCGGTCACATTCATAGGTCTCTCCAAGTAAAGGATTAAACGGTTTTCCCGTTCGCGAAGCAGTTGTAGAGTAACTAGAGACGGTGAATGCTGCGACATACGCCATTTGTTCGTAACTGTCGGTACATCCTGATGCTCTGTTTTAAACGTAGAATTTTCGATTAAAACCAAATATTATGAGCAAATGTTAAAATTAGAATTTATAAATGTACTAATGTATGGATATAACTGTTTTAACTTCTTTCATTTAAAACAAGTTAAGGGATGCATTCAAAGTCAATCTCTTACTGATTTGATTAGATCAATCACAATCCAAATGTTTTTTATTTATTTTAAGAAACATTCCATATTTGAAATTGATCTAAACTGAACTTATATAGCATAAGAATATATAATATAATTTTCAAATGCATGTTTATGGATTCATAAAAATTGCGAAAACTTCTTTCACCTAAAAACTTCAAATTATGGATAATACTTCAGTTAATACCTTTCAATTATTAAAATACACTATTGGTGTGAATACATAATAACACATACCTATCAAGTATATCAGCATATTCATAATCTTCAGTCAATCGCTGAAGCATACTAAGCGGTTCCGAAAAGTTAACAGGCATTGGTATTTTTGATAGTTCTTTTCCAATACAATTTTTCATGATACTCCATAGATTCAAAGGATAATTTGGTTTGTCTGGTACTCGAGTTCTACGCTTCCTTTTTGACACTGTTGTCACCCCGGAACCAGTTGGTGTTTCCCCACCATTATTTGCTTGCCAAGCCGTCTAAGCATAAAATATCATATCAACCATTTTAAATACTTTAAATTCCAAACTAATAGATTCAACGAAATTCCTCATCGTTGCATACAAAGTCTATAAACAATATATTATTAATCAAGTTACCTACATTGTCCAGATCGGGAGTAGAAGCAACAGGGACAGGTGTTGGAGATGCAGTAGAATCAGTCACGATGAGAAAATTATCTGTTCTAGCGCGATCGTTGTCAGATGATGGCGTCGGATCTCCTTCAGAACTTGAGCCATCATCGCTTCCTTGAGAATCGGTCCGATCTCGCCCGTGTGATATAGAATTACCCGTAGTGACGCCAGAGATACTCAAAGTAAACGCATCTGATTCTTGGGCATCATAAAATTCGACATTATCCTCGTCATCTTCTGAAGGTGACGTATTTCCTCCTGTATCTGTATTAAAGGAATTAGAATCGAAGGTTAAGACATCGATCGAGAAAAAATAATCACAATAGTAGAAAAGTAAGGAGGAAGGAAATGTAACTCAAGCAATATAAAAACTATGGAAGGAATTGTATTCATAAAAAAATTGTTTACATTATCTAGCTTCTCGGTATCAAACCCGTTTGCAAACCAGAATAATATTTATATCCTTACGCTCTGATAATAGCTGAATTCAAAGAGACCAGAGGTCATTTGTCGATTATAACGTTTATCTCAATTTGTAAGTCGATATTGGAATAAGTAAAACTTAAATATCCATAAGGAACGAAACCAAAGATGGTACACAGCCAATATTTAAAACTATAGTTACACTGTACGTCACGATCGCAGCCGCCAAACCTCAAAAAGCCAGATTAGAATCGTCAAGTTTGATTAAACACTTCTTTGCATGGACCGTCACTTAATAAAGGATTGAAAGACCGCACCTACCCCGTCATTCGTTCTTTCCAGGTTCCAGGTATTTTATGCGAAACCTTTACGCGTAATTTAGTACATGTATCTCCAAAAGGGATAATAGAAAAAAATTTGGATACGTCTATTTACAAGGCCAACTTTGGTTCGCTAGCAACTACCAAGAAACACACCATACTCGTATCGTCACTGCCACATGTGCGGTACTTGCGCACCCACACGAGCATGCACATAACCGTCAAGTAATGCGCGGGGAGAGAGAGGCATATCATGAGCACATAAAACGGTTTAACACTTCCCTTCCAAGGGAAACATCCGTGGAAGATCAGCCGACAAGAGCAGACGCTCTAGGAACAATGTTGCACACTTGGTCACGACTTACCCGAATAAGCCAATTTAGAAGTCTCCTAATGAACTACCCCGACGGAAGGGGAAGAGAGTGATCGAGAGACCGTACACTTCTTTCGTATCGAAGTGCTTTGTCACTCTCATTGTGAAAGCTCGAACGACAGAGATAGCCTGACTTTCCGGTACTCAAAGTGGGGATAGTGAATCGTGCAACCTTGTAGTAAATTGATCTTTGACGCACGACCATTGGTTAACGCGGAAGTAAGACGGTCGAAGGGCCGACATGCGTCCGCTCGGAAAGAATCGTGCGTCCTTCTTTCGCTCGTTACCGACACGAATGTGAGAAAGACGGCGCGAGTCTCTGAGTTCGTTTGGTAGGGGCACCAAATAATGCGACTGCTGAAACAAGGCCAGCCTCGTGAAGCGACTCGGTTCCAAGTCTTCTCAATTCTATAAATCAAGGCTGCGCATGCGCAATCTAAATCCCAAACCACATGCGCAATCAGGTGACGTTTGTAGGCCACGTGACAGGGTAGGCGACTATTAGCAAGGAACCGTTAGCTAATTTTAATTTTCCTCGTTTTACTCCCAATCATTTAAACCACTTTTTCTTTCCTTCTACGATAGCATTAACCTGTGAAAAACCGGTAGCTCCAGTTATAACAATAATTTACGAAACGGTTGTGCAAAGTCTATTTCCCACATCTGTGCAGAATCAAATTCTGAACAAATGATATAATACTTAACTTCATCGATCCAATAAATATTCAACTGAGCATTTATAACTTAAAATTTGACCAGTTGGCTCTTTAAGAGAATATAACGTACATATCAGGCTAATTTTGGTTTTAATTGATTAAATTATATACCAAAAACGTGGTACATTTTTAATAATAAAAAAACTTCTAATAGTTCCAAGAAATTTATATTTATATTCTTTGAATGAATAAATTTTAAGAAGAGAAATATTTTCTTTTGGATATTTTTGGCATCATTTGAAAGTTAATTAAGCATAATCTACATAATCAACAGTTATGATACAAAGTTAAGTGGTCATCAAAATTATTCAATGCTTGAAAACTTTCTGATATACTTATGTAATCTTTTTTTTATAGTACTTGAAAAAACATCACATATTTGTAATTCATCAGCATTCCTATTTTTGAAACAAATACTTTTCGAATAACTACACTTCTACCTTAAACTCTGACATGCACTGTCCTGCTATGTGTGATGATAATTTACATTATTATGTATCTATAACACATTATCAGAATAATCTGTTGCGTGTAAAAGAAAAAGTATCAGTACTAGATTGTAACCCAGATTTATGCAGGTATCCAGATTAGTAACAAAATCTTCTCTAATATGTAAAATTTATACATGATGGAAAAGAAATGTATATTCACATTTTTTAAATAGAATAGTAAAGTTGTGACCATTAAGTCGATACTATCTGATGATACTGTTTCTAATCACTTTCATTCTTTGCTATAAGCACTAACTACATAACTAAGATCATTAAGCAGTCATGAAGTGAAGCAATTCTACAGCAATTGGAAGCACACATATTAAAAAAATATATAAATATATGTAAAAATTGTGAATTTACGAGACGGTCTGTGTCCTCCAGCTGGTACCGCCGAAGGTAGAGCGTGTTGAGCAGCTGCCTCTAAATTTGAATGTTGTCTGGCTAGTTGCTCGACCATTTTTTCTAATCGCACCTTCTGATCTCGTTCGTGTTGCAGTATTTTCTGCCACTTGGGTTCTTGTTGTTGAGCCAAGCGTAAGAAATGACTACTCCTCTGAAATCATACAATTTTTACTATTTCCTTCAGGTCATTTTATGAATTTCCTAGATTAATGTTTCATCAGTACAGTCAAAGATCTACTTCAATGGATCTCCCCAGTTAAGCCTCAATGTCGAACTTTTGACACTTTATTGCGGATTAGCCATTAATTCTATCACTTACAGAATTTATTAGACGAATTAATGTTTAAAGATTTTAAAATTCCGCGGTCAGAGTTATTCCTTAAATTTGTCGGGGCTTTCGGGAGTAACCCGCGTCTATTGTCGCCAGAGAGCCGACGTTTCGCAAACATTGCAGTTCGCTTCATCAGGGCAGACACTGATAAAATGTGTCCTCGTTTGTCTTTGATACTTTTCTCAACGTGCAATGTTTATTTTATCTTAAAACACTTTAATAATCAACTACTATATATATCAATTTAATATCAATTTTAACTCTGCTATTAGCTATTGATTATTGTAACCGTTACTATAAACTTACACTGATCATGGTCTTTGCTACAATACGGAATCGCGTTGCTCGGTCACCGACAGTTTTTATTTTCGCTGATAATTCAAGATTAGCAGTCTCTAAGGACTCTAAATCTGCTATAGCAGTTTGTAAGGCGATTCCCCCTTTGACGACATGATCGTGACACATTTGCAGATCTTCCAGGCAAAGACTCAGATCTTTAACGATAGATGTATGTTCTCCTCTTTGATTGTCATTGTCCTGATAATCCTCGTCTTCCTCTGAAATAAAAATTAGAATATTCTTGATCGAAGTAAAACCATCGAAATCCCTTGGATTCCAGATTTTTGCAACTCTGTCGGACCAATGGTGCTACCTGTAACACTAGCTGTAATTAATTTTTTACCCCATAAACACGTGTTACCCACGGGACAAGCCAGCATTCTCTTGCAATCGTTGGTAAAAATATTTTCCATATTTCCCCATGTGACTCTGTAATATTCCATTTCTATGGTATTCTAAATTGTCCGAGCTAGGTCCTGAAACTCTTCGTTTTCGATTATAAGTTTATAAAAAGCGTAAAACGTCGAAAACTTTCACGGACCACGCCATGTTGGTTCCAGTCCATGAAAAATAAATGTTTTATCAAAAATGAAATTTCATGAGTTTCAGGACCTACCTCAGGGCCTCCATATTCACGTGGTAAAATATGAATCGAATCGGTACACACCCTATTCGGAGAATACTTTCACCAACGATTTAACTTCTTAGATATATACAGGCTGACTCTTTCATATCACCTTAATATTCACAGTAGAAGATCGATTATTGCAAAATTATATACAGAAATGGGATGACATACCAGATTCCATTACTTTAATAGCTCTGGCTTTAGCCAATTCAAGTGCAGTGACCCACTGCTGACGTTCAATTTCAGTAGCAGCCTTGATGTGGAAGGTTTGAGTAGCGCCGTTGCTTACAACGAAGGTACATGCGTCCACCGCGTGAATTAAGGCCCCGTGCATGGATATCGTACCTCGACAAGTATGAGACATTTCAGCCTGGTTTCTAAACAAACAGGAGAGAACCATAAATTTTATGGTACCCTTGAAATATCACATTTTGACATTACGCTTTTCATTGGGAATTTCACGAGTTCATTGCAATCGGTAGTTTTATCAGACGTATATACCAAGGGCATTGTATATATATACTACTTGTATCGTTGCAGCATTCCCTCCACAAAGATTGATGTAGAATTATGGATGTTTGACGGAACAATTAGAATTTCTAACATGTATTTAACTTTCCTAAGGATTTAGATAAATGAACGTAATTTAATGTAAGGCAAGGAAACGTTAGTTGCAAAAGATGAATGTCATGCAATGCCCATTAGAGGAAAGAGGAGTCCAAATTATGAATTTCTGCAATTCATATCGCGTGCCTCTACCAGAATGACGTGTAAACTGTAATCGTAGGAAGTCGATACGTCATTTCGGTAATAAACATGCGACGTTCTTTATCCTTACCGAATGTCAATATTGTAACATTCTTTATTTCTAATTAGTGCAACATTTGTTCATAAACAATGTGTATTAATACTTCGACATCAGGATAGAAATACCATATTTAAATCAGATTTAGAAAATACAATTTTGTTGTGTCGTATTTTTCGTCTGAAATAGAAATGTATTTATTTACTACAATGTATTGACACAATAATCCAATGTATGGAAAAGGAACTTGCTGGAAAATTAAGTAAAATGAAAAAATTGACCAATGAAATAATCCCATTTTATGGCTACTAAAATATATTTCTATTCATAATATCTGAGCATATAAGACATACTGTTTTAAACAACCATCAAAGATTAATTATACAAATGTTCATTCAATGGATGAGTTAATAAATTTCAATCATGCAAGGTTTCTTTTGCTATTTTTGTTCTTATAAACAACGATTACAACCTATAAATAATTGTTATAATTCTATTAAAAACACTACTAATTTATAGGAACTTTCATCTTATTTTTCTACTCGCCTTTTTAATCCACTAACTTCTTCTATATAGAGTAGAGCAATATTGAGTATTAATTATGCAACCTTGTATGTTATATCCAATGTGTTAACAGTAATTTAAGATTTAATTCGACTACATGCATGTCAAGTGCACAAATCATTTCTTTTCTCAGAGACTCATGACTATTAGCTTATAATAAATGTATATCTGAAATGCGTGAATTAAAATCATGAAGACAAGTGTACGTATATAGATAGTTAAGTGCTTCCTGATGTGCAGTCTGAAAGAAAGGTAATCAATTACATAAAGTCTTCCGATTCTTTCTGCTTAAATGGAAATTCAAGGTTCTAAACTGAAAAGCTCGATGGATACATAAGTAGCACTGTTTCTAAATTTTAAAGCGTTGTGACAATTTAATTTTATCACTATTATTGCTTGATTAAAAGTAAACCTACAAATAGTCAAACAAGTGTGCCCACATTCTAGGATATGGAAGAAGAACTAATAAATTACTGCGTAGAAGAAAAATAAAACGACAAATTGCTTGGGAAATGACTAAATATAATGTAAACCTATCGCGTAATACTTGCACCACAATTATGATTTTATCATAACAGAATAATGTGAATAAACAATGTATACAAGTAATGATTTAGCTGCTGTGTGATACAGTTGAAAGCAATTGTGAATGAAGGAACCTTATACAAAGCTGAATAATTTGCGCAAAAAACACCATATTGAGGATGCACGCACAAATTAAGAAATGTTCTACGTTTGTAGAATGTACATTTTTGTTTCAGGTGTACATAGTGTATTAACAAAAAATGCAGAGAAATATATGGTATCGATGTATTAAGTATACATAGCCAATCCTAAAGACAGTGGAAAGTGTGTTTAGGGATTTTAAAATTAAAATTAAAATCATTGAGACTTCTTGCTCCTTGAATTGCATATCTTTTTTAAAAGAGGGTCAGGATTTTGTTGATTCGGTTTTTGTTACTTACTCGGAGGCTCTGCCAGCTCTCCGCTTGCGTCGTGTCGATATCTTTGGCCCCCCTGTTGGTTCAGCCCTAAACAATCCATAAAACAAATAGGCCCCATTCACTTTATGCACATTGTTTCAAGTGGTTTTTTTTCAAATCACCTACTTTAAACATACAATCTTGTCAATGATTAAAATGCCAACTTTGCGAGCTATATAAATATGTAAACATGTTTCGCTAACTTTTTAACATTTCTAATGCACAGTATCATTCAAGTGCTAATATCTAATTATTAGAAATTACTAAGTAATTCATAAGTGTTTAATTAAAACATGATACATATACATAGTTGCAAAATAGGAATAAATTATTGTATAATTCACTGTAATTTACAATAGTCTACATCACAAATCCTGGATTTTACAAACTTGTCTTGCTCTGCTTAAAATTCTGTTGAATTTATTAAATTGAACATCTCATTTGATAGTGCAGTACTTAAAAAGTTGTTTCATATTTATGTTAGATCTCTTATTCTTTGGACAAAACATTTATCATTGTACTACATTAAAAAGTAAAGATCTATAAACATACAAAATACACAGTCTAAAAAATATTATGCTGAGAAAAACAAGAGTGATATTTTAACTCTCTGAAAATAAATTAAAAAATGCACCTAGAATAATTAGTATCTCAAAATTTCTGGAATGAACAGAATGAAGAAGCGAAGGTAACACAATACTTTGTGACAATTTTAGAAATTCTACAGACTTAATACAATTAATAGCATGAAATAATCTAATACAGAATGACAACATTATAGAAATTGCACAATCGATTTGTGAAGAAAAATGAGATTTAGATAAGCAGTGATGAAACAAAAACACCAATTTTCCAATCTAACAAATGTGTTGGGTGTTAAGGATTGTACCCCGTAAAGGATTCCTAAATATTTGTATAACAGTAATTCTTAATGCACATCTAAAAAAATAATGTATTATGTCAATACGTAAATTGTAATTAATTCTGTTAAATTACACATCAAATATTTAAGACAACTTAAATATATACTGGTATCACTGCACGTAAGGAAATTAGAAAAATGTGCAGAAGAAAATGTTTACTTATTTATAAATATTATGTACGGCCATGTTTTGATATGTCTCAAATAACACATAGATGACTTTTCTTATAATACAAGAGCACAGTGATCGTATAGAAACTCTAAATCCTTGAGTGTAACTCTTTAATATTATAAAATGAATGTAATATAAATTCTGTCTTGAAACAGGGTACAAAAAGTTTGCACAAAAATTTTCTTTACATGTGTTGTACAAAAAGAGGTGCCAAGCGATAAGAACGACGTTTATATTCTTTAAGTCAACAAGTAACAATTCCTAAGATCTGATTGAATTTCCTTATACTTTGGTAAATGCTAAAGACATAAGTAAACAACTACACAGTAATAAAAGATTGAATCCATCACCTCTGAAAAGAAGAAGAAAGTAGGTAATGCATTAGTTTCTGAAGCAAGAATACGGTGAACAATTTTTTGTTTTAATAGTTTGTTACAGTGATGTGACATCGTGTTATTTATTACTGTATTTCTTACATATTTACTAGAATTAAGTAGACAATTAGCAATCATTACAAGGAGAAAACTATGACCATTTAAGAATTTGACAATAATAATACATTACTTCGGTAAACAGAAAAGGGATCATAGAAGTGAAAGGTAAGGTCACAAAATACTCTCTGACAAGACCAAGGAGACAAAACGTTCTCTCGTCACGGTTATTGGTTATAACTTCTACGGAAAGGAAATTCGTAAGTTAAATATAAATAAATATATGGGTCGTTACCTGTAGTATGACAAGATGCCATTTGACAGGACGAACCATCTTCGTTGATAACCTTTGAGGTAATTAGTCCATTTGAAGAGCCAACCCTTCATCTCTTGGGTGCCGTGTTGGGTTTTTACGTCGCTCATTTTTAATAATGTTGCGCGACCACGTAAATTTTTTCTAATATGCTAATTCTTGCTAAATTCCACGTATACATCACCGTGTTATGCAGCCGCCATTTTGCTATTCGTGTCCAATTCGTGTCTTTCCCTTTCCACAAATTCAACCGTGGATTTAAACATAAGTTGAGATCGGAAGTCGAATAGTCAGAGAGCTTGTGCAGCACTGCGGCATGATCTAAAGGAGACGAGGGGGGCTATTATGTATGCAGATTGAGTGAAAATGTGAAAACCGAACAACTCGCGGTATTACGGAACTTTTATCGTCGTGAAAATGTTAGATGATTCGGGTGAGACTACTCGACAAGAAATTCAGTGTCGAGTGACGAGATATGAGAGAGAGAAACAATAGATAGAAGAAGATCGAAAGAGACCCGCCGTAAACGTAAGAATATATGGACGGAGCCCAAGCCAGAGGTCTGAGAGCCGAAGTAAATAAATGGGAAACACGTAGAACATTGGGAAGGTAGCCATATTGGTTAGCCAAAATCATAGCTTTCTAATTGGCTGAGATTTAGTTGTCACTTTAAGAGTAGGGAGAAAAAACGGTGCGAACTGTGAACAGATAAATAGTGAACGAAGTACAATATACCACTTGAAGCATAAAGAAAGGTACAAATTATGTTTTACGTAGAGGAGTGGCAAAAGGAAATAAGTTAGAGCAAATAGGAAATATCAAGATGATCAACCAATCAGGAGGCGAAAAAATTGGCTGACTAATATGGCCGCCCTACTCTTCCCTTTCTTACGCGCAGGCTTCCCCCCCTGGTCTAAGATGGACTTTGAGCTCCGCTCATATTCATACATATTCTTACGATGCCAGAAGAGCGTATATGCACATACACATACATACACTACACTACACTCAAAACCTTTCCCGTATACTTTCAATCTAGAGATTTCGCACTTTCACTCGGAGGATACATTAACGGGTGCCTAAACTCACGTGAGATGAAAGTATGAGAAGTGAGCACTTTCGTGAAAAATATGTAATAGACGCCAAGGTGTGTTCCCCAGAGATCTTATTTTTAACTCGTTCTGCGACTTCCAAAACGCCACCATATTGCAATATATTAAAAGTGATTGGTTGGTTAGCAAACCTAGCTAGTATTTTTAAATTCTCGAGACTTTATTACCGCAACTTTCTCTCGTTTCTTCTGCAACTTCTATCTCGTTTAATTTTACCAATAGAGCCCATTTTCTAGAATGTTGCAAGTATAGTCTTTATGAAAGAATAGTAGATAACTCCAAGATAGTGAAACTTAAATCCTATATATGGTTACCAGAGTATGTCATAAATTCGATATATAATTAGAATATTCCGTAACATATAGGATATTTTATTTAAAACGAGGCTAGTATAGATTTCTGGTACAACCGAAAGTCCCTCATTTTTTAAATTGATTTCAAAGTTTGAACATTTTACGTTCAATGTAATTTTTAAGATACTTTTCACTTGTTGCATTGCTGTGCAATTGAATGCAGTAAAACGCTATGATTAACTTGCAATTCTTTCTGCGTTATCCATGATGGCTAATCCGTGTCTTTTTAACCAATAGGAACGTTTTGCTGCATGTTATTTTGTTGCAATGCAACAAACAAAAAGTTACCTTTATTTGTAGCACTTCTCTGTACCCCCAATTCTGAGTTATTAATAAATTACTTCAATATAAATGAATGTTCATATATGTGTGAACCATATTTTATAGTCGAACTACATAATGTTGAACCCAGGAGAAACAAAAATTGTTATACCTTCCAGTGATATAAAAAATGACTGACTGGACATGATTGCGGAACGAAAGATTTAATACGACTAAATGAATGCTCATATGTGAAGTCAAATATTTGCCTTCAAGGGGTATATATTAGGAAATGAAGTGCGCTTAATAGCTAGCACACATCGCGCATTCGAATGAGATTGCGCAAAATGATGACACACACTTAAAGCGAAAGATGACACGCGAAGGCAATAAAAAAACTGTTTACCTTTTATTTGCCCTCAGAATCTGTTGAAGATACTGTTGATATGAATTGTTAACGAAACAAAAGATATAAAAAGTATAGCTTCCAAAATTTAACCGAAACTTTTAGCGTTTCTTCATGGTAACAAAATCTTCGTGATATTCGGGACAAAATATGAGAAATAAATTCTTCATGTGTGAGAATGCTAAAAACGAAGAACCGATTTTCTTGTTTAGTGGCGTTAAGTAGAAGGTTCCTAAATATAAATAAATGCTCAAATTACAATAATCATATAAAATACCATAAGAAAGTATTTTTAAACGCAAAGACAATGCTTTGTAATGGAAATGTCACATCAAACATTGCGGACGTACTAAAGAGTAAAACAAATAAGTCCTTTATTTGTTTTTTCTCTATATTATTGAAAAGAGTCTGTAGACGAATGAAATTTGGATATTTCAAAGGAATATTATAAATTATCGAAGAAGTAGAATTTATAATTTCGAATAAACAATGCAAAACAAAGTCCGTCCCTGATTGATTGAATTCACATCTGGGACTGTCAATAGCTACTAAATGTTCTACAGTCATCTTTTATTAACATTGGCTTAGAGCAAATACAGTTCCTCATAGAGTATTGCGTCAATAGAAACCGTGATTTTACTTCAAGTTAAAATAACTATGATTTTTACCGTACAAGCTGATTACCAAGAAGTTCTCTAACGATGTGTAATGGCGATCGCGAGACAGGTTCAACGGCTTTTGCCTACACAGTTTGAATTCCGGTGGGAAAGGGAGAGGAGAGGTAATCAAATTAGCATATATCATAAACAAGGTTGATCGATTATACATCATGCTCATCATACTATATATAGACTTAATAATTTCATTTCGCTATAAACTGCTTCCAAAATGATTTCTTTTCTGCACCCTTTACATAGAAGTATGAATAATTGTAACGATTAATTTTATCCTCATATAGTTATTGTCCTTACCAAAGAGAGAAGTATTTAACTATTTAAAATGCCTGTCGGCAAATTATAAGTCAGCTAAGTAAAAGAACTTCTTTTGTACGACACTTTGCGACTTTTTATAAAATATGACAACCATTTGATGTATGTCCCTGGTCTAGAGTATTTAATTCATCCTCGTGACAAAAAAACTACCATACAAACGATAAAAAAAACTAAAACTATTAGGGTCTTTACTCAAATTGAATTAACTTGAATTAAGTTAGCTTATTCCTAAGGAATTTTTATAAAAAGAATATGACTTAAGTAAACAGCCTGTCGGTGTCTAGTACCCTGGCACCTCAACACGAATGCCTCCCTTACGGATATTCTGTATATGAAGTAAAGTAAAAGATATAACACAATATATAACAATTATTAAATAAGTTACACACTAGGATATGTTTATGAAATAAATCTGATACATCCGTCACGTATGTCATCCTTCTACGATGCTTAACGACCGGGTCTTTTCTCCAGTATCTTGATTAAGGAAAACTGAAGAGCGTCGGCTAAATTTCCAGGGGAATTTCCGAATCTAACATTCCTGCAGTCAGGGATGGGCATGAATCAAGTCACGTCCTGACCAGGAAAAATGGCAACCACGTGTCCTTGTTAGCTGCGTTTCACGAGCACTTCTGGGTACCTATGCATGGAGCTGTACTTGCTTATGCTCACCTACACAATTAAGGACGTGGTTACACACACGTGTTCGGAAGTCACATAGCCAGTTATTATGCCGCCAATATGGCTTAGAGGCAATTAATACTATTGTTATTATTGGGATAGGTAAGGTACAGACATACGTGCCGCGGCTCGTCAGTGTGTTCCTCACTGTTCCTCGAGGAGGGACCGGACGAGCTCACGGCAGTCGCTCCCGGTACCTCTGGTTCTACCTCCTAGTACAGTCACATATTTTCTCATTAAATTATACATTACTTAATTAACAAAACTCCTTTATACCCGGGCTTGCAGTGAATTCACGTGAGAAGGTGCATCCGCGAGGACGAGCATCTGTGACTCTGGATTTAGAAGACAGGCTACAAAGTAATAAACATAGTTCGGAGCTAAATTCTTTTTATCTCTGCCGTTGGAAGTGAAAGGAAAGCATACGTAAATTAGCAGTTGGCCAGTACAAGTCGAAGAATGTGGAAGGAAAGGATAAGGTGGAGAACTAGTGCCGATCGTTTTGGAATCGTGTAGTGCATCGACTAGATTTGCGTTACGCGAAGTAGATTTAAAGAACGAGGCTATCAAAGTTGACACTGTTTTAAAATTCTGCAATGAATCTACCGCATATACCGCAAGTGTATTGTAGATGAACGTTAGAAACCACTTGCATTACAATGAAGAATACGTACCAGAGGATCCTATTGTTAACGAAGTGGTCCGAGTAAAGAATATTACCTTGTTTTGACATGCAAATGATTTCTTTAATTTGGTACACAATAAAAAATCGTTCAAGTCGAGTGTTCCGAGAACAGTGCTCGGATTGTTTGAAGGGAGCTGACGAAACACCTTGTCAAATACGTGTATGGATATGAAGACTTATTCTAGTAATAATGAGTTTAGCCGCGACGCAGCTAAATGCATGTTATAATATATGAATTGGAAATGACACTTGTCATTCAATGACAGCCCTTGATGAAAACGTTAAACAATCTAACTATACGAATTCCAAGTTGTTGGCCAGTTTTATAAACTCTGTGCAATCAACCCAGGACTGAATCAATTATTGAACATTGTACCATTAAGAAGAACTCGCTAAATGAAAGGGCTTAACCAATGTCAACTATAATGCTCAATGGGAACTTAAAAGAGACCGGCAGTAAGGGCTGCCTAACCATCACTTTTCCAAACATCGACCGAGGAGAAAATGACAAGGCCACGAGCATTAATCAGAGACCAGAAGGAAAAACCTGGGTTTCCCTGGAAGAGGTTCCGAATAAGTTGACAAAGTCGACGCAGATAGACTTTTCGCAGTCCACTTGGAAGCTCGGAAATCCTTCGCACAAGTTAAGGCCAATGTCTGCCACGTACTTGCAAAAGTCGAATCAATTAGGCGACTCGAGTTACACTCCAAAACAAATCTTGCACTCGGCCCAGAGTGAAATTATACTTAGCCCAAGGAACAGGCATCACAGTAAGTACGTGGCCTTGGATATGATGAAACCCATCCCGAGCCCTCCATATAGTCCCTATTCGGGAAGCCAGTTATCTGGTAGCAATACTCCTTGCACGTGTTGCTGTGCCTGTGGCTCGCATGTTCCACAATCGCCGGTGCCTCCGAATTCCGAAGAGCAAGATGGACCCGAGGGACTCTCTTGGAGGAGGCTGCACATGAGTAGGGCTAAACTGAAAGCTACTGCAACTACGTCGGAGTTACTCAGCGGGTTTGCGATGGTACATAGAATATTTCTTCAATCACTCTCCTTTTAAGATGATATGAAAGGTAGTTTTTACCGATCGGCGACGGCCAAATTCCGCGGACACGCATTTTCTAAAAAACCTATTTGCCAGATTTTTACCGCACGATTATAATAAAAGTACCGAAGTTGTTCGTGACCATAAAAAAATTGCAATGAAAAAATGTTCTTTTTTATCTTAGACCGACCAACATGGCATCCCGGTCAATATTTTGCTGTTATTCACTTATTGAAGGCTCCAAGGTAACCATTGAAAGTGTTAGGAATAAGTGTCTCGATAACTTAAAACATGACAGTCATCGAAAATGATACATTCAGGCCCAAAGAAGGGGAAAAAAATATATCCCCGAAAGTGAGGTGTATGGTATGGGCAACGCGGGTACTGTAGTGTGCTCGAAGCAAACATTTAATTCCCATTGAACGCAACGGATGGCTCTGCAGTCGACGAGAGCATAAAAAATCATGAATCCAGGGGATTTATTGAGTTTTACTTCGATCTCTTTATCAAGAGACTCGGTCGTATCTCGTTGCCAAGTACTGGATAATAATTCTACTAAAACAACGTATAGAGTATGTCATTTCGAACAAATTGTCGACCCAGAACGCCACAGCTGTCTTTATAAATATAAATATCGCTAAGGTGGCGTGTCATTTCAGATGGTATATTACAGGAATTTGTCCTTACCGAAAAGTTATACCGTGCCTTTCACATCACCTTAATATTCTCTAAACTATTAAAAATTCCGTATTAACAATTGAAAATGATTTTCTTGGATCATTGTCTCTACAATAAACCTCCATTAACGCTATAACTACCAAGACCAGTCAAAATGACTGGTTTCAGACGGTCCATCCTATACAAAAAAAATCAATCGGTAGTACTAGTGTAACTAGTGTACTAGCGGACTAATCGTACATCCTGTTGATCGGCGTATTCGGTTTGCCGACAATTTTTAAAAACGATTCAGACATATCCATATCGCGTTCGTGCGCTGATAGAAAATACCGTTTTTTTAGATTTATATTGAGGTATCAGTTTTGATAGGAAAATGTTTTAATAACCCAGTATATTGTAAATCTAACAATAAGATTCCGTTATTTCTATCAGTGCATGAGATACATCACGGACACGGTACGGATATATCAGGGATACCAATGAGTAATCAATTTTTTTTTGACGTCTAAAACACCTCGCTCAAAATAACTGATTACTTATGGGTACCCCTAAAATAAGATTTAGAAGAAAAATAAAAATTCAAAGTTAATTGTTACCGTAACATAGACGTTAACCAGCCTGATTTCAACTTAGACATTTTTCTATTGCTTTAGCGGCAACTTAAGGTACTTTTGAATATTTTTAATTCAATAAACGTGGCGACACAATTAATAACAAATAAGCAAATGAAACATACGACCAATACATGTGGTATAAAAGTAAATACTTAAATAATATTTAATCAAATTCAGAGAGAAAATGGTGAGCACTTTAGAGCATTTATAAATGCTTGTTCATGAAATAACAAGAAGGTAATACTTATTGGATTTTTCATGGAAACATTTTTCTCTAGAAGACGCAAAAAGTTTGCACATCTCGGTTGGTTATTACATTTGAGCAATCCTGCAGTTACTTCTATCTGACGACAATTCACGCAGTTATATGACATTTCCTGCAAACTATTAAATCAACGTGCACGACAATTCTCAGTAATCTTTGAACATATCTATAATTGCATAATGCAGATACTGACTCTGTTGGATAATCCCTATTTCGCTCGTTTCAAACAGTAGTTCTTACGACAAAGCAATGCAATCCTCTTATAACATTTGCGGATAAAAAAGAAATGTGTTCAGTAACAATGAAATACGTACAAGAATTAAGGAATAAATATAATAAACAATGAATAATACCCAAATAAATTCTGAATATTTATGCGATGTATGTTTTTCCTTAGTTTTTATTTTTCATCAATATCCCGATTTCCATAATTTACATACTTTTTTGTATGCGGTGCGTAATAATCGGTAACTTATAGGTGAACGTCTATCTCTCTTTGAAGTCCTTTTCAGTTGTTTAAAAAAAGAAATGTATAACCATTTCCTTCAAATGTTATAAATCGTTCCTTCAAATAGCATCAAAATTATGGCATACAAACAATTAAAAAATGTACAAGTCAAGAAAAACCTAAAAGTTGTTTATGTTACCGTCGGATTTGACGATGTAAAAGGTGAAATATGTTATATGTTATACTTATATTATCAAAAATTAAGTTTTTAAATGATTTAGTGGGGGGTACGTTGCAGATATTTGACTTTACTATTATCGTTACGTGTACTTAATAATTGAATGGGGAATGTATAAGTGGTTTAACTGATAAGACGTGTTCATCGGAATTACCCGATGAGATCATAAAAACAAGATGCGTTCATCTAAAATTGGAAATCCTTGTTATTCCTGCTATAATGCAACTGAATTAATACTGTTAAGTCACTTTCTTCAATAAGAAATTATTGAAAAGATATGAATATAAGTGACGTAATACTATGAAAAAAAAAGTGCATGTAAAATATATTAAATTGCATCGCTAATCTATTTGCAACATATACGCATCAATTTTTAACATGAAAGCTCTAAATCATCCACGTACTTTCAAATTATTATTAAACAAATTACTTTACATTGTTATCGGTTATCAGTATTGGCATAATTGCTACGCCTCTCGAAGTGATAATATATCTTCATGCGTCGAGTAAAATTCTCCTTTTTACGATGTCATAAATCCCGCTAATTTCGAAAGAATCATGTAAACTTTAAGCACTCATTGCACAACGTTAGTTCCTGCGGAAAAAATTCTAAGTTTAGGAGCCGCCTCACGAAGTATTATTGAAATCTACCTACTGCAAAGAGTGTTATCTTTCTGATACGCTAACACCAATTCCTCTCCATATATACATTTTTATTAATATTACGTAGGGTCACAATAAAGAATGCACGTTTCTTTGTCCACTGACATGGTGGGACAGTAAAACAGCTCCTTTCAACTATTCCGATAGTTTAAAGAACAAACACTGTTTGATTAGCTGCCAAAAATTGGTCTTATACGTATAAAATTCCAACATCTATGTAATGAACGTTTCCCATACTGTAACTCGAATTAAATGGAGCCGTTTAGCCGTGTTATCGCGCTAGATAAAAACGTCTGCGCGATAAATGATGTTATGACTCATTACATGATTTATATTCCAGGTGGCAATGGTTGAGCTTCAGATAAATGACCCCACAGAGGTGCCAGAATGGCTATTCATCATGTTTGCCGTGTGCACGACCGTCCTCGTTTCTGTTCATATCTTCGCCCTAATGATAAGCACGTATCTATTACCGAATATAGAGGCAATTAGCAAACTTCAAGTGGCGCGTCTGGTTACGGAGTCACCTCACGAGAGGATGCGTGGTTTCATAGAATTAGCGTGGGCATTTTCGACAGTACTGGGACTCTTTCTATTCCTGGTCGAGGTCGCCATCCTTTGCTGGGTCAAGTTCTGGGACTACTCTACTACTGCTGCCACGGCCAGCACCATCATAGTGATACCAGTATTGATAGTATTCGTGGCATTCGCGGTGCACTTTTACCACTCGTTGGTCGTATACAAGTGCGAGTCCTCCGTGTCGGATATGAATGAACTGGAGAGCATTAAAAGGAACCTGGACAATGTGACAATAGGGCAAACCAATGTTTAATCTCTAGATCCAGATAACTCGTTAAGTTGAACTAGACTAGACTATTTCAAAAAAATACTAGAATATTTAGAAAATACGCCTACTATAATCACGTACTTAAAAATGATATGGCATAGACAGAATAGATGTATACACTTCCCAGTCCCATGCCCGGTTCTACCAACTTTGGTTAAAAAGCTAATCCTCAGTTACAATGAGTGCACGTTCCACCACATTTTAACGGCGAGTTAATTTCCATTAACCGACGTCTAGGGTAACTAGTCAAATTCGATCGTTTAGCTTCATTTAATCGTACATTAATCTAAAAACTGCACAAACGTGAGGAAAACATGGATTAGATTCAGGATGTATTAGCATCATCTTATGACGAAACGAATGAAGACGTCTTTTGACTTAATTTACAATTTCTTAATGATCGAAGTACGCTTGATAATATTTTATATTAATTCTTAACCAAAGAACTTTACTTCTTGCACAAAGCTAGGGGAACTTCGTGTCTCGACAAAAGCGCATCTGTCTTGCTTTCTAGTCGATCAGAGTATTAGCCAATCACGCGAATGTGTTCACCGATGATTCAACTTACTTCGAACGGTGTATACGATTAGTTAATCCCGCTCTAAATAAATGTGGGGGAACATTTACGTTTTTAACCCATGATTAACTTGAACGTTAACATTAACCTGCGTTTAGGTAATCAATGATTTAATCGAAGTTGGTGGAACCAGGCACCAGTCACGAAGGCCCCACATTTTCTTTCATTTTTCCTGATATCTTTTCCGAGTATCTTCTGTTTAATTCCATATACTGTAGCGATGGTTTTGAAAATCACGGAGTCATGACAGTACGTCTTAAACAAAGAAATGCGTTTATTACTAGGATTTTCAGGTCGACCTCGAGCACTTGTAAAAAAGGAAAATAATACTCAATTCATTTAATAACTTCTGAAAGTGATAATGATAACGTGAAATAACTATTGAGCGACGTGCTCCTTTATTTCACGGATCAAATTATATCTACAGCCTGATTTTAAACTTGTTTATCATGGGTCACCCCAAGACTAACAAATTTTTTAAATATATTCCAGTCTCAAATTCAACGTCAAAAATGATGATACTTGAAAGTACAAGAGAATCGTAAAAAACCAAGTCATTAGTGCGCTATCTAGATGGTAGTGTTATTACGTGTCACATCTACATTACTATCTTGTATTAAGCGGTACAATACTTTGCAACAAAATATTACTTTTGTACCGTGTTGCAGTAAAAAATAACGCGTCTTTTTCCTGCTTGGTTCCTATTATTTTTATCACGTATAACTAGAAAGAAAAATAGAATGTATCCCTTGATACCAATATTTATTTAAGTAAATTATTGAATTATTTATTTTTTAATTCCTATCTATATTCTTAGCGTTACATTTGTATTAGAAATAAGGTAAACACATCCACATATACTGTGGACAAGATACATCGTCTTGTCACTACTCGCCATTATAGGTGAGAAATTTCTGCTCAAAGAGATCCTTTGGCTAATAATTTAAATGAGACAACGAAGTACTCGTTTAAGAACTCATTATCGAAATAGTGTTGAGTGCAAAAGCTTAAAGTTTTGTTCAACAATTAATTTCAATTTAACAATATGTAACTCATAGAAGGGTAGGTGATTTCTTATTTGAATTTGTACAAACAGATTTTCCTATGTAAACAATACATTAATAAGACACACCATTATTTGGTAATTATTTACTGTTATTCTTTTTTTTTTAATATTATTTACTCGTAACATCTATTAGCTTATAAATGTCAAAGAGCAACAAGAATGCAATCAAAGCGTGATTCCTAAACCCTTTAGCACCAAAAAGGGAAACATTACGTTCCCACTAAAATAAAACTCTAATGGCTTCAAACTGATAGCAATTCTACATCCTCTATCCTTTGAATAACCAATAAAAACCGGTATTTAAACATTAACAGATAAGGGGCTTTAGAATACCTTAAATTTGCATATGCTAAACATCGCATTCATTACCGTCACACTTATACTTACATTTTAATTCTACTACGTAGAATTTATAATTTCTACGCGTTAAAATTCTCCAGTACTAGAGCGTTAAGTCGTCGTAGGAAATAAGAAATTCGTACCAAGTTATTTATTTTTAAACACCGCCATACGAATACGGGCATGTGTTTATTATATATAAAAATGTACATGGCTGTACATATGCAAGTTGAGAATTGCAGCAGTACAAGCGAGTGCTTTTTAGGATAATAACACTATGTTACTTAATAATTATATTCCGTTAAGGTTCAAATCTTCGAATTTTATTTAAACCTGCTTATTTGTTTGTTCACTTTGTTCTATCCATAAGTTGTAACTCTAATGTATCGACACTTTAAGTTAAATTCTTTCGCATGTTTTGTGGAAGAACTGGAAGAGAAACGAATTGTATCGAGATACATGCCTCTATCTTCATTTGGAGAGCAAACATCGATTGCCTATCACATTATTAATGCGCCTTCGAGTAATAATAAATGTGTATTTCAAGTTAGGTCAGTCATCGCTCGCTGATTGACGATTTGTTAATTGCCGAATTTCACGAATTACACAGCACGTCTTCTCCCATTTCTTCCTCAATCCAGTTGTATAGTCTTATGGTAATCAATAACCGCTACAATATCGCGTTGTCGTTCCTCCTTGTACAAAAAGAGCTCTGTACCATAAAATGGGATGGTAATAATTACAACTGAATAAGGACGAAGGATTACTAGAAGCACACCGCGATTCCGTGAGAAACGAACGCAAGAGTGTGACATGTATTCATGTATTCGCTTATTGCACAATGCCTCGCTTCCAAATTTTACGGTTTTATTCTATTACATCTACTACGTACATAATTTCACGGCTTTTGTTATTCGAATGGTTATCTCGAAATTGATCAGATCGTCTCCCTTCAAGGATAGAGCGAGGTATTTCAAGGGCTTCAAGTTTTGTTTTTGTCATTCCAAAATCGATACACATCGACTAATTGATTACTGTGCTTCGAAGCACTATTACGTTGGCCATTCTAAACATTTCAATAGTATTTTTAACATCCCAAAGCGTGTATCGAAATACGTTTAACCGAGGCAGGACATCATGACAATCGTAATGACTTAAGAGAAATTGTCAAGTAAAAGAAGAGTAACACGACAGATCTCATGTGTTAAGCCTTCTTTGATATTATGTTTCGTACCTATTAACTAAATGTCTGGCGCCTCGGTTCTTTTTTCAAGTATTTGGATACATATTTTGTGTCAAAAATACTTGCCTATCTACAATACTAGACATGAAGGTAATATTCTGAAAGAAATTCGTCACTTTTGTAACGCCAAAAACAACCTTGGAGACCATTTAAGGCATTTCTTCGCGAGAATCTGGGCTTTGTTATCTATTTCAAGTAACATTTGAGAAAATTCATTCAATGAATTTAATGCTGTCCTATTTAACTACTGATACGAGAGCATCTGTACATTATCAAACCTCCATTTAATTTCAGGAAAATACGTGAAAAGTTTCCAATTATAGGGGTAAGAATAAGCTGAAGAACACGTATCCATTGTTTTTCACGACATGATTTTCACATTCTAGTGAATAAACAATTGTACGATGTACCTTCAACATGTGAAGGTAATTTCCATTATTATCGTTTGCCTTTTCGCATCTCTAATTTCGAAGACATTCACGTTTTTCGAAATTAATATTAAAATCACCTCCTCATCGAATATACATGTGTGTATATATTTGCATCTTTTTTCACCCACTTCGGTAAATATTGAAATTATAGATTATTTCTATTGCCCTAAGGCAGCTTAGTAAAAGTCTCTAATTCATTGATAGTATAAGCGAATATATGTGCCTCTAACAAAAGTGAATCGTATAAAAAGTAAAAATCTCTTATTTATTCTTCGAAATATATGCTATGGTACCTTTTATAAGTTTATTTAAAATATAATTCACAGACCTTTCAATATTGAGAATACCGAAATTCCAGCTGTCGTTAATACCACATCACGTTTTACCATTTAAGTGTTAGAAATGTTTGCTATAATGTAACGTAACCACATAATTTCTAAGATTAGCAACGTTTAAACTAAAGTAATGAGAATACCTATTATAGAACGTGTACGTTCCACTTGTACTCGCTATTTGGTAAGTACCGTACTGGAGTAGATCGATTTCAAGCTCATTTATTATCGACGTGAAAAAGGCATTGGCATCGTTACTATTCTTTCCTGAAATTGCATTTTTCATTTGTCATTTTACAATTTTGAAAAAAATCAACTTCTACAAGCAGGGAGACGCTGTAGGCTCCGTACTACTCTTAAAAATTTGGAGAGCATACGCCTAATCATTTCCTATTAACATGACTTTCCTGATACATACTTTGTTATATAAAAACCATGTCATGAACAAACGTGAACGCGAGTTATGACATTAAAAACAACATTTGGAACAACACTTGACTACTAATTTGACAGCGATCTTTCCCGCGAAAGGAATCATAGGACAAAGAGGAATGAAAACGTCATTGACCAAACCTGATATGCTTAATTTGTATGAAAATGTTAAAAGTGAACGACTTACTCTATTGCGTAAAACGTGACATGTCGAGAAATCAGGTTGACTGCGAAAGCTAAAAACATTCTCAATCTGCAGCCAGGAGAAATGTCTTACTCCGATACATATTTTCCACATCTATGATCTCATATATTCACTTGACAATTCCATGGTAATGAATCAATTTACACGAGACACAACTTCGTAAACCCCCACGTTACACCAAATTCGCAGTAGGCTTTTGGTATGAGTACTAAAATATGTCACAATTACAATACTTATCGCGTGTACTGTATCTGTGAGATATTGTAATAAGCACCTGAATCAGACTCTCGCAAAAAGACGCCTTTTATTTATGTATATATATATAAAAAAGAAGAAAAAAGAGAGAGAGAGAGAGAGACAGAGAGAGACAGAGAGAGAGAGAGAGAGAGAGAGAGAGAGAGAGAGAGAGAGAGAGAGAGAGAGAGAAACAGAAATAGAAAAAGAAAATATTAACATCGAAGACACGGCTCATTCGTATATGTACATTGCGAGAACAAAATGAGACGTCTGAGATATTTAAAACCGTAAGTAATGTCCTGTAACTCGAATTACTTAATTGTCGCGAGAAATACGTTTCGACTTAAGATAATAAGTGGGACACGGGGGTAGCTTCTCGTAAAGGATAGCGTGACGCAGAATATCAGGTAAAGAAGAAATCCGAGTCTTCTATATATCCTACACACGTAACGGAAATATACCTAGAATGTTAATCTCCCCTCTATCGTTCATCTATGTAACATGTAAGTGAAATAGAATTCAAAACGTATACAAAATTATGAACTCTTAATAACTGCCGACCGCACGTTAATATGTACCGCTTGAGCTATGGATGGGTAAACGGGCAGAATATATTCTGGGAAGAATGTGTTTTTTTCCGTTCGAGATACTCGAATGTATTGGCAAAGTACGCTTAAAAGGACACCAAAGCCTTTCGATCGTTACTATTGAACATGATTATTCGAATTTATAAATCTACCGTAATTCAAAGTAAATACAATCGATTCAGAATAGGCTGAGATTGTAGAAATAACCAAAGTATATCATATTCTTGTTCGACCGAATAAGATGTAAATTTATTTCTGTATCAAACAGAATAAATGCAGTATCCTTAAGTAAAAAACTACGTGCATTCGATAAAGACATCTCGTAAAAGTGTATCATCTCTACAAAATCTCATCAATATGGATACAGTAGTAGTTATTGATAGTATTAATGTGTGGCATATTAGGTTTCGACGGTATATTATTTATTAATATATTTACGTGACCAATAGTATTTTAATCTATCAAGTATTATAGTACTTAATTTGGTATCTTGCTGATAACTGCTAGGAAGGTTATTGATAGAAAAAAAAAAAATCTTGAACATGAATTTATGTATAGTTATTTTAAAATCTACTGTATAACATACGCACACAATTGAAGGGATTAATGCAAAAAGTATACATGTGAGTTTTTTTGTATTTATACCCTTTTGCATTAGGCCTTTCAATTATAACACCCAGATAAAAAAAAATCAAATTACAATTTGTCTGCAATATCTGACAATGTATAAATTATTGGGTTGATGCAAAAGTATTGGCGTTTGCTTTTTACACGTAACGTAACGTGTGAAAAAAGACGCCATTACTTATGCATCAACCTAATACATCAACATATCAGGAAAATAGTCAATCGCCCAGAACTTAGTTATCAGTGCTTGTAAAGATGAGTATTCAAGACTACAATCGATGTAATTTTGTTTAAATTTAACAGGCTGTAACTTGCAGTACCATAAGTGACAAGTCATAACCGCACGGTATGTTTGTTCAACAGCAAAAATGTATGATTGCCATGATTAATAAAGCAATAACTAAAAATTTCAGACCAAATTATTGAATTTCATGATAATAATGAAGTTAATATAATACACTATATATTATATTTGCCAATATCAGTCTTTATTCGTAAGTGTCTCTTTGTAATGAGACAATAACTCTCTTACCAATACTTAGATATCCAAAATAGTGAAGTGATAAAAAAATTAAGATGATAGTTACGAATTAAATTATTATAATGCGTCATGGATTCAAAAGCGAGATTAACATGGTTTTTCTCATTAATAATGAAAATAAAAATGGGTAAATCTTCATAAAGCCATTAAATTCTGACATTATTTTAAAAAGAGGATATATTGAAGAAACTAATCAAAACATAAGCCAAACCGACACAAATAAATTACAAATTCAAAAGCCATACTTTTGTTTAAAAGTGAAACAGTAGAAGTGTTACCAATTTTTTTAGTTCTCCATGGGACTGGATAGCAAAGATTTTAAACATCTCCTAAGTTTCCTTTTTTGTTTTAACTTTGTATTCTTCTGAGAGTAAAAAAAAGGTAAGGGAAATGAAGTTGCAATCGAAAATTGAAACGAAAAAGAATTTGGAGCCCCCTTAAAAGTATTCGCATTCCTTAGATAAGCTTCAGTCTTGTGATGAAATAAAGGTACAGAAGTCTTTGAAGCGTGTCCACCCATAGCAAAAGCTTTCCCGAAAAAGGAACCAATGTCTTCGGGTTGGTACTCCGTATATATAGAATAAATCTTTAAGATTGGAACTAGGTATTTCCAGTTCGTTCATAACAATATGTTTACTGCCTGAGGCCGCACGGCAGCGCTTATATTGTTAAAAGCAAACTGCAAATCAGACCCTTTATGCATATTAAAATTATAGTTAATACATGTATTTACAGAAATGTTGCTTCATCCGATAATTAAAGCAATGTTAAAAATTAAATCACAACCTACACACATGTTCACTGGATTCATGTACGAATTCCTTTGAATAACCACGTGTTATTCTAGTCATAATTACAGATTACGTACAGTTCAATTAATCATTCCTTTCGGTAATAAATTAGAAAGAGACCTTTCGCATCAATAATTGTTTCTACTTACTAGCGATAACGATAAGATCAGAGTGGAGCTTGGAAACACTTTCCGGAAAATGTTAAACAAAGAACATCGATTCACTTTCAATGCGAAATATGCGTGCTCTTAATCAGTTCTTGAGTACCGCCATCATCATCTGACATTAAACAATTAAAACGTCAATTTAAGCAGCCCGTATCTACAATGAGTGTTATCAATGAGAAATCGATCGTACACAATGATACGTGCAATACTGTACATGCAATTCATATAAATTAAGGAAAATGTACAGAATTGTTCGTAATAAATATTTAAAGCTAGGAAACGAGATGCATGTTTAAACTTTTCAAAGCACTTCGCAAAGATTTCTGAAAATATATATGAAAGCTACGCTTTATGTTTTCCGCTAAGTGTTCTTGCTCGTCTTATACAGTCTTGCGCATATGATTGTGCACCGTTCTCTCGTATTTTAGAGAGAATTGTGCTTTTTATTCAGGAATACGTTGTTTCTAATTCAACGATGATGATAATATACAAAATCTGCCTCATATGGTGTTCTCTGGATTAGTGAGAAGGGTAAACCCATAAAGATCTAATCAACCAACATTGTCTATCTCTGCTCTTTTACAGTGGTTCTTTCGTCACAAAATCGATCGTGTAATCTTCCTCGCGTAGCACTATTAGAACTCCCGTTCTCGTTTCGAAACTGCTCCGAATGCTCCGACTCTATGCGTTATTGCTCCACTCTTAACAACGAGCTACATTCAAATTAAATTATTTATGCTATATAAAGTGTATAGTTACACGCAGTCCATTCGCATCGATTCTCTGGTGTGATTTACTTTCTCTTATATCTTAATATAACTGAAAAAGATGAGTCTCGTTTGCGGAGTAGTAAAAAAACAAGGACAGATTTACTCACATAAATCCATTCCGACGAAAACAAGGGAGTAAAGTTGAAATAACGGCGAGATGCGCGTTATGGTTCCTCACCCAGCAGAAAACAGAATCTAGAGCGAGTCCGGACAGTTGTCAAACTTCCATGTGCTTAGACGGCTGTTGGGATATGAACGGTTCACTCCACATGCGTCGCAGGTCGCCCTGAAAATTGAATGCATTTTTATAATTAAACTGCCGCATCGAGAAGATAATCCCGACACTACCTGGCACTTACGAAGTTCAGGCTCCCAATTGGACTTTAATCGCATTAACGGTTCCCACACAAATGAACGACAAACCATTTTCATTAGATATGCCAAAACGCTGTAACTTATCCCCTTTATAATAAGTACGTTCCATATAAATGTATTTACGTATTCATAGTTAATTAAACGAAACCTAGATTCCTATTAATTTATGCAATAAGAACTACGAGTGGCGAGCAATTAAGTATATTCTACAAGACGGACGATTTTGAACAACCGATATGAAATTAAAGTTTTACAGATTTTGAGAAGGTCACATTTTAGAGACATGTATATACAGAAATGAAAGAACAAACCGAACGAACGAAATATACTCTGCATATGAACCTCGCATCAAGGCCAACGTTTCATTGCTATCTAGTCGCTGAAGTAACTTGCCGTTACTCCAAAGTAAGCTTTTAACTATTAAGAATAAAGTTAACGGTAAATAGAGATTACCTTGAGATACGCCATGGTAAGTAGGGGCAACAATGTAAAGGGCACGAGGTACAGTAAGGCAGGCTGCGCGGCTTTGAACACCTCGGAACTAACCGTGGCAGTGAGCAGACCGAGAAAGTAACCGATCAGAGAACAGTGGAAGTAACTGATACGACTGAGGTGTCGCGGAGGTGGTACCCCTGTCTCGCAGCCACCTGGCAAAATCTGGCTCTTCTTATAGGCGTCGTAACGAAGTACGAAGCACAGTAAGAGGCCCGGCATTACAACGTCGCCGAGGCCTAACATCGAAAAGTGTCCCGACTGATGCATCGACGGGAATACCAGCTTCCCAGGTAGAGAGAGCTTCGGAACTTCACGAGCTACACCACCCAGGTGTAATCTACGTGCTACGAGACCCACTGGATTGTCCGCAGGCCGCGTAGCCACCTGTCAAACAAATGATTACATTTTTATGTTATGTTACCATCCTTAACCCGTCGACAGATTTCAAAAGTCACAAATGCACGAGTTTATATTTATGTCATCATTTTATATTAACTAATGACTTGTGTTTTATTTTTCTTTCCCTCCAAGATGAATATCCTAAGAATTTTTCACACATTTCAAACTATGAAAATGTAATCATTTGCAACAGTTGTTTGTGTCAGACCTTTTGTTACCGATTGAAACTGCATTACACTATTTTTTAACAGACGATCACCCCGATGTTTAATTTGACTCTAAAGTTGTAGATATATTTTCATAAATTTTAATTGAAAGTTATGTCTAATTAAATTTCATACGTTAATTAATTGACTAAAGTATTTAAATGTCATAATCAAATTTGAGTATTATTTTTTAATAAACGCCCTTGTACTTTATATTACACAATATGACAGTTATTCATGTCTGTACTGTGACCCTAGCGTTCCACGTTTGTTGGCTCGAATATTCTAATTTAAATGTCAATGTGAATATGTATAGCTTCAATGACTTAAAATAGTTATGGTTAAAACTATGCATCAAAGAAAAATGAAATAACTCACCTTAACCATTACGTTTGTGCTGAATATGTACGATGAAAAGAAGACCCAAAAGACGTCGTAAATCAAAAGTCCAGTGAGTAATAGGGTGGATACCTTTAGACTAGGTAATCGAACAAACGCTATAAATGCGACGCAGAGGCCCATGCCCATTGCATCCATAAGTAGCCAATGACCCGTTAGCACCCAAATACATACGATGCTTACACTCAATGAAAATGAGAGTAATTCGGCCCCAGTGAATCGCCCACACACTCCAAATGATATTTTGTTACCATCTGAACATGGTCTTATTATATATTGACACATGGGTAACAAAAGAAATGCCAGGGCAACTGTAGCTATAACTGCAATGAAAAAACATATATTATTTGCAAGAAAAGATCATCATAATACTTGTACATACTTGTTACTATTGTGTCAAAAAATGGTTCAATATGTATACAAATTTAAGGATGTGCTAATCGTATCTTATCTCAGAATGGCAATTACGACCAATAACGAATTATTAAGCAAAAAATCATTTATTCACATCAATCTAAGATAGAATGCTCATTTACTTTCGAAATTAATATATCAGTCTACAAAAATTGGGAATGATTGGTATAAACTGATAATTCGAATGACAATTAATTGTAGGCCTTTAATATCCAGAATTTAATATTACCTCGGTGATACTTGTTTCTTATTACAACTGTAGAATTAACACAAAGTTGCCGAAGAACATATTTCTCCAAAAATGTCATGCTAATCATGATAAAATTGACACTGATTAATTGAGTAATGAAAAAATTTTTAATCATGATTACTCGATAATAGAGTAACCAACCAGTTGCACCGACAATCAATTGACATTTGAACTACAACATATTTTTCTACCATGTCTACGTTAATAACTGAAATGAAAAGTGATGAAAAAACTTATACTTACTAGCTGTGCATATTGCAAAGAGCGTCTGCATACTATCAAAAAAGAAAAACATGATGAGTAATGAAATGGAAGCACCAAGAGGTAGACAGAGAGCATGCATTGTATCTAAAGTCTGGACGCATCCTCCATTAGCGCCATCAACATTTCCAGTGCCACTACTGCTCGTTAGCCCCGTTAACAAATTATTACGTTCCTTTTCTTTCTCCCTTTCTCTTGCCTCTTGCTCCATATTTAATGATCGAAAACTGCCATAAACGATCAGCAATATCGATATGAGAAAGGTGGAAACCCTGGATGAGTCCATTATGGAGTAAGCCCTATAATTCATAAAAAATCTATTATAAAAAATTTAACTTAAATATTATTCTTTCATATTTCGCCTATAATTATTTTAAAGTATATTCAGCAGTCGAATGCCTGGGCCCATTAATTGGCTAATCAACTTTTTATTTTCCATGTTGATTTATTGATCATTATAGAGTGCTATTCCATTGTTAACAATAATCAAAATTATAAAAAAATAAAGTTTTGAAATGAACGAATCCATAATGTACAATTATACTTTAACGATAAATTGATTGATTTAATATCAAAATAAAAGATCAAACAATACTGAAATTAATAGGTAACCAAGGCAATAGTTATCAACTGATGTTTCTGGAAATAATTCAAAGCTTAGTGTAATGAAGCCATGTAGATTTTCAATTAACACTGAAATGTTCAATTTAAATCTGTGAGGTAAAATAATAAGCAAAGCTTTTTTTTCAAGCGAATTGTTATTGCATCAAGCTTTAAGTTGCTTATGGGTTATGTTAACTATATGACATTGAGTGCATATATGTGCCAATAGGTGATAACAATAGTCTCTCTTTGGCACATATATCTCCACCTACAGCACTCAAATGATTATGGAACATTTAGAAGTAATTGTGTTCATTATTGACAAAGTAGATTCTTTTCTTTATTTTGAGAAGGAAGTTTTGATCGAACTTTAAACATATATAATATTAGAAAATAAAGCAAGTAAACTAACCACTGGTAATCCACTTGATTGGTAGCCATGTTTTTAGAAGAAATGGGTGGCCGCAGCACTTAATGTCACTCAATGACACCCTTGGGCATTTAGATGTCCCTTCTTAAAAGTTCTCTCATTTGCGATATGGGATTACATCCGAGATCATCTACAGCCACTGCTAAAATAGAGGAACATTATTAATAACATTATTTTACTGATAGTATTAAAGCAAACATACTTTATAGATGTGTACATACCTGTCGTTTGTCACGACTAACATATCAACAAATGTATAGCCCTTTTATAACTTCGGTCACCACCTATCGATAACAAAAGTTTAACTTCAATTAAAAAACAATCAGCTTATATCAGAACTCATTAAGACTCGTTTTATACAAAGTTCCTTTTGTTCGTTTTAATTATCATGAGACAAGCTTTCTTCACAAAATTTAATACAATCATATATAAAGTGACATTTTTTATTACACAGCAAGTACGCATATATAAAAGCAACTTCAAAAACTTGAATTCACGACCAGAAGTCCTCACGTTTCAATTGGTACATTCAATTGTCCATAAGATCCTAGGTCACTGTTGACAACAACTAACAATGCTTAGTATACAATAATCATTCCTGGAATGAACTATTAGCTGCTTTAATGACCTTAAAGTGGGGCCAGAGTACATACAAATGTTGCAACGACTGGGACAGACTTACGAGCTTGGAGCAAAGTACATGCGAGCATTCTAAATTCACATACTAACAATGTTTACGATCGCGACGGCGATTAAAAACCAATCGGAATGGTTACAAGTAGTACTGTTTGGCTCTATCCATTTCTGCGAAACTCAATGCCAGCGCGTTCACGCATGCTGTTGGAATTTCGCCAACCGTTTGCTCGACCTCGTAACAACGTTTAAGCTAAACGAGCGATCTCCCAATTCCGTAGGTCAGATTCCCCGCGTTCGAGGATTCAAAGGATCGCGAGGGAGTCGCGAGAGACGCGAGCCATGCGAGTAATTGTTTGTAAAATAGCGAGGCCCGCCATCTTGGTAAACAGTGAGGTCACGTGACTCGGCCCTGGCCCCGAGGGAACTGTTGGAACTGTTACTCCTGAATCCGAGATTTGGCTCCTCCGGGAGGGCCTCCGCCTCCTTCGGACACCCTTACCTGGGCGGTCCGAAGTTTGGGCCCCTCGTGAATCCTCTCATCACCTCATCAACCTGGGCTTTCTCCGGCAAACAAGGACCCCGAGAGTCTCTAGAGAAACCAAAGGACACCGCTCCAACGCCGCGATCCTATCGGCGAACTACTTCCACTAGCTCCCACTACTGCCAACCTTTCACGCTCGCCACAGTCGTTCGCTGCGGTTCTTCGCTCGGTAAGGTATTTCGCCTATTCCTCCATTTCTCTACAGCCAATCAGGGGATCGATTCTGTAATTCGAAGCTAGTGAAAATTCTAAAAGTGAACATCTCCCGCGATTTCGTATATTCACTATGATATAAATGTGAGATACTTCGCGTGACATCTCGATGGAAACTCCAAGATCTCGAACCAAGTTCTTTCAATTTGGAGATTCACATTCTCACTCGGAGACTCGAGCGAATAAACTCACATGAGATGACAGTCGAGAAGTGCGTACTCTCGCCAAAGTCACAGAATCGACCTCTAGAACCTCTTAGACACGGTTCCACAACTCAAATTAACAGAAATTTAACTGGTTTACAGTAGGTTGAACCAGATGTAAACCACTGAACTCGAATTAACCAAAGTTTAACTGGTTTACACTCGGTTTCAACCTACTGAAAACCCCTTAAACTGCGGTTAATTGGGGTTGTGGAACTGGACCTTAAGGCGATATTTCATTACTGCTAGGAACGAGCAACTCTGCGAACATAGTTGTTACGTTTTAAATGCTTTTATGAACACAACTGATACGAAATTTAAACTAGTTTGAACTGTCAAAACCGTTAGTTCGCAGGGTGGCATCAAAGAATATTCTTTAAGTGGCGTATCAAACTATCAGTGAAGGAATTGTTAGGATTCAATTTACAATAAACTTATGTACATACGTGTATATATTTTAATATTAATACGTGCTAATTATATTTGTTAAACTGCAACTGTATTGTCCTGATATTTGCTGAAGAAGCAGGGTTAGTTATTTGACATTGGGAATAATGTTTTTTCAGGTAAAGGAACAATGTTTGAATTTTTTCTTTGTCGTGTAGTGTGTACATATTGTAACAGTAGAAATCGGTATGCTTAACATTTTTAAGTTTATGGGAGATGAGATGTTACATACTAGTATACAAAAAGTTCATTTCTTAAATAATGGTTTCAAAAGGTATAATCTTATTACAGGTCAACATTACCCCAAAGGAAAAGAAGGTGCTTGAGAAGCCTGCAACTTGTTCACAAATAGAAACAGAATATACTTTGTTGCTTGCACCGTTTCAACCACAAATAAGAATAAAATTAGAAACTAATGTTAATATAAAAGCACAATGTAGTTTAATTGTAAGAAATACCAGCAAGCGACGCTTAACTGTAAGTACTGGTAATTTATAATTTACATGAGATAACTATACCGCAGTTAACTAACGTATACTTTTTTAATTAAGGCAAAAATAACCAAGACTCCTCCATCTGAAAGAAATTTATCTTTAAATGCTAATGAATTGACAATTGAAGCAGATAGTTTTGTTATATTGAATATATCTTGGATACCAAGAGAAAGTGGTTCCTGGCATGATATCATTCAACTAACCGATAACAGACGAATCAAATATGATGTTGCTATTGTCACAAGTGCCATAAATTATAAAAAATTAAAAGGAAGAGGTAAAATTAAAAAAGATAATATGGCATGTCTTAAAGGAAATGGTCTTCCGACAACATATTCTAAACGAAGTACAGATCAATCGGATGGTGGTATTTATCCACCAAGTAAAAAAATATGCCCTGATTCAATTAGAAATGAACAAAACAAAGAAAATATATGTAGCAATGTCATTAAAAATGGACCTTTTGACACACCTCAACAAAAAGACACGTGTCTACTTGAAAATTCCCATAATTTTTCTACTATCCTTAAGTCTGACACGTTCAGCTTGACACCCTGTTTTTCTTCAACATTTACCAATTCTAAGCCATTCAGTGTGCAAGAAAAGGTTCCTGATTTTGAATTTCCTTCTGATTCAATAACCATACCTTTACCAACAAACATGAATGAAAAAAAATTACGAAGAGTGACCTATTTAACGGTACCACAAATTTGTACAGACTGTACATCCACTGAAGTTAAGGAGAATAATGAGGAATTTGAAGACTCACTGTCACCACGTACTGAAGAAAATGCCAAATCTGATTTTTCTTTGATTAATAATATTAATTTTACTTCCATGGAACCACTGACAGTCCACAAAGAAAATAATAGATTTTCTTCACACCAATGCTTACTAGAACTAAAGCAAGAATTGAGCAAAAGCAGACTGTCAGTTGCCGAATCATGCACATCATCTCCATGTGGAAATAATACTTTTGACATTAGTTCCACTAAGTCTGTTAGTGAATTCGTTAATATGGAAAACAATGGAACTTTTGAAATATGTACCTCACCAAGACGAATGTCAGATTTCGACAACGTAAGACCTAAACGACTTACAAGTTCTTTTGGAGTTTTATCTCCTGTGATGCCTGTTATTGATCAATGTCAAGTAGAGTTGACTGCTTCTTCGCCAATACCTTTTGATCGTAATTATACATCCCCTATCTTACAACAGAAAGATCTTTTCCATTTACCATTGAAGAAACCAGATTCAAGCACAGCTCAAGAAGTCCTAGAAGCTAATCTGTGGGTGAAACCTGAAAATGACTTGCACGCTACTGAATTGAAAACCAAGCTACATGAACTCAGTACGATATCAGAAGAGCAACAGTTCCCAACTAACACAACGTTTACAAAAGATCTAAGTAACAATGAAAGTATTAAAAGGTTCAAGAAGACGTCAACAAGTCAATGTTTAGAAATATCACCACCAAGAAAGCTTATAGGAAAAAATTCACCAATTATACGAACATCTCCAAAAAACTATAATAAAATAAGAAAGGACAGAAGTTTCCAAGAATGCACAAATCTCAAGAAGAAGATTCAATTCAAATCATCCATTAAAGGTGAGAAATCGTACTCTATTTATTTTGTATCGTTATTAAGGTAAATTTTCTATAGTAATTAATATTATTTATGTTTTGCACATCTAAAATAAAATCATTATATATAGAAATTAGTTTTTTCAACCGAAGTATTTTTAGGTTACAGTAATATAACAATACCTGGAGTTAAGATTGCTAAACTGTCTCTGGCAGATTTGGGTAAACGGAAGAGTCAAATCAAGACAAACAAAAGTCTTTGTGAGAAAGTAAGCATTAAACTGCACGATCCTGATGACTTTCTCACTAGTCTTTGCAACCCTGATCCATTTGCGGCAACAACAACGGAAGATCCTTTCCTTGCCAGGTAATTTTTATAATTCACTCAGCAAATAATATATCAATGTGCTTTTATTTTGTTTTATTACATTCACAAACATTATTTACTTTAATTGAGTTATAATAATTTTGTTCAGTACTCTATATTATGATGAAGTGTGGATACACAACCAAGAAATGGAATTTAAGAAATGGTTGAATGCTTTGCTATCTCCACCGGAATGTTTATCTATCGATGTAGAGTCTACTTGTATAGATGTTGGAAAAGTATGGCAATCTTGTCGATCAAAGGAGGATATAACTTTAGCTGAGACAAGGGAAGTTGTTTCGGCAAGGTAAGAACTTTGTTATTATAAACAAATAGTTACACCAATACATCTATAAAGATATTTTAGATTGTATTAAACCATTTATATCTATTACCAAGATATCATACAAATACAAGATTGAATACTCTACGAAAAGCAGCATGTGCCATGTTTCGCAGTAAAGAAATTGTAACGGTCCTATCACGTGTGACCGTATGCATTGAAAGAGGAAACCTTGTTATTAGACAAGATCGTGACTTACACCGAGATATAGGTATTTTTCATAATAAGAAACATTTTATACAAACATCTAATGATTTCATATCTCTTTACAAAGAAACCGTTTTTCAATTTCAGGTTTGCAAAAAGAAGTGCTCGAACTTTTTCTGAGTTATAATCCATTATGGTTAAGAATTGGATTAGAAACAATCTATGGTGAAACTATTCCATTGCATTCAAATAACGATTTGGTTGGTCTAACAAGGTTCTTGCTTGCCAGGTTCTTCTCCGATCCATATTTAGCAAAGACACATTCACATCCTTCGGTGATAAATCTCAAATTGGCAACATTTTTGCCCCTTCTAAACAAACATATCTTAAAAAAGTTCCTCTTTGTGGTTTACTTTTTGGATTGTGCCAAAAGGAATAAGCTAATTGGTCATGACCCGTGTCTGTTTCATAAGCGAGCAATTCACAAGGAAAGTCGTTCTATTCTGTTGACCTTTGCCAGAGAAATTTTAGGTGGTATTGGAGATATAACTAAAGTCTTACGACCCTATGGTTACATTGTGTCTCACAAACAAACCTATTTGGATGAATATGACTACGCCGTAGTTGATCTTGCTGTAGATCTTCGAGATGGAGTTAGACTTTGTCGAGTTATGGAATTAATTACAGGCCAACGGAACCTGACCAGTCGCTGTAGAGTGCCTGCTATATCGCGTCTCCAAAAGGTCCACAATGTAGATGTTGCTTTGACAGAACTCATTCGAGCTGGTTATACTCTTACAGGTGACATCGATGCAAAGAGTGTAGCCGATGGTCATAGAGAAAAAACATTATCTTTACTCTGGCAAATTATATACAAGTTCCAGAAACCTTTGTTTAACAAAGCTGCAAGTTGTGTTCAGCGATGGTGGCGGTCCAGACTATGGTATGTGCGCATAAAACATTTCCTGAAAACTCGTCAAGACAATGCAGCTAGTGTCATTCAACGTGCTTGGAAATGCTATCTTGCACGAAAAGAACTAAATCGCCTGAAGGAAGCATATATTGCAGAACAACTTAAAAAAGACACGAATGCTAGGATAATACAGTCATATTGGATCCGTACAAGACAAATGCTGGCAATCCGCAAACAATTCTTATTGATAAAGTTATCGGTATTATTAATTCAGTCATGGTGGAGAAATAGACGGGCCGTAAAACCTTTTGTAAATGAATTCCATAGAAAGCAAAATGCAGCAATTATTCTCCAACGGCGATACAGAGCACAACAATTGATGAAGAAACAAAGAGCTGCTCATATTGAACAGAAAACAGCTGCCTTAAAGATTCAATCTTGGTGGAAAGCAGTGTCATTAGGAAAAAGAGTATTAATGGAATATCAGAATCTTAGAAACGCAGTGTTATTTATTCAAGCAAAATTCCGAGCAACCCAAGCAATGAAGGTAGATCATCAAAAATTTCAGCAAATAGTCAAAGCTACTCGTACAATTCAGATTTGGTGGAAGAGAGTTTTAGCTCTAAAACGAGACCGGAATAACTTTTTAATCATGAAATATGCAGTTTATACGATTGAAATGTGGTGGCTAGAAAAGAATAGAGTCAGTGAGGAAAGAAAAACTTTTCTAGCATTAAGAAGTAGTGTTGTCATTATACAAAGAAGTTGGCGGAAACATCACGCCACAAAAAAGGACAGATTATACTTAAACACTTGCAAGAATGCATGTCAAACAATTCAAACCTGGTGGCAAATGATAAGCATAGCTCGAAAGTACCAGCTTCAAAGACGTAACTGTTTAATAGTCCAACGTTGGTGGAGAAATATCACTTTAACAAGGTCAATTCGAGTTTCATTCCTATCAACAAAGCGTGCTGCGATAACGGTTCAAAAAAATTGGAAGATGAAAAAAGCCAGAAGAGCTTACTTAGAGAAGAAACATGCAGTGCTCAAAATTGAGAAATGGTATTCGAACATACTTGTCTGTAAACCATATCGAAACGATTTCCTAAACTCTCAAATTGCAGTACGAACAATTCAATCATGGTGGCGTAATATACAGATGACAAAAATGCATCGACTCTCATATTTGAAACATCGAGAAATAATTAGTAATATCCAGATTCGTTGGCGTGGTAAAATTCTTACAAGAACCATAAGAAATAATTATCTGGCACAAAGAGCTGCAGCTCAAAAAATTCAAGCTTGGTGGAGAATGATCTTGACAAAAAGATTATATCGCACGTTATTAGCGAAACATAAGGCAGCAACAATTTTGCAATCTAAGTGGAGAGTCACCTTAGCCATGAGAAACGAGAGAAACAATTATCTAGAATTAAAGTCGAAAGCAATCTTCCTGCAAAGAAAGTGGAGGGCGATTATTCTTGGCCGTAGAAGCAGGGAAGAATATTGTAAATCAAGAGAGGCAGCTATTATTATTCAAAAACATTGGAAAGGATATGTCAAACTTAAGAAATACAAACGAAAGAAGCACGCTGTGAATGTCATCTTGGCTTGGTGGAGAAAATTGATTAGAAGGCGAGCAGCAACAATAATTCAGTCAGCCTGGAGAACATATGTAACAGGAAAAGCAGTCCGGAAATATTATCATTCATTGAGATCAGCTGCCATTTTCGTACAACGGCAGTACAGATTAAAAAGATTAACCAAAAACGAAAAGGAGAGGTATATTACTTTCCGTGAAACTGTTATTTATATGCAACGTACATGGCGTAATAAACAAGAAGGACGAAAGCTGAAACTAACATTCTTAAAGCAGAAAGAGTCTGCCATCAAAATTCAACGCTGGTGGAGATTGATACTTTTAGTAAGACAACTTCGTAATAGATTTATTCATCACAGAGCAGCTGCGATAGTGATACAACGTTATTATCGAATGCACATTGAAATTGTGAATGCCAAACAACAGTTGAAGAATACTATACTTGCTGTGATAAAGATTCAAAAGTGGTGGAAAAAAGTTCTGCAAGAACGGAAGCACAAGCAGTGGGTTTCAATCCGTAAATGTGCAGTGTTTGTTATTGAAAAGTGGTGGATCAGTATTTTAATTAAGAGACAAATAGAAAAGAAGAAAGAATTAAAGTTACAGAAAAGAACTGATGCAGCGACACTAATCCAATCAATTTGGAGAGGACATAAAGTCCGACAGTCTCAGGGGGCCAAAATGACGCAAGTACGAAAAAGGTGTGAAAAGGCAACAAAGGCTGCATTGCCATCGGAAACCTTACACCAACGATTACAGTTTGCCATTGCCACGTTCCAAAAATACACCAGCCTTGGTGCACTATCCATGTGCTTATGTTCATTAGGTAAGAATGTAATTTGGATTTGAATTTTACGTAAAATACAAGAACGTATAAAGAATGTAATCATCTGCTTCAGATACGATAACAAGGATATCTCCAGGAGGTTGTATAGGAGTATGTGAACACGATCTAATTGATAAGGTTTATGGTACTTTAGTTCTGTCAAATAGATCACTACCATGGATGGAAGTTTGTATAACAGCTGCTAGTATCCTATTAAACGTTGCGAAATTTTCACGAACAAGAATCTATGTTTCCAAGGTTATTATTTACAACACCTTTTATATTTGACGTTGGACTTAGAATTACATATTCTAAAGCATTCCAGTATCAATAAAATGTTTCATTCAAATTTCAGGTAGAATATGCAGAGACAATAGCTCGATTGATGACAATTACTATTGAACAGCAATCAGAATTATTTTTGCACTTAGCGACTTTATTATGGATTTTAGCTGAAAATCCTGACTACTGTAACGTATGTATAACCAGCCAAATTATAGTTTTCAACCTATTTTTATACCACGTGAACATTTTGAAAACATTTTTATTCCAGGCTGTAAGAAGCTGCACTCGTACAACTTGGCTATTAAGATCGTTGGATAACGTTGTTAAGAAGAAAAAGGTGAAAAAATTGGTAGAAAGCTCAAAGCAGAAAGAACAAACGTTACTACTTCCAAGCACCAAACCGGATTGGGGAATGAAACAGAAACAACCACGTTTATTCAGTAACCCTCAGCATGCCGTCAGTACTGTTCTCAACAAACTGAAAATCAACGTCGTGTCATAGCAAAAAGAAAACATTGCAAGGGTTGTTCTGAGTTGAGAAAATAAGGATTTTTAAAATAAAGTGATTATACGGTGTTCGCAGAGCCGATAAGTGACGCATACTTCCCGGATGTAATGTTGAAATTTACAGTTCAATAAGATTAATTAGAAACTATATTTTAATTTCTACCGTACGGAAACAAAAACAGTTATATATTTCATGCAGGCGGTAAAGCAGGGATTTTCAAAAGGTCTAAAAGGAATATTTGCGAAGAAAAAGCGAAATGAAAGAAATTACGTAAATGTGACAATAGCCGCCAACCTTATCTTGTTTCTTCCTACAAAATTAGAACGATTTAAAATGATGTACGAATATATTTAATTTGTGACAATTACGAACGTGTACTGGTTGACCAAAATCACATGTCTTACTGCTAGTTAACGTACATAATGGTGTTTAATCCAATATTTTTATTCGCGTAACATTCAAACATATGCATGTATATAACTTATATTTGAATACAATAAATTTCTTTAAATACACCAGAACATAAAGAAAGTACATTTTAAGTGAAGTTGGATCATCTAGTGTGCCAGAGTGTACAATATTTTAATGTTTTGACGTTAATCTGTAAGATATGACATGACTAACGTGACATTCTATTTGTTCGAAAATATTTGTCTTATTGAATGTTTAATAATAATTGTATACATGAGTATCAAAACCACTAAGTTCATATAATACCTTTTTTAAGAACAAATTCCCGGTTCCTCGCCCGGAAAATACTGTAACTTTGTCTCTCTGTTTTTTAATCTTAAAACTACCACACATGTTCTGTGCAATATATCTTTATTTTATTCTTAAAAATGTACTTTCTTATGTGAATAAACAATACTTATTGCGTTTGTATGAACATAACGAAAGAATTTGCTGAACTATTTGATTGTAGTATTTTTTTATAAAGAGATTGTTAATGTTTAGACGTGCGACACCATTGTAAGCCAAAAATATCGCGGAATATTAAAAATTGATATGTAAATTTTGTAAGATTTTAACATATTCTTCAAAAGTTGTGTAATAAATATATAATTATTTTTACGCTACAGTATCATTCATTTTTTTTTTATTTTTAACTACGAATGAGAAGTACGACGACTTTTTAGTAATATTTTTATTGCAATAAATATAATAAACAATAATTATTGTTTTGGCGTTACATTTTTAACAGTCAATTCTATACATATACATGGGATTACATTAATTTCAGCGTAAAACGAAGCAGAAAATGCCTATCGATATAAGTAATACACTTGCAGGATATAAGATAATCTGAAAGTGTAAAAAAAACTAGATACAGCGACTACTAGTAAGTGATATACGCGGTCAGCATTCGGTACTCCACTCATCTTCACGGTCAAATTGAAGCGATTCGATAGAATTTCTGATGAGTTAAATATTTTATCTCGATTATAGTAATATATCAGCTTTTCACGTATTTCTCCACTACGCGGATGTGGAAATTGAAAGTAACATGTAGATGGAATACTGGGCCGAAGCACGCAAGTAAAAATTACAACGCAACATCTTGTAGCCGCTGTACCAAGAATCTAAATAACCAATTTTATTTAATAGAATTAGGTAGCAGAATACATAATGTTGTCTCACGTCTGTATATTACAATAATAAACCGTGAATGTAAATTTTATTTACATAACTACTCGAAAATAAAGATGTAAAGATGATTTCAACTTAATTCTCATTTACAGACTTAAGCTCTTTAATCTGTTTGATCAGGTAAGCCTTTTCATCATTGAACTGTTCGTCTTCTGAACGATCTGTATGGAAGCGCGTCAGGAATTCGATTAATTTCTCTTGATTGCGAAGCAAAATATCCAAAATAGGTTTCGGTTTGTTTGGATTGGCAACGAATACCTGTTTATTGGAGGCAAATTAGTAACGGATACGAATCCCTTTTGACTGATAATGAGTGTAATTAACTGAAGGCAATAAATATACACGGTGATTCTTATCTTGTATCATTACCTTGAATACATGGAAGGCCTCAAACTGTATATTACGGGACTTCTCTTTCAGCATGTTCATCATTAATTTCAAATTATCTGGATTTGAAATATACCGTGTCATGACCTGAAAATGCAAAATAAATATGACACCATGGCACATACAATTTGTTAACAGCATTGCCACTTTCTTAATAGGTTTTAATAAATACGTACAGTAAAATTGTGTCTGTCCAAGAGAAGCTCACCCAATAATTTTAAGCTCTGTCGACGAGTTACATAATTCTCTGAATTTAGTAACCTTTGATAATGTGAGAAGACTTTATCGTAATTGATTTCTAAAAATTCAGCGCTGAGTATCTTGTGCCTTGTAAGCAGTTCCTAAAAGAATTCATGTACACAGGTATAATCAATCTTGCATATATAAAACACACGGCTTAATATATCATACTGGCTCAAAAATGACAATTACTCTGTAAGGCTATTAGGTAATTGTAATCTGCTGTAACGTACATAATTAGTACGGACTATAAATCTTCTAACGATTACCTTAAAAGTAGAGAAGGCATCCGAAGCAATGTCGAATGTAGAAACTTCGACGTATCTAAAGAAATTATAAAAATCATCGGAATAAATCATAATTTTTGCAAGTGCTTCATATCTGGCGCATTCTCGCAACATGGTTCCACAGTTCAATGCAATATCTTGATGCTCATACCTGAAACAGGAATTATTTTCTTCTAGTTAACCTTCATAAATAAAGAAAATTATTCCATACGGACTACTTCACCTTACCCAGACATTAATGTAAAAAGTATTTCCGGTTTGGTACAGATGTACTCTACTGTAGGAGATCTTGTACCGATTTGTCTTCGCAGAATATTATTGAACACCTGAGCCACATCTTTCTTACCCTATTGACATAATATTCATTAATAAAATCTATCCTTGCTCTACGCTCATATGAATTCTATGATCTTAAAATTTAAATATATCATGTGGTAGGGACTCTACTTACTTCAAAATCTATTCGATTGAGATTCTGGACGAGAAGTAGCAGAAGATTACTATTGTATAATTCCTGCGCAAGCTGAGCCACAACGATGTCGGCTTGGGGCTCAGACTCGGCAGTTCCGTAGAGCATATTTTTAATGTGTACAAGATTTTTGCTGACATCCTCTTGTGCCTGAAAGTGGAGGCATTTTATGACAGAAAAACAATATTATTTCCATAGCATACCTTTTCTACTTTCTTGTCACCACGCTCCAATGCATTAACTGCCTCCTTTAAGGCCTTTACCACCTCCGCCGGACTCTTTTGAGATTTTCCGAACAGAGGCATTATCTTTTATAAGGGGAACACCTTGTAAAAAAGAAATAGGTAAAAATATTAAATGATGAGATAATATCTTATAACATTGGATTCACTGTAAAAATATATTTTGTACAGCAACATAATGACATTTCATCTGACGATCATCTGCTATTTTGCGCTTGTTCCATCAATCAAACAAATGACTGTTTCAAAATGGGTTAATATGGAAAATAAAGTTCATGATGGATGAAAACCAAGTTTCATGTATTACACACCTTGATTAAATATGAAACCATGCTAACATAATATTTCACAATATTAAAATTGAATTATCTTCATAAAACAATATTGGTGGCAATTATAAACACGCAAACACATTTTCTAAAATCCACAAGAATTATAGACAGAAATGAAATAGAATTGCATCAAGAATCTCATTTACAATCCTGATAATTCATCACTTTGTTCTGAAATACCCATGATATACAGCGTCTTGATAAATACAACGTATTTCTAGAATAAACAGAACTTAATTTCTTCCTTTTGTATCATATGCTAGCAATAAAAGAAATGTATGTTTAATATCATGCGATGTCTTAACTCCAAATCCATCAGAACAATCCCTGGAGAGTACTTTCCAAATATCATTAGTCAGTGATAACGGGATAGCAAGAAAAAAAAACAAGGATAGCAAGGTAGCTGATGTTTTTGAAAGCTGAGGAAATATGATGCTTAGGTATCAGTTTTGTTTACATTTGGATTATACCCTGGTAAAAATATTTTTTCGCTCAAATCGAAGATTTCAGCCATAAATGTGCCTTCAATAAATTCTCAGATCTCCCCAATGTTAAATATCATTTAAAATTAACAATAATTTATATGAGTTTAATTTGGAGTAAGCTAACTTAACGCTGATTTTAATTTACCATACTTGGACTTGACATTTTTATAGTTTACTATCACCTTGAATAAAATGAAAAACCAAAATCAACATAAAAGTCAACCAGGAAAAACCATATGAGTTTCTATAGTTAACGTTAATACACATTTGCAAAGACAATTAATAGATTTTAAACTGACAAAATACTGTTATCAAAAATTAATGTAATCTCTATAAATACTTAAGGTTCTTAGATATACTTGTATATCATTCTTATGTATACTTTTCTAATATATACTTGTTACAAATAATATTTATTAACACTAGAACTACCAAGACCAGTCAAAATGACTGGTTTTAAATGGCCCGTCCTATACAAAAAAAAAATCTGCCGGTAGTTCTAATATTAAGAGTAACATTAAAAGTATTAAAAAATCAGGTCTAAAAAATATATATTAGCACAATTGAAGAGTCACACATTAAATCCAATTATGTTTGCAGAATGAAAGAGCACCTGTATACACATTACAGATAAGGCAGAACATATATAGTTTTTAAGATGTACTTTCTTCACGTTTCAATATTAACGGTTTACACTACATTAAATTGGGAGATCTTGTTCTCAGCACAATTAGAATGGTTGTTACAAATGAACAATGAATCATTAAGGCACCAACGAATTAATTAAAGATATGATACCATATAACCATGTAAGCTATACCAATATTGGAAATTAATTAGAAATTGTGGAAAGCCTTAGTGATTAGGTGAGAATCGTTATACTTGGTTGTTTTATATAGGCAACAAGGTATAACAAATCATTCGCCGATCTAGCTGAAAGAATGAAGCAGAGCAAATTATAATTTAAACTTCTAAAGGAGGTTAAGTACTGACGAATATAGAAATGAAATTAAGCAAAACATAAAGAGGTATTAAAACATCGGGACAAAGTGAGTCCGTTGAAAGATGCAAGAAAGTCACGTCCACGAAGGACTGAAAAGATTGATAGAAATCAGCAGATAACACATGAGACACAAAACAAGCCAAACGTCAAATGTCAGAATTCACACGAAATTCGGAAAAAATGTAAGGTACACGTTATTGAACGTGATTGTACCAATTGGATCGACGAGTACAAACGAAACGCATTAATATAACCTATGAAAGATCGACACCGTTATGCAATACAGCGCCAAACCTGTCGAACAAACTCACCATTCAATCCGAATCCAAATAAATTTACGCAGTTATTTCTTAGCACTTGTGGCACTGGTGTGCCTCTTAGCAGTTCATTTATAAGGTAGATAGAACTGATGTATCTTACGACGAAAAACAATTTACCTATGGATTCGGAATCGCAAACGACCGTGCAAGTACTACAACGAGACCGTTTGCAACGTACCAACAAAGAATTTGGAAACGTTAGCGCGAACGGGGTACATTTAACGTCGGGAAAATACTTTTAACGCATCGCAGAACTTAAGAGTGCCTTTTATTACAGCTCGTCACTTCACGACTGACATCGGTAATGTTGCCGATGCGTGATTGGTAGATGGCGGTTGCTGACTGCGTTTCTAACCAATCAGCGGACTCGGGAGCCATTGCCGATTGGTCGATCCGCGCGACACCTTGAAGGACAAGCGAAACAACTCGATTAATTATTGAGTTTCTTCTTAAATAGAATTACATATATTTCAGAATATTGAAAACGAACAACCGTTAATTGCAACTGTACTTACTCAATGCCTAGGTAGGTGTACGACATTCGTGAACGTTAAAAAGTAGACAAACTACCTTGGACCCATCTCGATGAGAAAGAAGCCCTTGACGAATTCAAATTTTCGCGGTTACGCAACTATCGCTTGCCATGAGAATGCGGCAAATTATCAGTGACTTTTAGGGAAAGCCGCCTCATAGGTCATCGCGACACAGGGGGGTTGAGGGGGGTGTAAACGTAAAAAAGACCGATACAATTTTCTTCCGAAAAAAGAGATGAATTATCTTTATTTCACTCGTTTACAGAATGAGTGCGAAAAAGATAAGGCAAGTCTCCCACAGGGTTAGATGAGGATAGAAGATGCGGCGATACTTACTTGTCAGACGACAGCATCGACCCTGTGGCTGCGTTTCTATATGACTTAATATTCGTGCGCATCCGCGTTTCACTAGATATAGCTGGATATACTTGGTGGTGCATCGATCTATATACTTAGGCTGACTTAGGTTAGGACAAGCCAGTGCGAAGTCGTTTCGACTGGCTTTTTTTTTAATGAATTTCCACCTACCGAAGATCGTGCTTCGCCGTCACACGAGGAAGAATCGTTCGCAGTTGATACATACGCGAGAAGAGAGCATTTTGCATACTGCAGTGATGTGCTTCCACTTACGAGATACGATTGCTTTATGGTGATAATATGTCAAAATCAAACATAAGGAAAATAACGGTTGACCCTACGAAATGTAATACAGACTCTCGGCGACCGAGTGTATTCGAAAGGTTGGGAACTAAACCGGCGTCCACTATCACTAGCCAAAATACGTCAGATTATTGCAGAAACTGGGCATTAAATGGTAGCTGTTCATATGGGAAAAACTGCAAGTATGTTGAAAATAATTGAATAAAAATATTTTACAGGAATCGAATTTGTTTCTGTTTGACCTTTGTCAATATTTTGTATAGTATTTCCATCAAAATCTGTTCTATCGATGTAATTTTATATAACAGTTCTTAGCGTTCTGAATGTAATGAATTAATAATGTACATCTAATAGTATATTGTACTTATGACTCATCATTGTACATAAACTGTGAAAAATATATAATAGTTAATCCTTTCGATACGAAGAGCGATTCTATACGCTTCTCATAACAAAGTATTAAGAATAATTTTAATCAATGGATAATAGTAAGCATTATGTGCCATAAAAGTACCTATGTTGTATAACATTCTTTTACTTAAACTCTCTGTGGCGAGAGGGTTAAAGTTAATGGAGTACTGTAGACTAGCAGGTGAAAGCTATGTATGGTTTTGAAAGCTACGTTCGTTCATATAAAATTAGAATATATAATTTTTTTAAATAATTTTTTTACTTCTTTTCTTATTAGGTATGCAAATACTCACACTTTAATTAGTCCATCAAAACGTGTGAAAAAGGATAATGCTCCTACAAATGCAACGGTGGTAAGTATTCAATTTTACTTCTAATGCACGATTTATGTTACATCCTGCTATAGTGTTAATAAGTTTTTGGAAAGATTCCAAGTTTAATCATATTGGGAATTTTGTAGCAGAACGAGGATCCGTTTAAACGACTCACGTCTAAAATCGTGAAGAAGACATCACACAGTCCAGATTTAAACTTAGAGGAGTGGAATCAGACAGACCTTGAGTACGAAGACGAGAAGGTACTGGAAAGGCGTCGGCAGCTCTTACAACGGGAGCTTGAGCTACAAATGAAGAAAGATAAGGAGGTTCATGGAAAGGAAAAACTGAAACACAAAAAAAAGGTGATGAGCTCTTCTTCGAGCTCTCGCAGTTCCAGTACATCAAGCACAAGCAGTAGTTCTACCAGTGATGATTCTTCATCTAGTACAACATCTGATTCTCGTAAAAAAATTAAGAAGGTTAAACCAAAACAGCATCAAAGTGCATCATCAGATTATGACGATGATAAGGAGAAAAAGAAAAAGTATGTTTTTCTAGTCATTCAAATTACATTTAACATAGTTTTCTTCCTTGAATTAGAATTTTCAAGTTACCTTATTAAACCTTTTATCATATTACAGGCTAAAATTAAAGAGATTAGGAACAAAAAATGAAAAACCTGTTCCTAAAAAAAAACGGAAACTTGAAACAACAGGAAAAAAAGAAACTCCCCCAATAAAACCAAACAAAAAAGTTAACGCTTTGACATCCTCCAAGAAGTATTCGTCTATTAGAAGCAAATCTCCCATCCAACCGGTATCGCATGTATCATCCAAGTCAAGAAATAGCAAGGAGCGGAATAGAAGTGATTCTCCTAAAGCAAAAATTAGAGAAGTCAAGGATATTAGAGAAACTAGAGAAACCAGGGAAATGAGGGAAACCAGAGAAACTAGAGAAGCGAGAGAACTAAGAGAAGCCAGAGAAACCAGAGAACCAAGAGATGCTAGGGAGGCTAGAGAAACCCGAGAGGCAAGAGAAATGAGAGAAAATCGAGAAATGAGAGAATTGGATAAAGAAAAACACCACAAAAAGACACGCGACATCGAGGAGATAACGCCAAAAGAAATCATGAAAACCAAGCCACCTGAGAAAGTAAAAGAAGTTGATAAAGGTAAAATTCGTGCAACAGAAGACAAAAATAGCAAAAATGAGGATAGATCGAAACAACGATCTTTGAAGGAGAAAGAGAAACGATCTGGCACCCCTCCTCTGGATCGATCGAAGCACCAACACTTAAAAGAGAGTACAGTGATAAAATCCAAGAGAAGTCGGACGCCAGAAAAATCCTCTAGATCCAAGCGCGACCTGACGCCTCCTCGGCACCAAGATAAATCATCGTCCTCCAACAGAATCAGAGACACGGATAAAAAGGATCGGGATGCCCATAAACGAGACCGAAGTAAGGAAAGAGAGGAAGGTAGAAAAACGGATCAGAATAAATCAAGGACATCGAATCAGGATGACGGTCACCGCAAAAATATAACAAAAGATGCCGATGACAAGAACTACGGCACTGAGAGGGGTAACGATAGAAGTAGACAGAGAAGCAGAGAGCGTCGCGATAACAAGGAGCACAACACCAGGGAGAATCGAAGTCACTCGAGAGTCGAGAGAGATCAACGAGAATCACAGCGGGACAAGGACAGAGATGATACTCAGGATCGTTGTCGAGAGAGGCAGCGAGAACGAGACCGGGATAAAGACCCCATTAAGATAAGAGAAAGAGACATCCCTCCGCTAATGGCAACCGCTGCTGCGAACCCCTTGGAGAAGAACTCTAGGTACCGCGACAAAGACAGGTTGAAAGATGGATCCGAGAAAGAGAGGGAGGCAAGGGATCGACGTAGCGAAAGGGATAGAGACCGAGGTGAAACGAAACCTTTGGAACGTGACCGAAGCTCTCAACGTTTCGATGCTAGGTACGAGAGAAACCTAGACAAGGACTCGTCGCACAAATCTATGGATCGAGACCGGGGAGAGCGTTTCCCCAGAGAACGATCTTTGGATAGAATAGTGGACAAGAATGTTCCAGCTTCGCGGGATCATTTGCTCGATAGGGAAACGATATTTGAGCGCGACAGGCATAGATACGGTACCAGATTCGAAAGAGGCCATGCCGCGGACCACGAAAGAAAGGAACCGCATGTACCAACTATCAAGGTTGACCGCCTTTCGGACAGGAGAGATAGTCCACGACGTAACGTAGAAGTGGACAGAAACTTCGACCGAGGTTTCCACCCACGCCATACGCCAGAACACTGGGTGGATCAAAAAGATCAACCCTCTCATCTGGAATACAGGGATCACCATGGACACGAGGACGATAGGCGGAAACCGGTCGAATCGAGAAGATACAACAGTCCTTTTGAGGAGAGACGCGGAAGAGATGACAGAACGCAATCTCGTTACGGAGTACCAGCCGACCGTCCTTTTGACGATCTTCATCATCCTCTCTATGGAGCCGACAAGTTAAGAACCGGAACACTTAGGTAAGTGTATTTTGGTAGGAAACAAACGGGTTATCAGCGAGCGTTACCATCCTGAGGATAAATCTTCCTTAGTTGGTCGTAAACTTCTTACTGTAACTTGTCATACCTGTTTGGATAATTTTGAAATAATGTCAAGAGCATGTATAGTTAGATTATATAAATGATATTTTACTTAGTGATTTACTTATTTCGATCTTTTAGAGACGAAGGCAATCCCGATAGTTGGGATATTCATCACGAATTGGAACACGCGGGTCGTGATCGAGGATTCCCGCCTTCGGACTGGGAAGAAAGGGAATGGCGAGCGAGACATGCTTTGTGGGATAGAGAGAGCCTTCCACGATCGGATGCGCATGATGACGAATGGGCAGCACGGTATGACAGTCCCATGTCGGAATGGAAATTGAACGAGCCGCGAAAATGGGATAACCAGCCGATACATTTACGTGGACCCTTCAGGAACGATCGTTTGAAGGATCTGGATCTAGATTCCAATAAAGGGTTGGCAAGATATCTTCTAAAAATAAAATCAAAATTTTGTAAAAAAAAGTCACATTTGCCGGGGTATTGTAACCTAAAGCTCAATATCTTTTTTGCGCCACGAGTATGGGATGGATTTTAACGATTTCACCATTTATTCGCAGGAAGAGGAGGCCGTTCAATTTGTCGGAGACGAGAGACGAGTGTCCACCTCAACCTGTGGTAAAGACAGCGGCCATGCTCATGAAAGACGAGCCGATTAACAAGAAACTGATGGAGTTGGCCGAAGGCCGGCCACGCAGAAGCAGAGAAAAGTCTGCCGATAGTTTTCAGAAAAGGGCTGCTCAGAGAGCAAAGGAGTCGCTTGACGTAAGGGAACCTTTGTCTTGTAAAGCTCCGGCTCCTTCGAAACCTCCACCTCCAGTTAAGTTACCTGCTCCGGAACCGAAACGACCCGCCTTGGATGAATCTTTACCAACGTTGCACACTGAAAGCGATCTCAGTGACATTAGCGATGATCCTGATGATATCCTCAACATGGAGGAAGAGGTACCCCGTCTTGCTAATTTCACTTACTCTCTCTTTGATATTTTATTATCAGATATCTGTATTTTTCATTTTTATGACGATAAAACTATCGCATATGTACATCATTTTCGGGAATTTCAGGATATAGTACAAAATGGCTCGCAGTCACCAAAGAAACCAGTCGATGTTTCGGAAAAAGAGTCGCAACCACAAATAACACACGAAGTCCCTCAGCCCTCTCCTGTTGAACCTGTCGAAGAAACAGTCTTCAACAAGGACAAGGAAAATGGCGAAGGAGTGGCGTTTAGGTAGAATCAGTTCTTTTAAAAAAATTATTGAGACGTGACGAAGCATTTACGTGTTGGCCTTTTCGTTGCAGCAATAGAAGTGTCGAGGATGAAAACATGGAGACTATGGACTTTGAGGAAATATCTGACGGCGAACTCGAAGAAGACATTAAAACAAGCGGCAAAGGTTTGGGTGATGCCCTAGGAGTCGACTGGGAGAGCCTCGTCAAGGAATCTCAACCACGTCGTTCTGCCGTTTATAATCAAGACACCGCGCAAGGACGTTGGCAGTGTAAGGCGATTTTTCAACGAATTGGGATTTCTGCTAAATATGCAGGTCCGGAGCTTGTGGAGAAATTAGTAAAAAAATATGCGGATGGTGGTGAGTATTAAGACGTATGTTACTTAAAAGATAAACGAAATGAAGGGAAAGTACACATTACATTATATGAATTGTTTCTGGAAGTATTACATTATATGGTGATTCTATTTTGATAGAATAATCCTGTAAATTCACAAGCTACGAAATATATACTACTTAAAAATGTATAGGATATACAAGTTAGAATATTTAACTTTATTTGAAATTAACCCCGTTTTCAAACCATTTTATTAGATGTTTATCTACAAGTCATTTCATACAATTTCAATAATTAATTGTTTCATTTCCTTTTAGATCCAAACAAACTATTGCTCGACAATATTGCCTTCATGCATACTGCACTCTTCCGGAATCGTTTAATTCACGATTCTGGTCATAATTTCTTGCTTAGCGAAGACTCACTGTATAGGTAAATGCTTTTAATAGTTTCCATTTTAATTTCTATACAAAAAATCTAATTTGAGCAGTAGCATATATTAACTATTGCTTTGGCATTGTTCACAGGACTAGTAATGAAGAAGATGATGATAACGATGAAATTTTACAGCCATGTACGAGTTTATACGAGGAAGTTAAAACGTTGCTGCAACAAACTGCGTAATATTAGGTTGTAGGAAGATATAGTTTTTTATTGCCATAATGGGCATTGTACAAAATGAGGATTTTAATACGTTAAACGCTTGATTTCTCTCTGCGAATGAAATGGTTCAAGAGGAACTATGTATACCGATACGTCTTTATTAGACTCCTGTTTAATAATCTCCATATTAATGGAAATCAGAAGAGGTCGTAGGATCAATTTGGAAATTCGATTGGCTCCTATCCCTATAAATATAATGTGGTTAAGCCAACTGCACACTCCTACTTATAAATAATTATTAGGAGATAGTATATTTTACCTGAACTGAGAAGTTTAGTGCTGTGCAGAACTTCAAAGAAAAATCAATTTGTTGCTCATTCGGCGCGTGTATTAATTTTTTGTTTCTACAGAATTTGCAAGGTCTTGACATTTCATAGGTAATTGATCTTCGATTAAAATCAATTGTATGATATAACTTATTAAAAAATGGACAATTTACGTAATTATGCAATTTTATGCACATATGACTGAATTTTCGAGATATTAGGGAAAATGATTATTAAAAAAATATCTCCGAACCATTCACAATAATTCAACTTACCATCTCCATTTACTATCGGTTTATTAATTTTTTTCAAACGTGAATATTAATGACCTATTTTGGCAGCATTTGTACAGTATTTTGGATTGTTCTATATTAACGCGAGTTCGCTATTCAATATCAACCTTATAATTGTAATGTTCTTATACGTACCATCTTCAATCGAAACCACTGGATGTGAAACCTATTAGTTTTAAAGAGCATATGCAATTATCATTTGTAAGAGAACATTTCCCTACATTTCAAGATCGTTATAAACTATAAAATGCTCAATTTTGTCTGTAGACTTTCCACCTCTTTGTTATAATCGTCAGGAACTGTAATGTCATTCTGCAGTATCTGAACGGCCTTTTGTAAAAGCAGCGTGCTGCTCTCCAAATCACTCTAAATAAAAATAAAATAAATAACAAACTAACTGCATTTGATTTCACCGAAAGTGCAAATTCTAGGTATTTACCTGTATTTCCGTAGACTCATTTTGGATGTCTAAATTAGCTTTATCTCGTGCGCGTTCTTCCATGATTGTGCAATATAACTCGTACATAATCAATCCTAGGAATGCATGATAGTTTAGTTGCATTATGATACGAGATCGGAGATAATTTAATAAAATAACTATAATCGCAGTCTCATATTTAATTTATAAAATTACCTTTTTTCTTGCAGTCGCCGCAGCCTAAAGTATCAAGTAAGGTCAATAAATCCTTACAGTAATTCAATTTAAACTTGAGCTCCATTTTCGATAACTCTAAAACAATCGTAATAAAAGATAGCGATTCATTATAATCAGAAAATAATTCTATGAACTATAACTAGGCATTTTCTACCGCAAACCTTTCCAAGAAAATCCTTCAACTCTTCCGAAATATGAAACAATGCGAAATTTCAAATCCATAGCAATATAATTTGACGACGGTACCAATACTGGAAGTTCTTTCTGGAGAAATTTAAAAACTTTCTTAGGATTTTCGTAAGTCATTTCTTGGACGATCGATCCTAGTCCCGTTTGAATTGATTTAATCTGAAACATAAGAATTTCAGTGAAGTATCCTACCTTAAACGTTGCTTAGAAAAACACAGTAAACAAAATTAAAGTATACAAATTAAGGACACGTTTAATATAACGTTTTATGTTAATAATCAGATATATGAGATTTTAATAAGTTCATTATCAAAGCTATAAAAGTATTTGATACAGATTTTCTTACATTTGTTACAAGTATCGTTTATGTTTTTGTCATGTAAAAAATTGAATTCATGCATAACTATTTGCAAAGGCTTGCATAGTTGAAATAGAGCTACCTGTCGACCTGAGATGATTAAACGGCACTGATTGCAAGTCCATGACGTGTTAAAATCCAATGGGTCATTTGGAAGAAGTATCCCATCGCATTGCAAACCGGCGCATTTTAAGGCCCCCAATAAGGTTCCATATTCCTATTATAAGTATACAAGGTACAGATTTATGTCATAAGTATTAAGGTGATAGGAAAGTGGGTTCCGAAGAGTCGATCATTTATGAAACTTTTCTCTGAGCTGAGTGTATCGAATTGTGTGAAATTTCACCACGTGAATATAAGAACCTTAAGGGAGGTCCTACACCTATGAAGTTTCATTTTGTAGACAAAACTAAAAAGAAAAAATTAAATTTCAGGAGGTCCAAACCTTCTTTGGGCCTCAATATTCACGTGGTAAAATTTCAAACAATTCGACACATCCAGATCGGAGATAAGTTTCATAAACGAGACCCTTCAGACGTTACTTTCATATCACCTTAAGGGGGTGTGAAAGTGGCATCTGAAGAATCAAACGTTCATGAAACTTTTCTACGAAATGAGTGTACCGAATCGTTTCAAACTTTACAACGTCAACATGGAGGCTATAAGGAAGGCCCTGACGCTCATAAAATTCCATCTTTTATAAACAATCTTGTAAATACCTATAAATAAATTTTAAACAAATTTAAATTTTATGGGTTTCGGGACCTTCCTTATACCCTCCACATTTATATTGTAAAGTTTGGAGCGTTTGGGTACGCCCAGTTTGGAGATAAGTTTCATGAACGAGAACTCTTTTCCACTTTAACGTCACCTTAAGCGCAAGAATATTTAAGTCGAGTAAAACTGATTTTGTTTTTACCGTTCGATCGGAACATCGACTACACGTACAGTGAAAGTGCTTCGTTTTCGCAAGATATTGTCTTCTTAACATGGTGTCCCATAAAACGTCGCTGTAGATCATGGTAAGCTCTTCTCCTTCTCTAATCGGTATTGCTGCACTAACGTACATCTTCTGATTTGCATCGAAATGATGTCTGGTATTAGGAACGCAACAATGGTTTTGCAAACATCCCATGGGATACAAACCCCGTAAGCTCGTAAGTGCTAATGTCTCCGAATTTTGGGCTGCGGTTTCGAAGGAATTCGTGTCGAAGACTGTGCACACTCGGAGAAGAAGAGCTTCATCTTCGTCACTTATCGTACCTTCGATATTATTCTTCAGCAATTCGATCTGCAACGAATCAATTTTACGTCAATGCGCAGAGATTCCTTACCCTCGGCATTTTAGAAGAAATCGTCCGTAAAGCTTTATCCAGTTAAAATTCTGTACATTATTAATCACTGCGTACTCAAAACTAAAAATAGTTTTTGTTTCATCAATATTTGGGGAAAGGGTGCAGGGCTTTATCACAGAATGTCTCCTATTATCCCGAACTGGGAACGTTTTTCACGGATAATACAATCGTTTGAGGCAGAAAAAGTATATCCGAAGCGCATATGATTTACGTATAGGGGTATTCGGGAAAAAGATTTGATTAGAGGTTTTCGCGGCACGTAAGTTCTATCGTATCGGGCAAAAATAATTGATTCGAGCTTCCTATGGAGACGAAGCGATTTGAGCTATTTTTGTAATTTAAGGAAAGGCAAATGTATTCGGCTAAATTTTCCTACTTTTTTGTGGGGATGATACAACCGTTTGAGGGTAGAAGATACATTTGAAGCATGTGGAATTTATTATTACTCTAGTAACATCTAATAATTTGTTATGCAGACCAGGGAAATGCACCCTACGAGGAGGTTTTTGTTATTTAAGGAAAGATAAACGGTATTCGGCTAAATTTTCGTACTTTTTGTAGAGATGATATAACCATTTCAGGAGTAGAAGATACATTTGAAGCATGTAGAATTTCTTATTACTCTAGTAACATCTAATAATTTGTTATGCAGACTAGGAAAATGCACCCTACGAGGAGGTTTTTGTTATTTAAGGAAAGATAAACGGTATTCGGCTAAATTTTCGTACTTTTTGTAGAGACGATATAACCATTTCAGGAGTAGAAGATACATTTGAAGGATATAGAGTTTTATTATTCGTCTAACATGCACTAATTTTTTACGCAGACTAGGGGAATGCACCTTGTGGGGAGGTTCCATTTACCTCTCGCCCATGCTGAGGGCCCTGATGACATAAAAAGGCATCCAGCAAGCCTTTCTGATCTTCGGAAAGAGAGAGGCCCCGAATCGGCACCACGGCTCGAAGGAGATCCATGGACCACATGGATCCACAGGTCGGCTTCCGTTCCCTCAGGAATTTACACTCGGCAAGTCCATGGGAATCGGAACTTTCGCACTTTTCCGAGCACACGGGCAGTCCGCATCCTCGGTCGCAGGGAAAAAGCGGACATCCACTCTTGTAGCAATTAATGCACATCGGCAAATACTTGTTCTGGCATCTGGGACCTAATATCAGTGGCGCATCCATAAAGATTAATTCGCCTTGTCGAATGTCCCGAGTCGCGAAGAGGCCTCGACCCCCCAACGGGGAGTACTTTACAGTCCAGGGATTTTCTGTCGAAAATAAATGATTCGCTTCCAGATGACGCCGAAGCAGAGTTCTCGTCATTTCCGGCTCCATGCCGAGTGACGTATAAACGAGGAAACCGGCAATTAGATAATGGATATCCCGGTAATTAATCGATTTTCTTATTATATCTTGGCGGGTTTAGATTGGCTTAGATTATTTCTGACGGCGGCAATCCGTTGCGAATATTGTTAATTAATTGTTATAAGGAGCCTTGGAGGTGAAGGCTGGCCGAATCAGAAGCGCGACACGCTCGACACTCGAGTTCCTTTGGACGCGCGTTGATGTTGAAAGCTATGGTTTAAAATAGAATCCCGACGAGGGATTAAGCGGATGCTATTAAGAAAAGTCAACCCATCCGCAGATATTTAGATTTTCCTCGCATGGACGACAGGCCTTTCTGAAAATCGGTCACTTGCGGACGCGCCGATGATAGCCGCGGCCATGGAGAGCGAGAATATTTTTACCTCTGTCGTTTCTATATTACTCGGAGTTGATATCCAGATTTTCAATGGACACGCGACGATGACACCGTGGAATCATACGGTTCTTATTTCTGTAATACGTCATGCGGCAACCGTAAATGTAAAACACTGTAAACGAAGGTATTACCTTCTTTCTTAATTACCTGCTTGTTTTCAAAAGTAATCAAAAGACAACTTATATTATCAACATTAAAGGATACTTTGCATCGTTATCAGAATTTAATGACGTTGAAGATAAAGGATGGTAAGAGACCTTTTTCTTACTCAATGAGTTATAGGTGTATTACAGAAAAAATAAAAAGTGCGAATGACCTGTTACGTTACATGCGTATTCGATAACATACGCACTGTCCAGAAATACCCGATCCCTGATCTGCGAACGATAATTCTCAATATACATAACCGATTGCCAGGGGATTTATTTTGATCACGCGAGCCATTCCGTCGTCGTAATCGACGTAAGCTGCGAAAGTCACGAGACATTGCGTAGGGCACAGCATTAATCTTGGAGAAATTATTTGATCAATACTTCCGCTATGCTGATTCGGCGGATTTAATCTGCCCAATGAATTTTCCTCTGCAAGTCATTTATTTTCCACAGGGATTAAAATTCCCAAACCCGCTCCAACGTACGTTCTTCGTTCGAAAACGAAATCCGGTACATTTTTCAGAGTTCGCAGCTTCCAAAATGGTAAAGTCCATCTCGCTGGTATCAATTCTGCTCGTGATCGTTTACTGCAAAAGTTTTGTACGTCGAGACGTCGAAATGGAATCGAACGATGAGTTGATCCAGAAGGAATGACATTATCGAGCTATTTTTTACGCACGCGTGATTGTACGTGGTACTGTGTTGTTTACACGTTGTCATGGGCACCGTTTAAAGGACCGTGGTAGAGACCCTAACCGTAATAATATACAGGCCGCAATTTACGCTACGTTACTTTTACCGTTTGTGGGATAATGAAGAGGTACTTTTCGTGAATACTCCCTCTATCCGGCACCGATTAGAGTTATATGGTTTTGAATAATGTTTAAATTTTAATTTTTTTCTTGCTCGTCAGACAGTGATATCGCGACAGTGCTAACGTTGTTTCGAAAACATTGTGACGTCACGGCTTTGTGTATACAAACGCATCCCACATATGTGCCATTTATGTGCGTTCGTATACCGTGCTAAACGGTCATTCAACTTTTCTGTAGTCAGGGAAGGTAGTACGATACAAGCTAGTCCTTTCGATTTAGATTCCATTTCATGATCCGTATGATTTTAATTACAATTGAAAAGAAATTTCGGCATTCTGAGCCCTGAAAATATGTATTTTATATCATTTTTAATCGCTTAAATGTTGCGGTTCGAGAAAAGGTTGATGCGGAACGAACATGATTTAAAGAATGAATTTAAAGAATAACTGCCTTAGTTTTCGGGAGAATTATCCACATTTATCATCTAGGATAACAAGCTGGTGTATACTGAAGTACCCTATCAAAAAAAGATACTGTAATTTTGTAAGATTTCTGTTGAATGTTTCTTTTTTTTTCCAAACATGGCACGCTCATTTTGTAACATATTTTACAAGATGTTATAACGCATGTTATAAAATTATAAATTCATTTAGAGATTCATGGTAAATATATAGTAATTCATCTCTAAGCCATCAAGCTTTATAATTTAAATACAATCGTATGTACTAAAAGTCTATGAATTTTATAAATATTATTAACAGTGTAAGGTGTTACAAAAAGAAAGAAACATTAGCAATTATTAATCACATTCACCGATATCTCGAACAGTTATTGATATGACACAAATCTATAATAATTCACCATTTGCATCTTCAAGTTATTACAGTAACGTTGTTAAGTTACAGGTCTGAATTTTTCATCTCTGCAATCGGAAAGTGGAGCTTTTTAGTTTCCCTTGTTGCCTTAACGGTGGCTGCCTCTTCTAGTTTAAACTGCAGCAGTGATCCCTGTATGTATGGCATTTGTTTGGACAATACCAACCGGTAAGACTGTTATTACAACTGTAAAATAGCGCAAGTTAATAACTAGGGTTGCAACGAAAACTTGCACGCGAAACTTTAGCATACAGCGAAAACGAAACCAAATACTCGTTACAGCCCTAATCACGATATTAATTTGAGAGTATAATAATTAATTTTTGAAATGGAAATAAATAACAATTCAATTATTATCAGAACAATGAATGATAAAATTGACAGTTCCTATTCCTGCTACTGCATCGATGGTTATACCGGTATCAATTGTGAGATTAATTGGGACGATTGCTGGTCCAATCCTTGCCTCAACGGTGGAACTTGTAACGATGCTGTTGCTATGTACAATTGCACTTGTACAGAAGGCTTCGTAGGTGAGACAACGTTCTAACATGAAATTTCCTATATTTTAAACACTAACCTTCACTAATCTACATAGGAGTGAATTGCGAGCAAAAGTACAGCGAATGCTTTAATCAACCCTGTCTTAACAATGGAACATGTTTTGATTACAATGGCTTTACGTGCCATTGTCTCGAAGGTTATTCCGGTAAATACCCACTTTACGGAGAGATAGAGATTTAACGAAAAATATGTAGGAGTAACTTTTACTTCTGTTTATGTTTTAGGAGAATTCTGTGAGATCGATGTATCAGTTTGCAACAATACCATATGTAAAAATTCTGGAGAGTGTATTGAAGGCCCTGGTTTATCGTTCTCCTGCCGCTGTTTAGAAGGTTAGTTACATATTATTATAATATTTAATAACAGTTAAATACAACTTAATTAATTACCATTCTATACTTATTTATTAGGGTGGTCTGGAGAACTGTGCGAAGAAGATATAAATGAGTGTATTGGCATGCCGTGTCAAAATGGGGGACTCTGTATTAATGTACCAGCCTCGTACACTTGTGCCTGCCTATTTGGTAAGTCTTATTTTTTTCTGTTTTCTTCCTTGTATGTTATGTATGAGTGCTTTTAATCCATATTAAGAGGTTTTAACTTGAATTTTGGAAAAAAAACAGGTTTTACAGGAAAAGATTGTGATAAGGCTGTAGTTCCTTGTGAGACAAATCCATGCCAGAACGATGCAGTTTGTTTATTGGAAGATGCTCAATCGATTTGTTACTGTGTACCTGATTATCACGGGGTACTGTGTGAACTCCGATATGATGACTGCGAATCAAAGTTTGCACAGTGTGAAAACGGAGGAACTTGCATTGATGGAATAAACAGTTTCACTTGTGCCTGTATGCCGGAGTATACTGGTGATATGTGCACCGAATATAGTCCAACGACGTCTACGGAGCTTCCTGATCGTTATTCAAAAATTTTCACGTCTTCTGGAGCAACCGATGCCTCTTTAAATATTTCATCAACACAGTTTATCGAAACATCATCTGTACCGACACTTATACCAATGACGTTAAAGGACGATTCTGTGGATGTTACAAAATATGATATAAAAAGTACAATGGTATTTATAAATCGAACAGAACTTCCTAGTGGTCTTGTTTCTACATTAATATCTAGTTTCACTGATCATACTACAGAAATGATAGATGAATCAAACTTTGTAACAAGTACAGTGCCTGTATCCGAAGATCATAAACCTGAGATAGATTTAACAAGCACAGAAAGCTATGAACCAAGTATTAATATCTACACGACTATTTTAAAACACCCCACAATTACTGCAAAAACAGACTTAGAGAAACCAACGTCTGTATACCACGATAGTAAAGATACAGTGTCAACTTTTGAACCAACATCTGACTTTCCTGATGTAACGGATATGTTTCCCGAAAGTAAACCATTCCAGAGACCAACTAAAACATTGTTGATATCTGCTATCGCAGAGGAAACTACAAGAAAAATCTTTACAAGTGAAATAACCTCAAATTACACATCGACTTTAGATACCGAAAGAATGTCTTCCCAAAGTACAGAGTACTCCGATGAATCTACCATCAAAGGTGTCACACAGCCAATTGTGTTCACCGATACTATGACAAATATGATGACAGTCCCTGTAGTCATATCATCAACAGCCACGATTCCTTTAACAGTTTTATTGAATGAAACTATTTTAACTAAAGATCAATCCACACAAACCTCAGCACCAAAAACAACGGTGCTTTATCCTTTTACAGTGGATGTACACAATGAAACAGAAATAAGAACTACAACTGCAGAATCTACTATGGTATACAAATGCATTCAAGAACATTGTGCAAACATCAGCCACTGTCTTCATAACTTAACTGTGGTATGCATAATTGATATTTGGAATAAAGTTACCATTTAAACTGTAACTAAGCGAAATCTTAATCTGCATTGAGAGCAAACATAATCTGACACATATTTCTTTCAGTGTGACTGTAGTTATCAAAATAATTGCAGAATAAGTCCCAGTATAACTAATGCTGCCTTTAATGGGAAATCTTATGTGACTCAACATATTAATGTTGATAACAATGGAACGCTTCAAATTTATGCAAGGTTGAAAACACTTTCCAAAAGTGGAATATTAGTACATGCCTTCTTCGACGATGAAAGGTACATTTTATTGTACTTAGAAGCGGGTCAATTGAAATTTCAATTTTCCTGTGGTCTCCAAACAATGTTGCTTGGAGAAATAGACTCACCCATTGACAATGGGTACGATGTTGACATTGAAATGAGGTAAAGCTTTTATGTTCACTTTCTTAGCTATAAAATCAACAAAACATTACTTTGGCAATGAAACCATGGTAAGAATTTTATAATTTGTTGTAGGTTTCAATATTTTACAGAGTATAAAAATGATAAATGCTCTGCTAGGCTGCTTGTAAATAATACAATAGCAATGAGTGGGGAACAAATTGTCTTGTCACATGATAATGTTCCACGTGAAGCCAGATTGCATTTGGGTGGTATACCGTTAACATTTTCTCATTATTTCCCTCACATAGGAATGGGATTTGTTGGTTGTATGAGCTTGTTAAAGGTGAAAGTCATTTCTACCAAGTTACTAATATTATCATGTTCTCATGTTATGCTGTACTAATCACACATAATACACGTTTTATCACAGGTGAATAATACGCGGAGAGACTTTATATACGATTCCATGGAAACCTTTCAAATAGACGAGTGCACTTCATTCCTGTGCTTGTCAAATCCATGTAAAAATTTTGGCGCTTGCAATGAACTCCACGGTCAAGTTTATTGTAAATGCATAGCTGGGTATGTACCAAAATAAACATTTTCATTTATATTATATCCGTATTTATCTAATTATCTCTCACCAGATATGTTGGGGAAATATGTGAAAGGTCTGTGTGCGATGATAATCCCTGTCATCTTGGTGCAACTTGTGTCAGCTCTCCAGGGACAGGTTTCCTTTGTATATGTCCATTAGGAATGCATGGGCTTTTCTGTGAAGAAGGTAAAAGTACAATGTTTATTAATCTTTTCGTATTGTGCTATACAATTAAATCTACTGTACCATTAACAGAGACCACCGTAGTACAGCCGTCATTCTCAGTATTTGTTCCTGGAGTTTCATCCTACATCGCGTATGGTCTATCCAGTTCAATAAAGGATCAAATGGAACTGTCGATGCGTTTAATTCCACACTCCATAGAACAAATATCTCTCATAGCTTATATGGGGCAAACTGGTTCTCCTCGTGATATATCAGATCATTTTTCTATAACTTATGTTCGTGGCTACATTATGCTCACATGGGACTTAGGTTCAGGTAATCATAAGTTTTAACTGTAGGGTGTGTATTGTATTTTTCACCAACGCATATGTGCTACAATGATCTGTAGGGGTACGAAGGATTTTCACAAGCACTCCATTGTCAGTCAAAACACACCGACCACATATACTTCGGGTAGGACGAAGAGGAAAAGAGGCCTGGCTATCCGTTGATGGCTTAGGAAATGTAACAGGCCGTTCTGCAGGAGCAATGACCCGTTTGGATGTTTCTCCAATACTGTACATTGGTACATTTTTTCATTAATCTATTCATATCAACATTTTATTTCTAATATTGATACCACTGAACTATTACTAGTATTGATAAAACGATTTTATCCATTATCTATGTCATGCCTATTTGGTCAATATATGTGTTTTAATTAAAAACTAAAGATAAGTAAAGTATTGAAACTATTTTGATGTCAAATACTAGGTGGACACAAAGTAAAAAACTTCGAGACATTACCACATGATTTACCACTTCATTCTGGATTTACTGGCTGCATATTCGATGTTGAGTTAAGAACTGAAGACACAGTTTTATCAGTAACGAAATCCAGTCCAGCTACCGGACGTGGTATTGGTGAATGTTACCGTAATGAATGTACTCGGCGTTCATGTAAAAATGGAGCTGTATGTTTAAATCATGGACCTACGTATAGGTAAGTAATCATACGTCCTTGTCTTTTTCTCAACCTATTCAACCATTTTTTAAATATTGAATATTATTTGTAATATCACTTTCAGCTGTATCTGCATGAAAGATTGGGAAGGTCCTGATTGTTCAATTCCAGCACAGATTTGTTCTCCGACTGATCCACTGTGCCATACAATTTATAAAAAAGAATCATAAGGAGAAACGTTCACATTTTTAAAATATTTATAAGAAATTTAAGAAATTTGTTCACATTATTTCTAGCGAATCCTCATATCCTGAAGAAAAGTATGTACAAGTGCAATACTAAATAGTAAATAAAAATTTATACATTCATTTACACATTACTGGAACTCAATCTTTGGCTGATGACTTACTGACGTTGAGTTTAAATGTATAAATAATATTGCTGCTGCTAAACGTGCTTGCATATCTTCTTTGCTGAGATCATGCGACCATTCCACTGTTCCCCAATGTGAAATCTAAAATATAAGCAAGATATATCGATAGCAGATCCAGTTTCTATGTATTGGTAGTAGATCAAGTTTAGTAAGTAGAACTATTAAAATTATAATACCTGATATTCTTCTTCTAAGCGAGAAAGTTTAACTGCTTCCTGAACAGTAATTGCACGTTCAGCAGCAGCTAATGTAAGAATTACCGACTTCAATATGTCAACTCCGTACATAAATCCTAGGAATTATTTTAAAAAATGAAATAGTTTTTCTTTAATTATACATAGTAATTAAAAAAATATCAAGAAATATTAAAAATCTTGTATTACATACCTTGTATTGCATTATCGTTATAAAATGTCAGATGCCTTTTCAGAGCATTCTTAGTTTCAGGGGGCACAATTGGAGTTTCTATGCTCTGGGTTTTAATAATATTAACTTGAAGTCGATCACAGAACCATTGAATTAAAGGGTCCCACCTCTGTGTTTGCAGTTTATACAGATCATCGATTTCCTAAAATAAACTTATATTAGAATATAACAGATGAACATCCCAAGATTTTAATATATTAAGATAAAGCTTAACTTATTCTTACGCTCGAATGAAACAGAATTGTATCAGTTTCCAAATAATTCACAATATAATTGATGATATCCACTTTTTGATGATTATTAGGATTATCTAATACAGTGCTACATAATGCAGTCTGAAAAGAAAAGTATATAACATATGGTATTATAATACTATACATGCAGTATCATAAAATATTAAAATTGTAAATATTACCAATTAGGTTGATATTAACTTAAATCATTATTTACCAAATGCATATTACTTCGATTAATTGTTTCTTCTTGACTGTCCCATTCAGTGGCTACAGCTAGTGCCAATGGCTTACTATTAACATCAAAATTTTGTCCTTTCGGTGTTTTCAGTTTCCTTTGATCTAATGTCACCTCATATTTTCTACCATTTGAAAGAATATTAGTTCTACGATAAAATCTTCTTACAGTGGCTGGAAGTATGATAATGAAATATCACGCATGTGAAAAAGGTATGGATTGTTTAATAAAACATAATTCATTTATAAATAACTAAAAAAATTAAAATCTAAAACGAACCTAATGCATAGACATCACGATTATAATTAACTGGAAATCTTATTTTAAAATAAATACAAACTTACCCATATTTCGTGAAATAGTTAACAGTGGGACAAAAATGTGTTTCCGGCACAATTGACATAACATCATTCAAATTATTCTATTATACAAGAAATGTTATCTGAAATCTGCAATTTAAATTAGTCATAACTCATAAATGCGTATCATTATGTTAATCAACTACAAACAAGTTGAAACAAGTACCCGGCAAAAATATCTTTAATAAAAGATATGGACAAGAGAAGATATGAGTGGTGAAAATCAGTTAGTACTCAACATACATTTACACGCTCTGTTTTACATCGGTTTTATGACTACCAATTTTATAACTACTGATTCAAGTGCTGTGTAAACATCGGTTTACTCCGGTTTTACCGGCTTAAACTAGTGTTTACACGGCGTTTTGACATCACTTCATACACTTGACGAGCATGGTCAAAGATCTCGAGTTGACTTTTAGCATCGTGGATACAGGTTTTTAAGCAGAACTTGTCCGGTTCCACAACTCAAGCTAACCGGAGTTTAATTCGTTTACAGCAGATTTAAACGAAGCTTAAGCCAGTTAAACTTCGGTTAACCATTTTGTGGAACTGGGCCTAAATATACTCAGTATTAGGCCTGATTCAAACCGGAAGGAGCAAATAATAATCATTGATATTGTTTGATTTTGCGGAACTGACAGAAGGAGGGCAGAAAATTCGCTTCATTCATTGGCTCCTGCTTATCTCTCGCAATCTGAATTAGGCTTAACATAAACATCCAAAATGTTTAGGCTCAGTTCTACAACTTGAGTTAACCGAAGTTTAACTGATTTTCACCCAGTTTAAACCTGCTGTAAACCAATTAAACTCTAGTTAACTCGAGTTGTGGAACCGGACCTTAATCCAAACGAAACCTCTTATAATAAAACGTTCCTTTTTTTATATTGTGATTTAAAGATTAAACCGGAATGCAGATGTTAGCATTGATACTCCGGTTTAATGTTTCATACAATAAAAGCATATTTTAACATCAATATATAAAATATATGGTACATACTGATATCGTTTTAGAACTTTATAGATGTGTATAAAAATTGACTATGAAATTATGTGATCAGCATATAAAGTATCTGTAGCCTAATACTGTTTAGTAATTAAAAGAACGATTAACACAATGAACAAGTGTGTGTTACACACGATATCGACAATAAGGCAACATTGTCGCTTGAAAAGCACAATTGTTAGGCAAACTCCTGCAGAATATTGCCTAAATCTGGTTAGGTATGGTGGTGAATCAACTGTAACAACAATATAATTTTAGAAATATTAATCCACTTTAATTGTTCACTTTATGAAATTGTTTTAGAACCAACGATTATGAGAACTTTTTGTGCACGTTACTTCTACCAAAATCCATTAGATCAGCTGCCATTGCTATTCGAGCCTTTAATGTTGAAGTGGCACTAGTAGAAGATCAAGTACGCGATAATAAAATAGGTATGATGAGGTTGAAGTTTTGGGAAGAAACACTTTCTGGCATTTATAATGATGTTCCACCTAGAAGTCCCATCGCATTAGAATTACATAGGGTATGCGAAATCATAATCTATTTCCATTTATTGAAAAGTGTTACAACGAGATAGTAATTCCGTCTTCACAGATACTGAGCAAACACAAACTTTCCAAGCTTTACTTTAAACGACTTATCACTGCTCGTTGGGAAAAGTTACAAAACTCAATTTTCCTTGACCTAGAATCTCTTGAAAGATATTCTGACAGTGCAGTGTCATCTATATATTACTTATTGTTAGAAGCACATGGTACAAAGGAAGTACAAGTTGATCACGCAGTTAGTCACTTGGGCAAAGCACATGGAATCGTAACTCTAATTCGTTCTATTCCACATAATGCTCATAAAAGAATTAGCGTAATACCACAGGATCTCTTAATAAAATACAATATTCCAACGGAAACAGTATTTCGAGGAAAATGTGATCAAAGTCTTAAAGATACAATCTTTGAGATCTCATCTCGTGCTAAACTACATTTAAATAAGGTACGTACATTAGCATCAAAATGAGTAACGATTTGAATTAAGAAACTTCTTATTTTAGGCTCGTTCCCTGCAAGGCAAAGTACAGAAAGAAACTAAGTTAATATTTCTACCTGCAATACCTGTGGATATTTATCTTGAAAACTTACGACAAGCAGACTTCAACGTGTTTCATCCAAAGTTACAACAAAGAAATCGTTTACTTCCTCTACAGCTGTACTGGAGAAAATTATTTCGCTCATATTAGTATATAAATAAAATACCAAACGTACTGGCATATAAGTGCAAAAGTAGGCGAATTACCGACTTCAATATGTCAACTCCGTACATAAATCCTAGGAATTATTTTAAAAAATGAAATAGTTTTTCTTTAATTATACATAGTAATTAAAAAAATATCAAGAAATATTAAAAATCTTGTATTACATACCTTGTATTGCATTATCGTTATAAAATGTCAGATGCCTTTTCAGAGCATTCTTAGTTTCAGGGGGCACAATTGGAGTTTCTATGCTCTGGGTTTTAATAATATTAACTTGAAGTCGATCACAGAACCATTGAATTAAAGGGTCCCACCTCTGTGTTTGCAGTTTATACAGATCATCGATTTCCTAAAATAAACTTATATTAGAATATAACAGATGAACATCCCAAGATTTTAATATATTAAGATAAAGCTTAACTTATTCTTACGCTCGAATGAAACAGAATTGTATCAGTTTCCAAATAATTCACAATATAATTGATGATATCCACTTTTTGATGATTATTAGGATTATCTAATACAGTGCTACATAATGCAGTCTGAAAAGAAAAGTATATAACATATGGTATTATAATACTATACATGCAGTATCATAAAATATTAAAATTGTAAATATTACCAATTAGGTTGATATTAACTTAAATCATTATTTACCAAATGCATATTACTTCGATTAATTGTTTCTTCTTGACTGTCCCATTCAGTGGCTACAGCTAGTGCCAATGGCTTACTATTAACATCAAAATTTTGTCCTTTCGGTGTTTTCAGTTTCCTTTGATCTAATGTCACCTCATATTTTCTACCATTTGAAAGAATATTAGTTCTACGATAAAATCTTCTTACAGTGGCTGGAAGTATGATAATGAAATATCACGCATGTGAAAAAGGTATGGATTGTTTAATAAAACATAATTCATTTATAAATAACTAAAAAAATTAAAATCTAAAACGAACCTAATGCATAGACATCACGATTATAATTAACTGGAAATCTTATTTTAAAATAAATACAAACTTACCCATATTTCGTGAAATAGTTAACAGTGGGACAAAAATGTGTTTCCGGCACAATTGACATAACATCATTCAAATTATTCTATTATACAAGAAATGTTATCTGAAATCTGCAATTTAAATTAGTCATAACTCATAAATGCGTATCATTATGTTAATCAACTACAAACAAGTTGAAACAAGTACCCGGCAAAAATATCTTTAATAAAAGATATGGACAAGAGAAGATATGAGTGGTGAAAATCAGTTAGTACTCAACATACATTTACACGCTCTGTTTTACATCGGTTTTATGACTACCAATTTTATAACTACTGATTCAAGTGCTGTGTAAACATCGGTTTACTCCGGTTTTACCGGCTTAAACTAGTGTTTACACGGCGTTTTGACATCACTTCATACACTTGACGAGCATGGTCAAAGATCTCGAGTTGACTTTTAGCATCGTGGATACAGGTTTTTAAGCAGAACTTGTCCGGTTCCACAACTCAAGCTAACCGGAGTTTAATTCGTTTACAGCAGATTTAAACGAAGCTTAAGCCAGTTAAACTTCGGTTAACCATTTTGTGGAACTGGGCCTAAATATACTCAGTATTAGGCCTGATTCAAACCGGAAGGAGCAAATAATAATCATTGATATTGTTTGATTTTGCGGAACTGACAGAAGGAGGGCAGAAAATTCGCTTCATTCATTGGCTCCTGCTTATCTCTCGCAATCTGAATTAGGCTTAACATAAACATCCAAAATGTTTAGGCTCAGTTCTACAACTTGAGTTAACCGAAGTTTAACTGATTTTCACCCAGTTTAAACCTGCTGTAAACCAATTAAACTCTAGTTAACTCGAGTTGTGGAACCGGACCTTAATCCAAACGAAACCTCTTATAATAAAACGTTCCTTTTTTTATATTGTGATTTAAAGATTAAACCGGAATGCAGATGTTAGCATTGATACTCCGGTTTAATGTTTCATACAATAAAAGCATATTTTAACATCAATATATAAAATATATGGTACATACTGATATCGTTTTAGAACTTTATAGATGTGTATAAAAATTGACTATGAAATTATGTGATCAGCATATAAAGTATCTGTAGCCTAATACTGTTTAGTAATTAAAAGAACGATTAACACAATGAACAAGTGTGTGTTACACACGATATCGACAATAAGGCAACATTGTCGCTTGAAAAGCACAATTGTTAGGCAAACTCCTGCAGAATATTGCCTAAATCTGGTTAGGTATGGTGGTGAATCAACTGTAACAACAATATAATTTTAGAAATATTAATCCACTTTAATTGTTCACTTTATGAAATTGTTTTAGAACCAACGATTATGAGAACTTTTTGTGCACGTTACTTCTACCAAAATCCATTAGATCAGCTGCCATTGCTATTCGAGCCTTTAATGTTGAAGTGGCACTAGTAGAAGATCAAGTACGCGATAATAAAATAGGTATGATGAGGTTGAAGTTTTGGGAAGAAACACTTTCTGGCATTTATAATGATGTTCCACCTAGAAGTCCCATCGCATTAGAATTACATAGGGTATGCGAAATCATAATCTATTTCCATTTATTGAAAAGTGTTACAACGAGATAGTAATTCCGTCTTCACAGATACTGAGCAAACACAAACTTTCCAAGCTTTACTTTAAACGACTTATCACTGCTCGTTGGGAAAAGTTACAAAACTCAATTTTCCTTGACCTAGAATCTCTTGAAAGATATTCTGACAGTGCAGTGTCATCTATATATTACTTATTGTTAGAAGCACATGGTACAAAGGAAGTACAAGTTGATCACGCAGTTAGTCACTTGGGCAAAGCACATGGAATCGTAACTCTAATTCGTTCTATTCCACATAATGCTCATAAAAGAATTAGCGTAATACCACAGGATCTCTTAATAAAATACAATATTCCAACGGAAACAGTATTTCGAGGAAAATGTGATCAAAGTCTTAAAGATACAATCTTTGAGATCTCATCTCGTGCTAAACTACATTTAAATAAGGTACGTACATTAGCATCAAAATGAGTAACGATTTGAATTAAGAAACTTCTTATTTTAGGCTCGTTCCCTGCAAGGCAAAGTACAGAAAGAAACTAAGTTAATATTTCTACCTGCAATACCTGTGGATATTTATCTTGAAAACTTACGACAAGCAGACTTCAACGTGTTTCATCCAAAGTTACAACAAAGAAATCGTTTACTTCCTCTACAGCTGTACTGGAGAAAATTATTTCGCTCATATTAGTATATAAATAAAATACCAAACGTACTGGCATATAAGTGCAAAAGTAGGCCCTTTTACATATTTTAGAAAAAATGTTTTTAGTATGGAGATTAGAATAATAAAAATTATGAATTTTGTGTTATAATTCTATATAATTCTTATTACCGCTTAGGTAAAAATACATTTCCTGGCTGCCCAGATTATCGCGTCAAATTATATCTTTTAATTATGTGACAAAGTGGGATGAGAAATTAAATATATTAATACTTTAAGTTATATATATATGCTTATTAAGATTACGATATTCACGGTTGTTTTTAATTTCAGCGAACAATTTTTACCCCGTGGAAGACAATGAACTCGACTTAATTAAAACTAAATAGTCTTGTCACGAAGGATTACAACAGTCCGAAGTGTAGGAGTAACGAGTTCAATGAATATAGCATACTTATGACATGTGCGTGCGCATCCATGATCTTACAAGGTCCTAACCTCGCGGACGCGAGATATAAACACCGTCATCACTGAAATTCAGCATCTTCGTTATAGAAAATCCATACTTTCAGAGAAACACCTAAGCTTCCCGCTGGTCAATTTTATCAGAAGTTCGAAAACGGAAAGACAGAAGGAGAAAATGCGATCTTTCTGGAGAAGTTGTAGCTATTTCCGCTCTTAGCTGACCCATTAAGCGCCTCTGGTGTCGCCCATTTTTACCGCCATTATGGAGGTTTGTCTTTATGACTCGACGATTTGCCGGCTGTGTGCCGAAGACAACGGTAATGGAGAATTACTGTACAACGCTGAGGAGGAAGAGCCGGATTTAAGCACCATGGTGAACCGCTACTTGCCGCTGAAGGTATTCAAGTCTTTCAACTATCGGCAAAAATCAGACCCCAACTTGACTTCCTATTGTTCGCGATATGGAGGCTCTACTGATTTTCGTTGCACGGATCCTGGAGGCACACTACTACATGAATCAAGATATTTCATATTTAGTCCCATCTCAAAAATTACTTTACGAATTGAAAGTATCGCCGAACGTGTAAGGTTGATGATGCGTTTTCCGCACATTGGAACCATTCGATAAGATGAATCATCTGTTAACATGTTCTTTCGAAAATTTATTACGTTTCATTATTGTAAACGTTTTTTGCTTATCTAGTATGATATCTTGCCATTTACGGTTAATTTATGGTTGGAAATTAGATTGTAAAGTTGGTGAGAAAATTCCTTACGGAAGGATCACTGCCTGTTACTTTAGGTAACCTTTATGTAATATGTAGGGATGGTTTTCGAACCACTGAAAACTTATTAGTAATGATTTTGTTTTAACCAAAAATTAATGTAACGTTACCAAATTACTGCTTTTGTAATAGTAAATTAAATATTTGTTAAAAGCTTACGGCAATTTTAATTGTCTGTATACATATATATGTTCTCTAGAACGTTAAAATTATTTTTTTTTCTAGGTTCGAGATGATGGAAAGTTACCCAGGACAATTTGTCCAGGATGTAATATCCAGCTGGAGGCGACGATTCAGTTTTTTGAATTATTGGTGGATGGTCAAAAGAAAATTCGGGAAATGTGGAAGCAGCAAGTTGAAATACAGCGTAAGGTGGAGCGTGAACGTATACGTGCTGAAAGAGAGAATACTGAATTGGCTACTGAAACACCTGAGCTGGATAACTTTGATAAGAGTTCCGATAATGAACAACTTGAACAGCAAATCATCATTAATAGTACGATCTTAGAAGTTATTATCATTTAATAAGAATCTAATTACAAAATTAGACTTTTATATCAATTCTATTATAGTTATGCCAGATGGATCCATGTACACTGCTGAACATGATATGAGTTTACAAATGGAAGGATTGAGCAAGCCAAGAAGAAAAAGAGGAAGACCTCCAAAAACTCACGTAGACACTGAGTTAAAGGTATATATATTTTCTTTAACCATGTCTTCAACCATTGTTATTGTTCATTGATTTATACACGGTACTTTTGATTTAATATTTCATTCTTTTTCATCCCGTAAAAGAAAAATCAATTTTGGGATACTCTATGTCATATGTTAAAAATGTATATAGTAGAGATATATTTAATAACTCAAATAACCGATGTTTCTTATTTATTATATTGTAATGCCTTTAATTTCTATTAAATATTCATATGTTTCAAGTGACTGTCAATTACTCAAGCAAATAATTTAATGTTGGAAATTATATTATTAAGTATTTATTATCATTCATTCCTTCCTAAATTAAAGAATGTATTCATGCTAGGAACTTAATAAGGATGGAGCAGAAGGTGGAAGTCAGGAGGAAGAAGATAAACAAGAAGAAGAATTAGATGAAGTAGATGGTGATGGACGACGCCGTCGAAAAAGAAAAGTTCCTAAAAGGTGCTACAAGTGCTATTCTAAAATTACAATTGATAAGTGACTAGTAGTTTCAGAATATTGCATTTTAATTATTATTACTTATACATATATTTTGCATAGATTTATGGAAGCTGTACAAGGGAAAGAATTAGAGAGGATATTTAAGGAAGAAGGTGTTATTGATGAAGAGGATGGTGATGAACCAGACGATGACTATGCAGATCCAGAAGAACATTTAAATGTTCCTACACCGGATGGAAATGAAGGTAAATTTCTTACTTTTGTCAATAAAATTCAGATTGTATTAATATTTCTGATTTTCTAATGTATAGAAGTCATTGGCCACCTAGAGACGGAAGAAGGAAAAGATTTAGGTCAACTTGTAATTGTGAATAAAGGAAGAGGAAGAGGTAGACCTAAACTTCGGCGACGTAAGCACAAGTTTACCTGTAACTTGTGTGGTAGAGGCTTCCTACAACGTAACAGATATACAATGCATAAGTAAGATTATGATGATAATGACAGATGTAATTCAGTACCCTGTTATAAATATTGTATCATTATTTTAGAAGCTTTCATAAGCATGTGAAGTATGAGTGCATCGAATGCAAGAAGCAGTTTACCAATAATGACAACTTCAGCTTACATCAAAAAACGACTGGTCATAGTGGAGAAAATATTATCGAAAATAATGAAGATACTGGATCAAATCTTCAAGATAATTCGTTGCTTAAGAGTTCATTTGTCACTGAAGATGAAAATAATGTAAATATTATGACACCCATTGAAATCGAAAATCAAAACTTAGCAACAAGTGTAATATTCAAGACTGAAAATGATGACACGGAGAAAGCAGATAAGACAATCGAGTGTGAGCAATGCCATAAAGAATTCCCATCTAAACAAATGTACGAAGTACACATGAAAGTCGTTCATCAAGGAGTAACGCCATTTACGTGCAATATTTGTAATAAAACATTTGCTTATCATACAAGCTTAAAAGGTCATATGTTAACACACGAGGTAAATATATTAAATTCTAATAATTCCAAGAAAAATAAGCATTTAAACAGATTTTCATATCTAAATCTTCATTTTAGCAAAACAGCAAATCCGATAAAGGATTTCCTTGTGATATATGTGGTAAAGTATTGAACCACCCAAGTTCAGTTGTATATCACAAAGAAGCAGAGCATAATAATGGCCGACGATTTGTGTGTAATAAATGTGCTAAGAGTTTCAAACATAAGCAGCTTTTGCAACGTCATCAACTTGTTCATTCGGAAGATCGGCCTTACGTATGCAAGTCCTGCAGTGCCAGTTTCAAAACAAAAGCTAATCTTATCAATCATCAGTCTACTCACACTGGCGAGAAGAAATACTTTTGCGAAATTTGCGGTCATCAATTTGCCCATAAAACCAGTCTTACATTGCACTATAGGTATTGAAAATAATAATAGAATATTTAGGCACTTTATAAATTATTGCTATTTATATTTTTTATTTATATGATGGTTATACTTACAGGTGGCACACTGGTCATAAGCCTTATACTTGTGATGTCTGTCATAAGAGTTTCTCTCAAAATGGAAATCTTCAAGAACACATGCGAATTCATACTGGTGAGAAGCCTTATTGCTGTGATTACTGTGGTCGCAAGTTTACTACGTCATCTCAGTTTAAACTTCACGTAAAACGACATACGGGTGAACGACCATGGAAGTGCGAATTTTGTGCGAAATGTTTCCTTCATAAGGACACATGGAAATGTCATGTGCGTAGGCACAAGGGGGAAAGACCTTTCCAATGTGCACACTGCAATCGTGGTTTTACGGAACAGTGGGCCCTAAAGAAGCACCTTCGATTACATACTGGTAATTCTCAAAATAATTCATTATACGCGCTTTTTGGTAGATGTGTCATCTTGACTATCTGATACTTCGTTTTAATGTCTATGATAATTAATTTCAGGTGAAAAACCATATTCCTGTGATATATGTGGAAAAGCTTTTGCAGATTGTTCCAACTTAACAAAACATAAGAAGGTAGAAAGTCACTTTATATATTTACGGTATTAATCTTATAATGGAATAAAGTTATAAATTAAAAAAAATATATTTTTGCAGATACATAGAGAAAACAAAACATTGGGAGTTACTGAGTTATCAGAAGGTCCCACAATTAGTGAAGTTTGGCAAATTTTGCCGGACACGCGGGAAGAAGATGAGAACTCGCTGAGCGAACAAATGACTCAAGTAATTGCAACAGACGAAAGTTCCAGAGATGGAATGCCACAGATTATTTATGTATCGTATCAAGATCCAGATGACCCGAATCAATCTAGAACTTTACATCTTGGTAATGCTTCTTATATTTTAAACGTCATTTAACATGATAAATTGATGAGATAGAAGGAAAATAATAATGAAGTGATAATTTAATTTAGTTGATACAGGTATGATAGAGGACAAAGATATTGCAGTTACTGAAAATCAGTCTTTACCTTCGCTAGATGTTGAAGATGATCAAATCATTTCTCAACAAGAAGTAAGCAACGACATCAACGACACCGAAGGAAGAATGGATATAGATCTTTCCGAGTCAGACCTGCATCTTCAGGTACGCCCTATTTGTTACAAATGTTAATTACGCTTCTTCAAAGATTCTTTATTTCTCTGCATATATTCAACCTTTGTTTTGACTAATCTGAGAATATGCTTTAAGTGGTTGTAATTTAATAAATTAATTTTCGAAACATAATACTAAAACAGCTACTGAAATTGTTCCAATAAGCTTAATCCACCAGTAATTACATTGTATTATATTTTGGTAAACATATGTATACTTTCAGATTACTGACGAGGATGGTAATCCTATTCCATTGTCAATACAAGAAGCTCGACAACTGCTGTCAGAAGGACAATTCGTTAGTCAGCTGAATGACGGCCAGACAATTAGAGTTCATTCAGCTGTTGTACCTGAAGAACTAGCAGAACAATTAAATGTTCATGTACAACATGCAGTCGATGTTGACGGACTCAATGATGATGCCACGGAGGAAACTACATGTGCAACTACGGTTCAGAGTGATGCAGAAGCTATTGTAAAAGCCCTTGAGGTAAGTAATTTATTCAATAATAAGATTAAATTCTTCATTTACTTTTTAAATTCAATTTATAATTGTTCCGTATTAATTTAACTTGAACATATCAGAACCTTTTTTATAAGACTGTATATATGTTCTGCGACGGCCGCCCTACGTCCGCAGCTTCGGACCGCAGACCGGTAATTCGCCGTAAAATCTGGCCCCTTTTTTCCGAATTTTGGATTGGATAGCGGACTCGCTCCCCTGATTCTCTAAGGGCACCAGTCGGGTTTTACCATCCGACGCGGTGTTTCTCTCCATTTCCTTGTCCAACTGGCTAGCTCCTTGTTAGAGAGGCTTCTGGCCACTATGGTTGCTGAAAAGGGCAAAGGAACGTACTAACAAATAACCCTCCGTTAGATCAACTAGAAATTAATTTTAATAAGTAAAAGAAATAAATAACCAACCCGAAATGATAAAAGCGAGATCCTGGCTCGCTCGCGGTTCTCTCTCACTCGGAAGCCCTTCAATCCTCCACGAGGCGGCGCGAGTATGATATCGCGAGGGTCCCTAACGGCCAAGACGGTCCCCGAAATACGCGACTCACCTACCCCGGCTCTCCTTTTGGTCGCGCAGCCTACCTCGGGCGTCTGATCCCAGTCGTCTCTGCGTGCAGGCGACCTCGGGGTGGACTCCGCCACCGTCCCCACAGGCCTCCGGCGCACACACGCACAGCACCTCACTAACAAGGGAACATTCCCAAGTGTCCGCCTCCGATCTTATTGAGTCCCATATATGTTGAAGAACACAAAAATCTAAGAGACACGTGTTTTTTTATATTTGCAATGGTCCACAATTAAGGGGTAAGGGAACAACCCCCCAAAGTTTAGCGAAAAATCGGTTTTTTAAATATTTTTCGTAGGAGCAGTGGAGGGATTTCGACGAAACTTTGCATAAACGTATTCTGTATAAGGACGGTGACAACACAATATTGTTCAGCAATGTTGCACCCCCTCAAGGGGGTGAACTACCCTTCAGGTGACATTTTTTTGTAATATCCATTACACAAGCACTCCTACTTAAGTTCCACTTACGCGATGTGATTGCTCGCAAAAAATTAAGAAATACGTGTTTTTTGCTTTTTACCAATAAACATTTACACATCGGTTGTAAACAATGAATGTATTAGGGTATATCCCGACTACCTTTATTGGGTTATATCGTGACCAATTCATCGTACATAATTCGTGTCAACGTGGTAATTCTTCAAAATGTCATTGATTTTCATAACCACTACTGTAATAGTAATAGTATAATCAATACTGTAATAATCCACTGCTCCTACGAAAAATATTTAAAAAACCGATTTTTCGCTAAACTTTGGAGGGTTGTTTCACCCCTTAATTGTGGACCATTGCAGATATAAAAAAACACGTGTCCCTTAGATTTTTGTGTTCTTCAACATATATGGAACTCAATAAGATCGGAGGCGGACACTTGGGAATGTTCCCTTGTAAGTGCGGAACCGACCCGAAACTGGTCGCAAGACCGAAATAGGTCTTCCTGCACAAATTTATTTTTCAAAACCGTCAAATACCACCGAAACTGTAAAGCTCAGATTAAATGTGGAGTTAATAAGATGCCTCTGAAACCTAAAGAGACATTAAAAAATACAACAGTATTGAGAGCGTTCTATTTAAAATATCAAGTTAATAACCACTTCCGATTGGACCAATTTTGCTATAGAGATAAAGATATTTTTAGTGTGTTGCCAATGTCAAAGAATTCAGAAGTCCCTCAGAAGCCCAGATCCTATGTTAGCCAGCGCTATCACACATACGGGAGAAAGAGCATATAGAAAGGCGAGTATTGTGGGTATGATAAGAAAAAATGCAATTCGCTATATATCGCCATAAGATTAAGAGAGATGAAGAGATGATTACAGCGCCGCCATCCGCTGGCTAACATACTATTTATCGAGCATCGAACGTCCGTATTCTTCTGGGCTTCTATGGAGACTTCTGAATTCTTTGCTAACGTCTTATAAAAATATTCGAAATTCCAAAATGATATTAATTCATTGAACTTAAAGGTCTAATGAAACACTTAGCATTCTAGACGCATGCATTTTAAACAACTAGTAATAAGAAAAAAAAACTACAATTTGTTAAGGATGAAAATACGGATGCTACTGCAGTGGCGGTAGTAAACCAAATGGGAGTGGAAGAACAAGCGGATATAATGGATAATGAGCAAACTATTGAATTTACAACACAGGATGGACAGAAAGTAAGACTGGTTACCTCTTATAACGTTGATCCATTGCAACTTGCATCAGAGTACCTGACTATCGTTTAAATTTACACTTCAAAATTGGAAACAAATATTATCATTACTATATTAATAATTTTTAAGTAGAACATACGCAAAATTATAGTAAATCATTGCTGTTTACATTGCTACATTCTGTGGGCCAGTATTTGATGTGATATATCCAATCCATGCTATCGTTGTCTGAAAAATGGCAGTAATGGTAGTCTAGAATACAGAATAAGCTATTTGTTGGTTATGATCATCTAATTATGGAAACGACAGGTGTTACATTAAATACATTGAGTTTTTAAAGGCCTTTTTTAGAGTTCTGAGTAGTACACGTGCGCGAAATAATTGACTATACTTTTATACATAGCTCATTGTGTAAAACTTATTAAATAGCTTTTCTGTGATCAATTCCTTGTTTGCTACTCTTTTGAGAATCAACTGTCACATAATCTGTAATTACAGTATTTAATTTCTTTAATGCATATGAAAAATATTATCTGGAATCTCATTTATGCTGATTCTCCAAAGAAATTGAAACTCCATGAGAATTAAAAAGTAATTGTAAATAGGTGAATTGATTTCATTTCTGCGTGAATAATTGTAAAGTAAATTTAATGAAATATAGGAAAGTTCCTGTGACAAATGAAATTATCTCATGTACATGTTTTCACATAGAAGTGCATTACATCTTTTTATGCTATATATGTAATATTAAGTACTAATCATTTATAATTGATCTTAAAAACATACCATGTAAGAGTAATGATAATTTAATGAAAAATATACTGTACTTATAAGTTTGTAAATAAAAAATGCTGTTTCTATTATTGTATCGTTTTAGAATTTTTTTTAAATTGTAAACAATTTTACATAATAAAATGCCTAATATGTTAAAATGTTGAAGTTCAAATGAAGGAATATTTGTATACTTATAGAAGCGACAAATTTCTCATGTATTTAAAATTCAACAAATGAATTGTGATACCTTAACAAGAAAATGAAAAGGATTATTTTGGATTCTGAAACATTTTCAACGGAATGACATACATGCAACTTTATTTTAATCTTTCAAAGCCCATCTAGCAAAAAAGGTTAACATGAAATACTATCCTTTAATTGCAGTTCTATAGTCCAATTGTATCAAATAAATTTTTTGTTTGAATGGACTAACATGTACTCCTGATTTAGTGTCGATTCCTACTTAGGAATTACAAATGTATAATATCGTTTCTTATTTGAACTGTTTTTCATATTAAAATTCAGATATAAGAACCATTCGCAGATTTTCACATTTCAGTACAAAGTATCAGAAAGCATTCTAACAATTGTATAAAAATGTGCAAAGCTAACAGTCATCATAAACAAAATAAATTTGTAATGATTGTATAATTACTAGCGCAATTGCGATCCATCAGTACTAAAAGTAAATACCTCACAATTTACGTATTTCACTCCCTTGGAGACTTCTGAAATTGTCTTTTTAATTATTTCAAGGTTCACTTGTTTTTCAGTTATGTATTCATAAATTCTATTTTTTTTTTCCATAAAAAGTAAAGATATAGAAGAAGGTGATTTATATTACATCAGGAACATTAAGATAAAAGAAAAATATTGCATATCCATTAGTATAGAACATTAAAAAAAACATATGTGCTGTTTAGTACAGAAATGTGTTCAAATAATTCTGCTGCGTGCAACAAGAAAGTTACCGAACAAAGAGCATTTCAAGACAAAGCGGTCTGAAGTACAGCTTCACTACCGCCTAACGTTTAATATGAACATATACAAGATTTTGCTTTGAGTCCAGCATAGCAGAATTCTATCCCAAGAATAAATTGATCATTTTGCATATCTTGTTCACTTAGCCCGATGTGGTAAGCATAACATTTTGAGTATAATCGTATTCGATCGTAGGAATTACCGACTGTACGAACTTAAGGAATATTATTAAATACATATGAACTCCAAGCTCACCACCACCCTCCATTACTGTTTCTATAATCTTTTTCATTACTTCTGCGTGCCTGTAAGATGATTTTTTTAATTAAAGAATACAAACTGAAATCTAGAAAGTGCAAAACTTTAAACATTTTCACCTGCATGGGTGTACAGAAGCCATGGGTGGTCCAGGTAAATGTGGATGTGTTTCCATTGTAACTGTCTTTTTTGCATGATCTTGACTTACGTCTTCATACATTTCCTCTACAGAAAGTGGTTTTCGATTCTATATCAACACAGAATAACATATAAATATGTTGATATTATAAAATCTCTTGTAACATTGTTTTTTGGAAATTATATTACCATAAAATTAACTTATATATCGATAAAACATAACCGATTTCATTCATGACCAACCTCATCGTATCCAAAGAGCCACAATCTTGGAGTTTGATAATATTTATCATAAGTAATATGTAAATCATAGGTACGTGTACGTATAATCTCTCCTTCTAAACAAGATTCCTGTTTCTCCTTCGTGGACTTTTTTAAGTTTTCTGCTGTGTACTAGTGGAATACATATAATATTTAAAGTATATATTTAAATTGCTATAATATATTTAGAAACAAGTATTGACGCAGAGTGTATTAGTATAAAAATTACATACTTTATCTACTTCATCTAACATTCCGCTAACTTCAAAGGCCTCCATATCAGCAGCTTCTTCATCTTCGTCGTCCTCGTCTGCATCTCCTGTTCCTCCAGAAGGAAAAGGTTGTATATCTTCTAATGTCATTTCTGTAAATTTCTCCTCGATTCCACTTAAGCTCACATCATAATGATGAGTATCCACCCAGCCATCATCTGAATCATCCGTTTCTATAACTCTCTCTTGTTCTTCGCAGTACTCAATCTAGATATAAATTAACATTAGTAATTTTATTTGATGGAAAATAAATTCTTTCATGGAGAAACATGTAAAGCACCTGTTTACATCGACGTGTGCACGGAACATTACGAGTCAACAAATACTGTTTGTTTTTTGGCAAATAAGACTTTATCCTATCTTGATCACCAGTAGCCCACTGCCAAGTCGGACAATGATGCACAAGGTGATCCCCCGCAGCTACAAACTCTTCTGGTGTTAATACACCTGTCTCCCTGAATTTACTTTTCTGTGAAAAAATTGTAGACACTAATAAGCACATACAAGTTTGCTTTTATTCATCTCTTAATAAATGATAATTCACTCCAAAATTGTAGTTCCAATTATGAATTAAAAAAAAATTGATAATGAATAACCCCCGATTCACTCATACCTTCAAAACTGGGGTCAAATATTCGGCGACACCAAGAGCAGTGCCTTTAACTGAATTTATAACACTCTGCATTCTGGCAACAGCACTGTGTTATTACCGAACCTAGAGTAGATCTTTGCAACAAAAGTTACGGCCTAATCTATCAAAAACCACCACTCATATTGTTCAGTTAAATTTTGACAACTGTCTAACTCAACTTCACCTGTTCAGCTGTGTTCAGCACCCTATCGATTTCCACTAGACGTAGTTAACACCACGATGAAGAGAAAGCGGTATTCCTAGTGTTTTTAAATTTCCGAGAATTTAAATTCGAGTAATATAACAGAGAATGTTACAGTAACTAACAATCCCTAGAGAATTAAAAACAATTAAGAGAACTCGAAGAATCTGTATTTAAATTATTTTCTAAAAAGAATTCATTATTCTATTAAGCAGGACGTCTATTACGTAAAGCAAATTAAGTGAAAATGTGAAAAATGAGTAGCTCACGGTATTACGGAACGCTTTTAGTGATGAAAATGCGAGACCATTCATGTGAATTGGCTCGACACAAATTTTTACCAATTTGAACATTAAAAGAAAATTCTCTTTGCTGACATGATGGGATACGGAATCTGCAAATTGTCGGTAATTCAATTGATTGTCGATGAGACTAGGATCGACGAGCATAGTAATGCTACCTGGGGGTCTATTACGTAAAACAAATTGAGCGAAAATGTGAAAAATGAGTAGCCCACAAGTAGTAGCAATGCCTTCTCCATGCCCATAAGCTCTATGGCTCTATGCATTGCCATGCACTTAGCCGTATGCACATACTATAGTAATATCTCCTCAATTTCTGTAAGCTGTATGATCCACTCCCTGTATTTCACAGTTTCGCACGTGGCTTGTAAAATATGAGGAATTGATCCCAGAGTTACTTAGCACGAGATGTAATGATACTTGAATGTTTTCTTTACGCGTGTCATCTTAATATACAGTTTTATTACATATTATGTCTGGTTCATTTTTGCTGAAGTGGCATATTCGTAAAGAATATATAACCTCGTTATTGCTTCCATTGAAATTTACCCAGCAATGTCGTTTTAATCATTGTCAACCACGGTTAATTTTTAAAATGAACGAAGTCTTTTTACGTTATGAAAAAGGGAATGACACCTTCGACGTGTCTTTCCGGTATGTAAACCCAGATTTAAACGTGGATCGGCAATTTAATTTTACCAGAAAGTCGACTGAAACGATATCAAATTTCTTGAAGAGAATTAACGCAAATGTAGGAAAAATAATCTCAAACAAACAGGCAAGAAAGCTGAAAAAGAAAGCAAAGGCCGCAAGTGCAGGTATTGAAGTAGTATCGCTGCCAGTGGAAGAACAAGAGGTTAAAGCACTATTTCTTCAAAATGATGAACCGATCAATGAAGAACTTTCATGCGAGACAATTCTACAAAACACTGAAAATCTGACATTGGTTGTTGGGAATATGATATATTCTATAAAGTTAAATGCACCATGGATTAGTGATTTAGCTTTACCTTCAAGTATGCTTGCTGGATTTCCAGTTTATCCATCAAAACTTGAATGCATGCACATGAATAAAGAGAAGTCAATATTTATTTGGTCAAAATCAAATGTTATACACCAAGAAAAACATTCAGGAAAAATAGTTAAAGAGTGGCAAGATGTAGGCAAAGGATTTGTTTATTTACCAACTACATCTGATATTGGTTATAAACTGAAGCTTAGCTGTCTACCAATTAATGAAAAATATTCCGGACCTGTTATTGAAGCAGAATCACCCTCGGTGGTTGAAGCTGGACCAGGACATTGTCCATTTGAAACACGCCATGCTTTTACTGCTACTAAACTATCAGGAAAAAGGTTTATAATTGCTTTATTATTTAATGGCTCTTTATTTTTATTTAATCCATTAATCCTTTGCACTCGTGTGTTTTGACTTCAGCAATCGATATCTCAATAATTGGGAGTAAAAAAAGGGGTTAATACAATTGGTTAAAATATCATGAAATTGTAAAATTAATGTAAAGTAATAAAATTGTTTTTCAGTTTCAGAATAGTGTCATATAATATATTAGCTGATACTTATGCAGATTCTGACTACTCTAGGGAGTCTTTATTTCCTTATTGTCCACCTTATGCCTTGGCAATTGATTACCGAAAACAACTTATTCTTAAAGAATTATTAGGTAATTTCGATTAAAATTTCAAACATTCATACTTTTCGTTAACTACATTTTTTCATACATGATTTCAATAAATGAATAAATTTTAGGCTATAATTCAGATATTATATGCCTTCAAGAAGTGGATGCTAAAGTGTATTCTATGGACTTGCTTCCATTTCTTTCTACGTATAAATATGATGGTGTGTATAATAAAAAGGGATGTCAAGTATCTGAAGGACTTGCAACATTATTTAATGCAGAGAGGTTTGAAAATTTATACTTTGAATTTACCCTCATCAGTGAAAATGTTCATGTAGATGTCTTTAATGATGTCTGGTCAAAGATAAAAAATGACAAATTCAAAGAGCGCTTCCTGGAGAGAAATACTACTGTACAGGTAATCCTAAACATACGAAACACAATAATTCAGAAATATAGAACTATTAAAAAATATCCTATACATTGGAGTACTACATATCGGTTATAAAATATTCATTTTGAAATGCACAATAATGTTTGTTATATCATAGGTAACCGTGCTACAATCAAAGGAAAATCCTTCTGAAATTATTGTTATTGGTAATACCCATCTCTATTTCCACCCTGATGCAGATCATATACGACTGTTACAAGCATTTTATGCATTAATATATACTCGTAGCGTAGCTGAATCCATAAAGAAGAAGGTAATATTTTAATAATCACTAAAAACGTTAAAGGATCATATCTACTGATTGTTAACTATAGAAAACAAAGTATTTAATTTAGTGATAGGTGTGATGTCCTGTTATTCAAATGCACATTTGTAACATTAATATTGCTCCCAAAAATGCATTACAAGCTAGAATTTATTATTATCTCTCAACAGTACCCAAGTAAGAATGTTAGCATCATTCTGTGTGGCGATTTCAACAGTTCACCACAAGATGGTATATACCACCTAATGACGCAAAATCATATTCCCGAAAATCATAAAGATTGGTGTGCAAGTAAGTTAACGAATTGTATAACTTCATGAAAATCGCAACATGAGAAGATTTGACGAAGATAACATTTCTGATGTGATATAATTCCAGATCCAGAAGAAGCAGTTCAAAGCGTTTCCCTTTCGCACGATCTTGAACTGGCCAGTGCATGTGGTACGCCCCAGTACACAAATTATACAGTAGAGTTTGCTGATTGTTTAGATTACATATTTTACCAAACAAACTCTTTAAAAGTGGCTCAGATTGTTCCAATGCCAAGTATCGAAGAGCTTCAACTACATTCTGCACTACCATCAGTAGTGTTTCCTAGTGATCATATTTCAATTTGTGCTGATTTAAAGTGGATTATATAGTTGTAAATTATATAGGTATCACATTTTTATATATAAATAGTACAGCGCTTTGTAATTAAATGCAAATATTAATGGAAGCATTCTATTATGTACCATAGCTACATAAATATTAAAATACTTATATGATGTACTAGACTTTTGTATCTAATTTATTTACTCTGATGTGTACACGTAAAATCATTCTGTGTGAATATTATACATTTGTATGTAAATCAGTGTTTCTAAATGAAGTGATACTGCTGAAAAAGTCGCAAATTTACTTATTTTCTTTTCCTACTACAAATTCGGTTCATTTATTTAATATGTAATAGAGCATCGACAAAAAGACTTTAAACACAAATTGTAAGTTGCAGACATTTAAAAGAAGAGCTGATTTGTTAAAAGTTATAGAGAGCAGTAAGCAATATTTTACCTTTAACTGCATCAAGGGTTCAAATCTTAGTTGTCAAACTAGTCCGTTTAAAATTTATAAAATTTTAAGCAGGCTAGTCAAATGGAAGCGGAACTCATACAACCGTGTTAGAAACTTCCAGTTAATGCAGATGTTTGGTACTAGTTTCTAGGTACATGGAACAAACTCTAAACGGATGTAACAAATTGATGAATGCACCAAAATTAATTTGTATAGAACCACGGATGTTGCCAGAAGTTTAATGAATATGAAAGAGTCTAATGATAAAAGATATTAAGCAGAAATTGGGCAAGCAACTAAATGCATTAACTTCAATGGGGTATCCCTTATATATATTTATTTTAATTATATAACAGGACATACATTTTTTTGCTATAACAATTCGTGATTAAAGTTCATAACTTCTGACAAAGAGTAGAATGTAACAAATATAGGTTGTGAAAAGGAGTACAACTGAATTTATAGGTACAGTTTCTAATATACAAATTCACACAGCTTACGCATACCACTACTGATACAAATAATACTTCAATCATTAGTTATATTTACTACAAAAGAAAATATTTTACATTAGCTACACCACTCAGTTCAATATGATACAATGCCAAAGTGGGATAACTAGTGTATTTTCAATGCTTTCATACAGACAAATGTATTGGAATGAATTCATTTACACGTTATGTGTTTAGTCCTTGACACAACCTGTCTTCCGTACGTACATGTAGTTGTTCACTGATTTTTAGAAATATACATGTGTACAATCTTAATCTGTTCGATATAGTACAAAGCACAACATCAAACTCATCATACTCAACAGTCTGAACATAAATCAAAAGAATGCATTTCTCACTTGGTCAATTTTCTGAGACTGAGTCATAGAAATGCAATCTCCAATTGACAGACTTGTTTTGATTGCTTTTTCCGGATTTTATATTGGATAGCAATAGTTTTTTGGTGATGTTTCAATTACATCACATTACAATTGCATTAATTGATGATGGTTTACACATACTCACAGCACAGAAGGAACAATGGCACACTGTATTTTTCGTTGTAACCTGTACAATTGTAATGAGTATTCCTTTCATAAATTAGTTGCCTTACTTATTAAAATTAATCTTCCCGACATCTACATCTTGGAATAACATGCGCATATGATTATCTATGATTTGAAAAAGTTCCGACACTTGAGGTATCCTTCCAATTTCTAATTTCGACCATACAGGAACATCTGGAACCATACATTTTAGTTATATTTTAAGTAACTTCTTAATATCTGTTACTTTGAGATGTTATAAATAATTACTTAAACAACTTTACCCTTATCACATAACTTTAAAGGTTGAATATCATATAAAAACCTTATGGTATGATACTAAATCTTTTTAATTAGTACATATTGCTCAAGCACGCAGGGTGCATTTCTCGCAGCACTCGATGCTACGAGTTTCTTGCTCGAAAATATACTCGGCTTAAAACTCTACCGAGTTTTTTGATGTACCTTAATGTTTATGTAATAAATTATACATTCCTTTACCATTTAATAAAATTTCAAATGCTCCCGACGAAACAAGTTGCCCTTCAATTGCGTTGCTGAGATAAAACAGCATCAAGCACGCAAACAATCGATTATTGGTGCACCATTGCCACCAGTACGGCTGGGGCAATCCCACCCATTGAAATATGTTAACTCCTTTCAGCATGAGGGCCATAATTAAAGCTTTAGACACTCCCTAAAATCATGTTTTGCTTAGATTTGAATGCATGGATAAATTAAAACCCTCTGAATGAACACTCACCAAAAGCTTTGCAATAAACATATTGTAACCTGGGGGATTGTAGTTTTCTCCATATATATGAAGTTCAGGGTATTTTTGTTGAAGAATATTGACAAAATCTTCAAATACTTTTCTGTACCCACAGGAACGACTGCAAAAGTTGATAATTCACATATAGATAAGTTTCTAAAAGTAATGGTAGTTAAATCGTGTTGTACACAAAGCAATAAAAAAATGAAGCCGATGACCATGCATTGCACGTTATGCATTGTTTTCATATCACTGTCATACATATTAGCTTTAACGTATACACCAAGTTTTTTAAATTGGCAGTAGATCTTATTTTCATAGCATTTAGTCATATTAAAATATTCTTACCAATAATAGAACTTTAAAGTAGGTCCTGTCTTTGTACCGAGTTTGGTTAAGGGAATGTCAACGTCATTTGCGTGTGCTATAGTACTGAGAGCACACAAAAAAAAGACAGAACACAGAGGTAACTTCGGTAAACGCATTGTCAGCTCATAAAAGGTCCAGGAAGCGTAATTAAATTAACTTTTTTACAGGATCAAAAACACCTTTACGAATATTCACGACCCATCACAACCAGCTGATTGTGGTGCAGTATTGCTAGATGCTCCATCAGGATTGCCAATCATTTTTTGTACCTATTTACAAGCGATGAATCAGATCACGGTCGTATATATATACAAGTCTGGAAACTCCGTCAAATTTTTGGTGGTAGGGGCGGGACAATTTCGTAGAAAATTTTAGTATGACTTTTGGCCGCCAGAGTTGTTGCGATCGACCTAGATGATGTAAATAGGAGGAATCGCTGAAATATCGGGTTGATGCATAAGTACTTTTTTATCCCATTTATTGAGATAGGTAATGGTGTAGGATAAGTAATGGCGTTTTTTATCCCATTTATTAGGGATTTGTACTATTCGGGATTTGTAAACCATCGTATGCGTTTCCATCGCATTACTGGATTGGTGTTACGATCTTAAACTATATATATCAGAGATATCTAGACCTCGCATTGGACCTCCCACTCCCAGATTTTCAGTAAGCAGAATGGCTTTAACTATTGAGTGAGAGTCGGGACACGTGGTACATTCGTTTACATAATATAAAATGTGGTCTAAAATCTGATTGGGTCCGAGTGCCGTCGGCCCACGCGATCCATGTGGATTCGAGTTTACCCCTTCCACTGCTATGTGACGTCTAGATATTTATGGTCTAAGGTTACAATTCGATAGAAAGCGGCATTGCCAACTGTTAAATATAACATTGAAATACAGATTATAATCCAGAAATTCCTTCCCGGCTTTCACGGTGTTCCAGGTTATGAACGAAAATATCTTGGTCCTTTTTACAACTAACGTGCACATCTTTGTTTAATATAATGAAACCACCTTGTCGCACATCTTGCAGTTGGCAACGATCGAACATATCCCATCCTCATCGTCTTCATCACCTTAAATCTGGTATTTATTGAGTCTAATCCTAAAATTAAATTCGGCTTACTTGAATCCGATCCTGAGTGTCTTGATCGACATTTAAATTCGGATTTACCGAGTCTGGACCCGATAAATCCCGGTTTTCGAGTGCGATGGAGACAATGAGAGCTGTGGTTGGAACAGGTTGGAAGCTAAACTACAGAAAACTTCTGCTTGTAGATATTTTTGCGAAATTAATACAGTAATGACAGAAGTAAATGACAACATATCGTGGCAAATGTGAATACGTTGTTTTTATTTTGAATGCGTGGTGAAGAAATATGAACATGAATATGAAAATACCAGAGGAGAACATTCACGAAGTATTTGATAAACTGGTTGAAGGCGAGGTTAGAGAAAAAATTGATAAATTTGGTACCGTAGCAAGTACTTTCTACATTTTTCCAAAATCTATAAACTTTCATTGTTGATTAGAATTAATCAAGTAGAACATATACTTATTATTTTAGTATGGCTAGTACAGGCAATATGAATTAACACATTACTGGAAAAGCAATAGGAGCAACCTTAAATAGTATTAAAACAATAAGTTACAGAAATGTTACGTTATGCTGTGGTTGGAGACTAAATTTGAATATGCTTTGAAATTAAATGGTGTTTGTGACAAATCATAAACTTCATAGCATGTTAAGGACCTATGTAAGATTTAATGTGACCTTTGTTACAAGCATTTCTATAGATATCATCAAATATTAATCATGTCTTCTTTATTGTTATTCTGTATATCATTTACTTATGCTTATTAAATATTTATACCTTTACAGGAAATTGTAAAGAAACAATTAAATGATATACTTTTGCGTCATTCTCGTATTGATTCAAAATTACAAATATTAAGTAAACTTCTTCCCAATGCTGTTGAAATACACAATAGGACAGATAAATTTCAAAACATGGTGACTCATACTAGGGAGTTGGCTGAAAATGTGACAGAAAGAGTGCAACAACTTAATTTGGCAAGGGTAATTTATTAAGAATTCATTTAAGAAAGATTAACCAGTTAATTGCGTTCGACGTGTATGCACGTCGGCAACCCATAACGTTACAGTAAATTCTGCAGTTAATAGGTTGAAGATCACTTTTGTGACCTAATGGTATAATGCATATTTATTTGTACTTTATAGAACAGAGTCTGTGAATATCAAAATCGCGTGCACAACATTCCTGATCTTCAATCTTGTAGTCAAGCTGTCATCATGGCATTACGTAATGAAGATTATGAACAAGCAGCTGCTCATGTGCATCGCTACTTGTTAATGGATAAAAAATTATTGGAACAAAATTCTGAAGACAATGCAGGTGATACTACCAGTGTGACAAGTTCTCTTGCTACCCTACAGCGAGCTATTTTGGAGTTGAAGACAATCGTTACTAAAAAATTTGATGAAGCCGTTAAATTAGAAAATTTAACTGCTATTGAAAGATTCTTCAAAATATTTCCTTTATTAGGGATGCATATTGATGGTTTGAACAAATTTTGTCAGTATTTATGCACAAAAGTTAGTAAAGTGTTTATTTGTCTAGGATTGCTAAAATTATAATTCATAAACTATATGAGAACTATTTTATTTTAGCTTCAAGAAACTGCACAAAAGAATTTAAAGATTGCTTTAGATGTGAAAAATACGGATCCCAGGGCATCGATCATATATGCCGACACAATGACTTTACTATTTGAAGGAATTGCACGAATTATTGAAGTCCATCAACCAATTATAGAAACTTATTATGGCCCTGGAAGATTACTAATGACTGTTACTATGTTACAGAAAGAATGTGATAGGTAAGTTATTCAGCAGAATGAAATGTACCAATAAAAATGTTGACATTTTTTGCTATTTCTAGGCAAATCAAGAAAATCGTTACGGAGTTTATGAAACATAGGAATATGTCAAAAAGGATGCAATCAATCAATGATTACTTACGAAGGCAAACTCCTGATAAAATTGATCCAAAAGATCTTGATTTACTTCTTGGAGAATTAACAGTAATGCATTCACGAGCTGAACTGTACATACGTTTTATTAGGAGAAGAGTAATCGTAAGTTTATGTATATCATATTTTAATGTATCTGTGTGTTCAAAATCAGCAATAGCCATAAATATATTGTTGCAGAATGACCTTGATATAAGTACAACTAGTAACATCCAACGGAAAGATTTATTAAATGAATTTGAAATGATAATTAATAATTCTGAGTTGGCACACAGTATGCAGGAATTATTGGGGGCTTACCTTGCACTTGAAAGATACTTTTTGGAAGAAAGCGTCAATAAAGCTATTGGAATGGATGTCCTGGATCAAGATCAGCAAACATCCAGTATGGTAGATGATGTCTTTTTTATAGTTCAGAAATGCATAAGGTATTTGTTTATTTTCAAAAAACTACTGAAACGTATTATTCATTTAATTAATTTAATAACAATTTAATGGATGTGAAATAACTCCTAATTATTTTATAGACGAGCTATATCCACTTGGAGTATAGATGGAGTTTGTGCGGTAGTTAACATGACATGCGGGATTTTAGAAGGAGAATTTGCAAGTAGATTGAAGGGCCGTCTTCGCCAAGGATACCCAGCTGGATATTTGGACCTGGCACAGGCTTACAATGCCCTACAGACTACAATTCAACAGGGTCGTTTGCAAACATCAGACACAGAATTGGCACGGCTCATGTTTCTGGTAATTGCAATAAATTAATGAAAGTTTGTGTAGATTGTGTCATACACTTATGTATAAATCATGTACGATATTATAGGCATATTTAAACAATACAGATGTAAGTATAGAATACGTTGAAACGTTGAGCAAGAGTCTGAGTGTTGAAATAGATTCCACCTTTCCCGATATGCCAGACAAAGATAGAGGGAAAATAGACAGTTGTTTAGCTGGTCTTAAGGGAGTTATATCAGCATTACATGCTGTAATAGATTTTGGTCTAGAGCAGTTACGTGTGAGTGCTATTAAACCAAGAATAACCCCATGGATAGATGCATTTCTATCTGCAGATCATCATATAAATGAGGTAATTATTAATAGCAATTAGGCTTTCCGTAAGCATTAATAGAAATATTGAATGATCCCAATTAATGCAATGATACCAACATCTAATATTATGATTTTCAGGATGAGTTGTTACGATATGAAACGGATGAACCTTTTGTACAAACTTTACTTACAAACTTGGAAGGTTTATTACAGACGTTTAAAGGTGGTTTAACGAGTTCCAATTATGATGCTCTTATTGGAATTCTCACTACCGAGGTGACGGCTCGTTTAGAGAAAGTTGTTTTCAAGTCAAGTTTCAATAGAGTATGAATATTGCTATAAAAGTGACATAAATTTAAATTAATGTAATTGAAAAATATAATCAATTCTTCTTTTAACAGGCTGGTGGGCTTATCTTAGACAAGGAAATTCGATCTTTAGCCAGCTATTTAGCAACAGCTACGTCCTGGTCAATTCGTGACAAATTTTCCAGGCTGATGCAAATAGCAACTGTATTAAGCATTGAGAGAGTCGAAGAACTGACAGATTATTGTGGGGCAGATGCAATAGCATGGAAACTAACACCTTCAGAAGTACGACGTATAGCTACTTTAAGAACGGATCTCAGACCTGAAGATATTAAGCGACTCAAATTGTAATTTATGGGGAGTTTTAAATTAAATGAAAATTATTTATAAATTTTAAGTGTGAATAGAACTTATTTTACTTTTATTTAATCCTATAATATTAAATTGTTACAAAAATTATACAACAACCTAATTAAATACTTTCATCTGTAGTTTATGTCAATACATATGATTCCCGTTGGATTGGTGTATTTTATGAATAATGATTTAAAAGATGGTTCATCTGATTTTTCTAATAAACTTTTAAGGAAAATTGAATTTTAATTTGAAATTGAGTGGTACTTTTGTAATGGACGTATTTGAACCATGGACGTAAGAATACGTGAACGGAGTCCAAAGTCCCATAGACCAGGGAGGAAGCCTGTGCTTCGGAAAGGGGTGGGGTAGGGCAGCCATATTGTTGTGCCAATTTTTCACCTTCCTGATCGATAGGTCACCTGCTTTATATTTCCTGTTTGCTCTAATTTATTTCTTTTTGCCACTCCTGTACGTAAAACATAATGTTTAACCTCTTTTATGTTACAAGTGGCATATTGTACTTCATTTACAATCAGTGAGCAATTTCCCAACGTAACTCTGCATGTCATTTACATCACGCATAACACTAGAGTAAAATACCTAGTAATTTACTGTAGAGAACCATGTAAATTACCTGGGGTATTTTACTTACCCAACCTTGGTTTCTATAGAGACTTTTAAATTCTTTGTAGATGGTTACAAGAATTTTTCTGCGCATGCGTCAAAAATTGCTTTCGTCAGGAACGCGGTAACAGAGAATATTGGAGGTGATGGCGCCTGCAATAATGATTGAATACCACGTGTGTTTGTCTCGAAAAGGCCGGTGCGCGTTAAACTTATAAATTTTTCCTTGATGTGCCGTGTTATAATTTATTTAAGGTATTTTCAGTGATGAAATGACTCATGACCTGTAAATACCTAGAAAGTACAATATTCCTCGAGTCGCTAAATCTATTCATTGTTATCATTGAACTGATTTTGTCGGCCGGTTCCCGCTTTGTTTGGACGGTATGTGTTTGCGGTACAATTTTTGATTTCCTTACAAGTAAGAGCTATAGACGAGATCTTTGCCCTGTGAAAGTAATTTCAACGAAATATATCATGTGTAGACTGGAATTCTATGTCGGGTCAACTTACACGTAAAAGCGTTGTATTACAAGATTATGCCTGAGACTAGGTGACGTGTTATTGCGATTAATTTTATTAGTTTCATTTGCAGTAAAGGGTTTGGTTTTTTGAATTGTAGGAATTGAGATAACAACATTAAGATGACTGACTCTGGCAGATGCAAAGATGTCCAGCAGGTCTTGTCTTCCCTTCTGGTTTCAAAGAAAGACGATTGTACCATTGAAGAACTTGAGCGTGATTACCAAGAAGTAGAAGGCGAACGCATCCCTTGGCGGGAATTAGGATATGCTACACTTCTTAGTTTTCTGCAGAGCTCTTCTAAATATGTTACCCTTATAAATAACAATGGAAGGTATTTTGTAAAGCCTGTTGTAACAGAAAAAGTACAGCATGTCAAATCATTGGTCGATCGTCAGAAGAGTTCAGTCAGAAGGTCTTGTCGCGGCAGAAGGCCATATTTTAATGTAACACATAGACCTCCTTTTCGTCGACTTTCTGCTCAAGCTTTAGGATTTATTATGAACAATGTTAGAGAAAATCCACATGGATTAAGTTTGGATTATATATTAAAGATGTTACATTTTGAAAGCTTGTGTTATGGTATTACCATCACAAATTTAAGCGATCAACTCCAAGCAGTGTCTCACCAGTTAGTAATAAGAGGCAATAAGGTTTATCCAACGGAATGTGCCCCTGTACCAGTTGTTGATAAGGATTATACAAATGAAAATGAAAGGTCAGCTTCTTATGCAGGCAGCAGTATTATCATGGCTGGTGAAGAAGATGAAAGAAGCGATGACAATGAAGATGAGGTGTACTTGTGTCCTGCTGGATACACGTCTCAACCATGTGTTAAAAGTAGAATTGAAAAATCAGTATCAGATTTTGTAGCAGATTCCATATCAAGGGTACAGGAGGAACAAAATTATATTTCAGAAGCATCATGTGCAAAAGAAGAAGTTAAAAAGAATGAAGAGATATTCACTAATATAGACCAATCAGAACAAGAAAATCATGATTCAATAGAATTGGAATATGAAAATAACTATGAAGAAGTTTGCGATAGCGAGACTGTGAGTGAACTTATCAATACAAGAATAAGATTTCGATTAGAAAAACTTATTCAAGCACATCCAGATGGCATTTATTGTGCAGACTTACCGGAAATGTATCTTAATGTATATGGACTTACACTAAATTATAGTGAATTAGGATTTTCCAGTGTGTGTGAATTTGCCGTTCACTTGCCAGATATTTTTCACTGTATACAACCATCTAAAACGGAAGACTTTATATTGTTTGATGCAAAAGCACCTATTCCTGACATTCAGAAACGTGATCGACCTAGTGTAAACAACCTTAGTACTTTGTATTCAATCTATGATGAATTAGAAGAGGTAGAGCCACTGCCTACAAATGTGGTACGTATAAAATTATTAAATCAGAAAAGAATTAATAGAAACAGAAACGTGTATTGTAATAAGTAATATTTTAATTGAATTTTTTCCAGTCTAATGACATCTCTCAGAGACTGATACCAGAAGATGTGATGACCTTTGGAGAAACAGTTGGCCAAGTCAGCATAGTTGGCTTAGGACCCTTAGAAAAACAGTATGAAGAAGTTATTGTTGTAGAGGTATTTACTCCATCATATTTTTGGATACATCTTCGTCGAAAACGAAGACGATTTGATGATTTCATGGATGAATTGCAGTAAGTCCTATGTTTTAAATATTCATAATATACTTTGCTAAATGTTTAATTTAAAATAATATTCAAAATCATTTAAATAACAAGTATTTTTATTTTGCAGCATATTCTACAAAGAGAATAGCAGTCGATATATGATACCACCAGTCATATTAGAGAAAGGTTTAAATTGTGCGTGCTTATTTCTTGGTAAATGGCACAGAGCTATAATTAAGAGTGTATCCTACAATGGATCTGCAACTGTAATTATTCATGGAACAAATATTATTTATAAATAACTACGTAAAGTTATAAGGAAAAATAATATTTTAACATTGATCTTTTGTTTATAGGTACTATTTTATGACTATGGTACATTGAAGACGTATCCTCACAATGAACTGTATTTCCTGCATCGAAGGTTTTCATATTTACCGGCACAAGCCATACCATGTGGTTTATACAATACAAAACCGTGTAAAGGTGTAGAATGGACACGTAGTGTGACAACTATATTTACCAAGATGACTGTTGACATTCCAATGATCGCAATTATAGCGAAGACAGATTTAAATGTAAGAACATCTTTAAATATTCAATGTTATGAAAAATGATTTATAATCTCTACACTGATTATTTGTTTGCATACTAAAGTTAATATGCTTATGTTCATTTGTAGAATAATTCTATGTTAATAACACTGGTTGATACACGAGGAGATGAAGATGTCCATATATGTGATTGGATGGTTCAAAACCAACTGGCAGAATATGGATCATTGGTTTGTATTAGGCCCAAAAACTTTCCTTTTCTGTTTTACAACGAAAAATATCGAGGCGATAAGACGTTAGGAAAAAATTTCGAGGTTCCGATTCTTCGAGAAAATATTGGGAAGAAGAGCGATCCCTTGGTTCCAAATTTTCAATTAGATGATGTTCATCCGTCAGAAGTAATGCATAATAATGATCAACTCTCAGAATTTAAAAAGATTACAGAACAATTGACATGTAATAGAAACAGTTCTAAAAGCATGCATAAAGGAGAAAGCGATTCTCCTAGTTCAAAACAATCTAAAGAAAATGAAGAAAAAACAGTAAATAATTCAAGAAAAAAAAAGTGCGTTGATGTTGAACCAAACTTAAAAAATAGTTTTCTAGAATTTCTAAGCAAACGTAGCTGTCGTAAATCCTCTACAACAGGCAGGGACTCCGATTTATCATTATCCAACTCATCTGACAAAAGTACATCATTCAGATTTCTGACAGACTCATCGGATTTAGATATTGAAAGGAATGAAAAATATTCCAAGGGATCTCGTGAATTTGTTGAAGAGGATACTTGTATTAAGTCAATGAATGTTAACAAATCACAGGGGTGTGAAAAGTCAGAAAGTTACAAGGAACAGAATTTCATAAAACCCAAAACTATTTCTAATAATTTAGCGAACAATGAGGTAAGTTTTCATCAAAAACGTACCGAAAATGGTTTAAATTATAAAGTAAATGGAACTAATGACATTCATACGGATCGATGTGATCAACAAGAACAATTGCATACGCCTACAATAAATGATAGGGATAACGATCAAGGCGATAGAATTTCGGAATTTGGCACGTTACACAGTTTATATGGTGGTCATGGACATACCGGGTTTGTTAATTGGATGTTACTTCGAACGGCGTTAAAGAAATCCGGTATTCGCGATACCCTGAAGTTGGATCATATGTTGAAGAAATCAGAAACCGAATTTAAAGCTAAAGAATTCAAAATTAACGGTACCACAAAGGCACAATTTACTCAAGATACTTCAATTATCAACGAGGATTCGACATTAGATAGGGACGTCAGTCCTGCTCAGAAATGTTTCTTAAATATGGTTCATGGTAGTATTTACTTTGAAGCATGCGAAAAAAATGTTGGTTGGCTGCCAGAAGGTAATATCGAAGAGACTAATGAGCCCTTATTCATGTTGCGAATGCGAAGAAAGAGTTTTGAAAGAGATGACAACAAATCTATTTTAATCTCTATGTCAAAGAAGGTCTTGTGCAAATTAAGAGGAGAGCAATTTATAAATGATAAATTAATTCCGAATAAAGGATCCCTTAAATCTAAGAATTCGTCATTGATAAGCAACGATGAATCATTAAAGTTTCTAGATCGTCGTGGAGATGTACTGGAAACGCATATTAACTCTCGTCTTCAAAGACTCGAATCGTGGAAAACATTGCTTTTTAATAAGTGGAAAATCCAAGACAATATTCGTAGTAAAAGTACCGTGACGAATGATAGGCCTAATTCTTTAATATCATCGAATCAAAATCAGCAAAGTGAAATAATTGAGAACGAAGAAACTTTTATCGATGCAAGGAAAATAGAACAAACAGAACAAGCTAGGAAATTAAGTTTGTCTCCCCTTGTTTTAGATACAACAGAAGTGATTTCTAGTACCCATGGCGATGAAAAAGTATTAGATATTTCCGATAATATTGACGAGGTTAAACTTAAAGAGAAATATAAAGTAAATAATCATAGCTCCAGTGCACATAATAACGAAAAAACATTAGATATTTCCGATAACATCCAAATAATTGAACATAAAGAAGAATATGAAATAAATAAACTTGGTTCCAATACACATGGTGATGATAAAGTATTAGATACTTCCGACTATACCCACAAGATTGAATATACAGAAAAATGTGAAATAAGTAAACCTTATTCAGACTCATTTATCGAAGTTGACAGTTTAATTCATTTTCCACTCAATAATTATACAAGCAAAGATTGCGAGCAGTCTCATTTAATAGAAAATAATAAACCAGATATTGATCTTACTTCATGTTGCGAACAGTATTGCGAGGATAAGGAAACTAATAATTTCACTGATCTGCTCAAAAACAATATGAATTGCAAAAAGAATGGTATGGCTTTGGTAATGTTAAAAAATTTGGCGAAATTACTAAATGATTCGGAGGGTTCGTCTGAATTAGACGTGGATGACTTATCGTGTGCGGAAGAGTTTAGCAGTACAAAGTCCCTTCAAAAGACTGATATCGTACCTGTTAAAATAAAAAAGTTTGGCGCAAGTGAAATAGTTGAGCAACTGCGGCATGAAGCTGCATCGGGGACAGATGATTGTAAACAGCGAACAAAGCCATCTGATATAATTTCTCGCTCTTCAATTATAGAATCCGCAAGTGTTTCTTCCCTAGAATCTTTGAATCTAGGTGTACAGCTTGAGCAAGATGAGGATAATATCGAAAAACATTCCAAAGCAAACAATGTCTCACGTTCTTCGGAGAGCATTTCTTTGTACAAGTCGTCGAAGGAAAGTTTAAATTTGGATTATGTTTACATTGTACCACGAGCACAAAGTGATGACACCAAAACGTCTCAACATAATACTTATGATTCGGAGTCTGAAACAATGTTGAACGTAGGTTGTTCATCGGTGAAATCCAGAACGGATGACATTAAAGTAATGAGAGATAACATCGATGATGATCGATGTTCCCCTGTAGGTAGTATTAAAGAGAATAGAGAAAAGTCAAATGGAGAATCTAAAGTCACCAAACATGTAGAGAACGATACTGCCGGATCAAAACTGGCCAATGATGTTGTTGAAGCTTCTGATGAAGACAATGACGTTGCTGAAGCTTCCGATGAAGACAATGATGCACCTGATGATTCAAAAAAGGATTCTTCTTTCGCCTATGTAGTTAACGAAGAGAATACGGATGATAATTTTATATCAAATGACAAGGAGACAGATGGTACAGATTTATCAACCGAGCGAACTGCATTATATGAAGAAGAAGAATGCTTAACTTTTAACGATGTTGACATAGAGTCTGACGAAGAAGAATGGGACTGTTGTGAGATAGATGAAATTAAAAAGTTGTTAACGGGCTCGAGTGGTAACAGGTTGGAGAAGCATCCTGTGGATGAATATCATAATCAAGATGTTGAATCAACAGAGCAGCAAGATTTTAACAAAGGAACTTGTACGCATGATAAACCACTTCCAGACGAAGATTCCTTGGACTTATCGGATTGCAACGATATAAATGACAGTGTTTTATCAATTTTGGAATCCAATAAAAATATTCACTCCGTTAAAAGTCGGGATGACTTTCATTTACTTAAAGATTCACTTGGCATGAAACGCGATGAAAGTTTAGAATTAAATGAGATGATTGATTCCGCGAAAATGATTGAATCTCATTCTTTAGGAACGGATGTCAGAACTGAAATACTTAATGAACCATTAGAAACGTGTAAAATAACTGAAATCACATCCGACACTGAATCTGAGATTGGAAAAGTACGTAGTGAGTCTATAAATAGTGAAAAACGTTCAGACGAATGCTTGACAGGTGTCAATATAATTTTAGAAAGTAACCCTTCGATAAAACCAATTGTTTTAAAATCGGAATCAAGGAGCAAAGTTAGGTCGCTACTTAATATGGCTAATGATTTGATTTTAAAAGAAAATCGATTAAAAAAGAAACAGTAACATAACTAAAATCGATAGAAAGCTTAAAACAAGTGATACTAAACATTACCAAAGGAATCTCTTAAGATACTAAATGTTGTTATTTTAGTTTATATGTAAAGTATTTGAGCATACCTTTGGGAAAAATGTGATCTTTATGTTATATCCGCATTAAACTGTACAATACAAGGGGATGTATTTTTGTTCTTACTTTTCATAAATAAAGAGCATATAAATAAAATGACTGACTCAAGTTACTTATTCCATTGCCATAGAAGGATCTCATAAAGTGATTGTTTTTCCCAAATTGTTAACGCGCGATTGCGTGCGATTAGTTCTCTCTAATTTTAATTCTTTGAAAATATCACTTTATTTGATATCTTTTTTTTATTTTTTCTCTATCTTTTACAATGTTCAGGGCAGCACGGTTGATACGAACAGTAAGTTTATCGAAGACGACGACCTGATTGTGGCAGATTGCGAAAGCAAAGCGGCGGAAAATGAAGATTTCACGGCCACTATAAATAACGAATGCGACGAAAGAAATAGATCTGAAAATGTTCCCTTAATTTCTCCGCAAAGCACATTGGAAGATAAGCCGATTAACCCACCGCCAGGTTTAAATTTGCTCAAGGATCCGGTTGACTTTGCTTCATTTGTAGAAGGGGAACAAAAAGAAAATGGTTTATTCGACGCAAACAGCAATTACACAACGAGCCCAAAGTGCCCCAATTGTGCAGCATTTGAGAAAAATGAACTGTCCTGCAAAACCGAACTCTGTGCCCACATGTTCATGAAAATGTGGATGCAACTTTTACTGTTCCAAAGTCAAATAACTGCCACTATGAAAATCTTAATATCTAAACTAGCGAAAAGAGAAGAGGGTAGTGCCGATGCATCTTTGCAGAAAGTGATGGAACAATTGTTAACGCAAGGTGACCAATTATATGATTCATTGAATCCCTTTCATAATTCAAAATATGCAACGAATGAACACGGTCAGTCTGCCGATGAAACGGCTAATGGATTTAAAGGTTTTATTAATGGATTTGCTAACGAATCAGACTGTGCACAGGCTCAACGGAACGTAAACGAAATGAAAGGTACACGTGATCCCTTCTGTATGAGAAATGTACACGATGTTCCTGGTACTTCAGATCACATTCAAAGAGGTCCAATTAATACTGTAAATAATGCAACAGGTACTTTCAATCCAAATGTTGCCTCCAAGGAAGCTGCGAACGAGATTCAAGAAACTTCGCAGAACACCTACACTACGGAGTCTGAAGTAACTTTCCAACATGATAAGAAATCTTCAGTAGAGCCTACATCGGTTCAGAATGTCTTCGATAAAAATCAGTTGAAACCAAAACTGGATGCAGATAAGAATGGCTATTTTGTACCTTTAAATAACGCTTATTGGTACGGCCTTTCCAATCATTTTGAACAGACACCAAACAAACACGTAGAGCCACCAAATGTACAAAGTAAGAATCCCTTCAGAGAATATATGACGGATTCGATTCTAACAGAATCTGTTGCTCCAAATGTAGCGCCAATATATGCAAATGCAACACCATTTGCAAATTTCGGTCATTTTACCCCGGAACAGAATTATCGTTGCGATACTGAAAATAATAACTCAAATGTTTCTGCAAGTATAGGTGTCACAAAGTCAGTCTACGAATCAAATCCTATGATGTACAATATGAACACACATGAAAAGAGAATGAACTCCAAAATAAGAAATTGTCAAAGCAAAACTTCAGGAATGGTAAATGGCAAGACCAGTAACAGCTCTTCCAAGTCTGCGCAAACCTCGAAGAAGAGTGACACCGAATCATTTAGTTCTTCCCAAAAGTTTTACAAACAGGACAGTTCGTCATCTTGGCAAAGAGTAAACACTCCAAAGCCAAATACTTTCCAAAATGAAATTGATTTGTTTTACTCAACGATTAAAGGAGATGGTCTATCTAGTGACAACACTAATGAAGTACATGCAGTGCCTAAGAGGCCAAAATCGTTGAACCCCTTCGAGTGCGATGATTCGAGTGAAAGCATTTCGAGTTCATCACCAGAGAACTTTGCATTCATCGAACCACCTACCAGAAATGTTGAAACACCATTGTCACCACCGTTGACATCTGCGAATCCAATGTGTTATAATGTGGAAGATGCTTTCCAAATGCCTAAGCAATCTTCTTCCATTGGTGAATTCTTGAAGGAAAGATCAAACAATTTAAATAAGGATTGGTTTGTTTCCAAAAATGTGGGGCAAATTGACGAAGGCTATCCCAGTAGTCCGTCAGATTCTCAGACATTGGCAGGCTCTCCGAATTTTGTCCAAAAGGTGAACGAACCCTACTTAGAAGAGGAGCCAAAGAGAATGAATGTTTTTAATAATATTCCTTCGACGGAGAGGACAACAACCAGTGAGTCTCCTTTCTTCAACACCGAAGATGAATATCAGGAATTACGACAACAAAATAACAAGGGTCCCAGTTGTCTAAGGCAACAAGGAAGTAGTGCATTCTTGAATTTCCAAAAATATAACCAATTGTTGTCGAATTCAGTAAGCATGGAAGCAGAAGATTCACATAATTCGATGACGCAAACTAATTTAAGTGCCTCTAAAGGCAATATCAAAATAACGTCATTGACAGGCATCAATTCTTCCTCTGTTCCCGCTAAGAGCCATCCACTTCTGTTCCAACCAGTCAGTAAGTAGTTCTTATTAATATGAGCGCCTTTCATTCCTCAAAAGACATTATATTTGATTAATAATGAAATTTATGTTAGTTCAAGTCATTTTACTTCAGTTAAATTATATTTTTTGTTTCATATTTTGCGTGCCGATTTCAATTTTATAGATTGTATTATTATAACAGTGAGTAGTATCGGGAGGTTTAAGGCGATGTTAAAGTGGCGTCAAAAAGGTCTAGTTTATTATACTTTTCTCCCTATTGGGTGACCTGAATCGTTTAAAACTTTTCCACCCGAATACGGAGGCCCTAAGGAAGTTCCTGACATTTAGAAATTTAAATTAAACAAAATTTGTTTATAGATATTTTAAAACTTTTCTATAAAAAGTGAAATTTCATGGGTATTAGGACCTTTCTTAGGGCGTCCACGTGTATGTGGTAAAGTTTCAAATGATTCGGTACATTGAGTTTGCAGAAATGTTCCATGTACGACTGACCTTCTGGATGCCAGTTTCACATCGCATTATAAGAAAGCATTTGTTTGAGTAAACAAACATAAATTATTTTATGAATTAAATAAATTATTAAAATATACTAATATACATTGCTAAAAGTAATATTTTTGTTAAATTGCTAAAAATTGACATGGTGGAAAATCTGCATGTTTCAGTTTATTAATGCATTCTAATATATATCTATTAGAATTTATACTTTAGCTGAGTTTCTTTAATAATATCCAACCGCTTGTGGACTGATTTTTTTGAACAGACATTTACTTTGTTTTATTTTTTTACAGAACTAACTGGTGAAACTATGTACATATTTTTCCTTGAAGACGAAGGTTGGCTTTCAACAGAGGAATTCGTTGATGTATTTACGGATTTTAAGGTATCCAGCGTCATGTTGAAATTGCTGGACATAACCAATGTTAATGTAGCATTTAAATCGATAACAAGGAAGGAGTATCCGTTACTGTTTACTCAACTAGACAAGTATGTATTATAGTTAATTGTCTTAGTCATGTAATTAACATTCTGTACAAAAACCTAGTTTACTATTTAAGTGATATTATCTGTGCTACAGATCGTCGTTAAAGGTGAAAAGAACCTGTAGCAGTAAAATTAAATCTCCTTTACATTTGATGCCACTAAAATCAGCAATACGTCTGTTGGCAAAATTAAAAATTGTCTCCATGGAAGAGATTAACAAAGCGGTTGGTATGAAGGAGTTTAAAGAAGGTTCTCCGTTGCATAAAGTTATGGTAGGTGTTTTTCAAACTTATCAAATTGCAATTGCAAAACATTCTGTTAAGGGTATTTCTATGCAGATCTGCCATTTATGTGAAATAGTTTTAGTGGAGTTAATGCATGTGAGTTGTGGTTTATGCTTTGAAAATGTCTGAACGTCTAATTTCTGTAATCATTTTAAGAATACTATGAAACCTGTTTTGGATTTGCAATCTAAATGTACGAATAATTGAGATTACATATCATACGTTTAATGTAGTACTTCATGGACAAGTGTTCTGTGGTATTTTCTATATTCCAGTGTTTGTGATATAGTCTTAACTCTTTTTTCTAATATGATAGCGGTAGTTGTCCCAAATTGAAGAAATTGTAAAGAACCCTTTTTGTTACAAAGTATTAAGCATTTTCCTTATTTTCGTAGTATTGAGCAACGATAAGAGAGGAAACAATATTTCCTTTGATTAGTTTCATTAAAACTATTTGACTAATGATAGAACAATTATTTTACATGGCCTCATGATTTCATTATATTTTTATGATTTTTATTCACAGATCCTTATCACCACGTACAGTAGAAGCTACACAGCACAGAGAGATACTGAGAGATAAGTCATTGGATGATTTTCAAAGTGAACCAGAATGTTTTCTACATTTTCTTAAAATGTAAAATGTGGTATTTATGTAAAAACGTTAAATCTATCCTCGTTTGTATTCACTCATTATTCATTTTTTATTTTATATACTGACGATAAATCATTTATAATTTTGTTTTTGTTTTCAAACTAATTCGCAAAGTTTGATGAAGTATTGCATTGCATCGTATCGAAAGATGTTTATGGTTATGTTAATATTCCAGCACTTATATTAGCTTTCGATTCAGTTGCATTAAGTACATGTGATACTAAACACATACCTTTTTTGTTGATTAAATCTTACGCCTAAGTCTTGTAAGCATAAAGCAATAAAGGAGCTTGTAAAAAAAATGTGAAAAAATAAGAAATAGTTACAAGAAAGAATATAACTATTCCCAAGATTACTTTTGTGTTGTAATTTTTATTTGTGATTATCGTCTCATTTATTCCTTCGTACTTTGTATTTATCGTAGAGCGCTGCTCTATTTTGTAATGAATAGTTGTCATAGTCACGATCAAGGCAAAACCTAAATACAGTCAAGTATTTGCAAGTCCTTTAATTAACGACTTTTGCATTAGAACAATATGAAATCAAAACGTTGATTATTCTGTACTGTACTGTACTGACATTTGATGCAGGATGATATCTTTTATTCATACTTCTTATTTTACATTTACGCACTATCTACGAATACTTAAATAATGACAAATATATACATATTTTGCGATTTTATTGAGAAAACATGCAATTTATTTTCAAAAGTAGTCTCTCGTCGCTGATGATCTGTGATATATTGAATGGATTTCAGTTTTTCCGCATTGCAAACAATTTTCATGTGAATCTTGTAATTAGTATTGACCCGCGTGGACGTATGTCATGAACATGTTTCTTTCATTTTATGAATTTATGTTCGGTGCTATCGGCTCTTCAGCTTTAGACTCTAGCGAGAAAGGTGGTATTCTACAGTCGAAAGCATAGCCGTCTTCTCTTTCCATTCTGAATGTACCCCTACGAAATTGTAAGATTATAGTGAAACAGATTATTCTTTACCTAATGAGTATCTATATGGGAAAGAATAAGATATATGCAAATTCATTTTTAGCCCCACTCTAAATTCCTGATTTATAGTTTGTCTATAAACCAAAAAGAAATAAAATAAAAAGGATCAATAAAAGTAAGCACAAGCCTCCATCATATCTCTTAATTGTTATTTTCAATGTTGATCACTTTGGTCTTAAGTGAAATTATGTAGAGTGAGTCTTACGAAAGGTTCAGAATGGGTTGAACTTACATGGATCTTAATGAATCATAAAAATGATCCTTTATATAAATACTTTGAAAAATTATTTCAAGGTAAGGTTGATAGAGTAGATATAACTACAGTTGTACCGAACAAATAGGAAATTAATTAAAATCATTCTTAGTCATTTTCATCTATTTGGAGTTATTGATATCATACCACATGTGACCACTAGGAGCTTGTAAGCTGACATGACTGCTGTATTGAAAGGCTGGTAAACTTTTGGATAAAACAGGTTCCTGTCCTACAACTCCTCGTCCTCGCACAGTTTCTAAAGTACCAGACAAACTGAATATTCTCCAATGCCTTTCTCGTAACTGCACGCTCATATCACCTAAATTTTCTAAACGTATGCAATAACGCCACTGCAAAACAATCATTGCTATATGTATTACAAATTTGGATGGTAGGTAGTTAAAATTTATCGAAGTTCATGAAAACTCTCATGATAAAAATACTGAAATGTTAACAAAATTAATATCTAAAAGAATGTAAGAGTTTAAAAAAATGTATAAGTGGGTTTCTGAAGATGGCTCAGGTCAGAAAATGGATATCTAAATCCCTTAGTGTGCAGTTTATACGATTTCTATCTTTATTACGATAAAATTCTTACCCAATAAACGGATGTTGTTTGGCTTTCTCTACATCCCATATAAAAAGGAATAACCGTGACTCTTATATTTTCTGTTGTTTCTTTATGAACATCTGACAGTTCTAACCAAGGATGATTCTTTTTTTGCCAAGCTCTTAGTGTTTCTTGAGCTACAAACGGTGGCTCTCTTCCTGGATCGTAGACCAGAAATTTATCAAAAAGCTCATGCTGCAGTGCCGTTTTCTCATTTGTTGAATAAGGTAAAATGTCCTCATGTGCAACATAATCAAGTCCAGGTATAGCATACAAGCTGCGACTGCTTTCATGATTTCCTAAAAATGTCACAGCCTCCGTTTGAGCTCTCTGTAAATATTACCAGATTTAAGAATCATGGTCTATTCATTCATTAACTATTAACTTAATAACACGTACAATATAAGGACAGTCTCGTTGATCAATAAGAACTTGATAAAATGTGTGAGTTCTACCCTTGACTTCTTTGCCTACACTATTAAAATTCCCATTCTCGGCACTAAAATAAAAGAATACATATACATGACACTATACATTTTTATTTTAATTTTTAATTAAGATCCAGAGAACATACCCTTCTTTCTTATTTGGCAAGTCTCGGTCATATACTCTTGCCAGCCATGGAAATAAAATAACACCTCGATATCCAAATACTCTATGAAGGATTAATTGTCCAGTTTCATACTTTCCTTGAAGCTTTGGAGTTTCTAATTTTCCTACTTCTGCTAATCTAAAATTATGCGTAATAAGTGCAATTGTTACGTGATATATTATGTTTACAAATATATCTTTAAGCTTTAATATCAACGGCACACGAGTTATAAATTAACAAGAATTAAGAAGAACTGTGACTTAACCAACTTCTATGATTAAGAATATACGTATGTGGTACTTTATTATGGAAAAGTACTGCTTAATTTTGGATTTATATTTATGGATAGATTATTTTTGGAATCACCATTTTCTTAGTACAATTCATGAAAGTTTTAGGTTAGAACATGGATACATTAACGTAGTAAATATATACCTGACGTATTTAGCGCAGTACAAGCTGAATAATTTTTTAGAAATCTCAAATGATGAACTCTTAAAAATATTTCCGAATAATCCTGAGCAGAGCTGCATTATTGTATTGAAAAACTGTCGCGATTTGGATACTTCAGTTCAAAACATTATTCTGGAAGTTGTTTATTGCGATGTAGGTCACGTGACTTTTCCTGCTGTACTTCATAGTTCAAATTGAAATTCAGAATTTATACACTTAAGATTTGCACTGATTTGCACCACTATGTTTTCTATCAAAATAGTAACAGCATTCAAATAATTGTTGCAAATGTAAATTTCTAAAGCCCCAAGTCCACATTAAAGAACGTTGTCAAAATTCTTTGTTTAATAGATATGTAACTAGATGTTTGATCCGGTTTGGTTGTCGACACTAGTGTCTCGCTTGATCTAAAAGTGGATTCACAAACCGACTTCAGTCGCGTAGCGAAACTGCGCAGGCGAACGTTGGAGTCGTGTGGAACCGCTATTAACTTTTATAAACCAAAATCAGGAAACTCGGTAGAGTTTCGCGCCAAATACATTTAAAAGCTTGAGCGAACGACACCGGATACCTAACGCCAAAATTCGGCACACCAATTCAGAGATGAGTTGGGAGATTGCTCACGGGCAGGGTCGCGCGATNACTTGTTGGTAGAAGATGTTAAAATATGTTAAAGGATGTTTGTGAATTTTTTTCGTGATGCGAATTATGTCCACGGTAGCTAGATGGGGAAGGTTGTTCGGTTTAAATTGATCTCTCGAACTAGTGGTTGCGATCTTTTTTCGGAGGAGACACAGGGTTTGGAGATCTCACTCTAGTTCAACTGGTCCATAGCTCGGTCGCTGCAAACGGAGAGGTGGATTCAGTAAAAGAAATAATGACGGCTTTGAAAACAATGTTCGTTTTATTGTATACTCTTTTCGTCTAAATAGTAGGTACATATCAGCATCCAAAGTGCTTCCCGTCATCCGATAAATTCTTTTTTTCGATCTCTATTTCTGTACCCTCTCGACGTTAGCTCCATCTCCCGTCATTTATCACAAACGTACGTTCTCTCTTTTTCGCGGTTTCTACATTTCTCTCCGTCCCTTTCGTGCGCTCATTCGTTCCTCTCCTTTGTTCTCTCTCTCTCTCTCTCTCGCATTCACTCCCTCGCACTCACTCATAAATAAATAAATAGTAGCCTAGTATATACAAGTTTCTTGGTAGTTCACCTTAATTACTTAATAGTCATTCGTTCGCTTAATAGGTGTGTTTTGTAAAGACTCTAGAAATATTGAGCTTGGTCTGGTCAGTATACATAATATATTTTCATGAAGTTTTTACTTTTAATTAAATTATATCTTCGCTTCTTTTAAAATTGTCTCATTTTTGTCACACGGTGTATAGTTACTTTATCATCCCTGTGGTGCAGCTTTTCCGAAACGCAAATTAACCGAATGGGTGATTCTCATTTAAGGATTCGATGCGAAAGGTGTTGAGAAACGCTCCGTTTTTCCTTTTTCCTTTTTCTTTTTCAGCCGGGCGTCAGCGTGGTTGGCTTGAGTTTGGCACAGTGATTTGATAATGACTCGTTAGGATAGCGATAACATTCCTCGAAGCGGGCGATTCGTCAATTTTCTCACTTCCTAAGATTCTGCCTGTGATTTTGAACGTCGTTACTTTGATTTTCGCATTTCGGTGATAATAGAACATTGATCTATATTCATCTTGGAACGCGCACGAGTCGGTAATCGGCGTATGGGCGAATTTCGTCAGGGCGTGCCAGCGATATTCGACCAAACGTCGGACGCACATGCGCGTCGACAGCGCTCAAAGGGTTAACTGTATAGGCATATACCCTAGTAGCACAAAATATTTGTCCTATATTTTCTATATATTTAACGAATATCGTACATTTTGTAAATATTTAGCAGACATTTGAAATATTTGCCAAACGTTTACTTTAGAATATTATCTCTATAATATTTATATAATATTAGCTCCATGTGTTTTCATAATATATTTCTACCAGATATACAAAACATTTCGTTTCATTTTAATACAAGTATCTTTTAAATATCATCTGCCGAATACATTATAAACGTTTTAAAAATATTTAAAATTCAAATCACATGTTTTGCTCCCATAATGAAATAGCGGAACGAAAATATTAGACAAATTTCTCGTGTTTCTTGATACCAAATGAAGTGTCCAATAATAGTCGTGAAGTAAAAAATGTATTTTTATTATGTTACTAAGTTAAAAAATATTTCCCTATATGTTTATAAATTATTGAAACTAAATATATCATTGAGATTTTCAACAAATATTTGAAATATCTTCGAATGAAATCTACAAGAAATCTTAAAAAATCTGTTGGTTGAGATATTTAGCAAAGATTACAAAGAAATATTTAGAAATTACTCTATGCTACTAGGGTCCTGAAAGAAAAGAAGGAACACAAGTATCTCCTGGTACCTCTCCCTCTGTTGTCGCAATTTCTAAAATATTGGAATATTTCGATATTCTAAAATATTGAAATATTGGATTATAAATATTGATCGCGCACGTTCTAGTAGGGATATAATTAAATGTAAAGGAACAGGCTCGCGAGGGTTTTTGATTTTATCACTGCCACGTCGCCTCAAGGATCGAGATACTGACAGTCCTTTCGAACCGAAATGTCTTCATTGGGTTGGCTTCGAATAGCTGAAAGATAACGACAGGGTTCACGTGAAAATATTTCGACAGAGGGTACACCAATTATTTTTGCCATCTAAGTGCCAAAACTTTAACAATTACGTTTAACTAGGTGCTTACATTTAAATTCTAAATATTCCAAGTATTACGATTGTTTAGGCACCTGTGAATATTTACAATTCAAAAAACGAAAGTTCTACCGACTTCAAGGAACCTTTTGTAAACGAGAGTATTTAGAGGAGCGTGAAAGAAATGAAATGGGCGGAGAAATGCCGGATATTATGATATCAGTGAATCCATAATGCACATAATTGATATTTACTGAAACAGGCGGAATGATCTTCTACGTTGGATAAGTCAGGCCCATGAATGAACGTTATGAAAATTGTTTCCGCCTACGTAATTGATTTTATGAAAACATTTATTTTCACCGCTTTCTTGAGAGATGAACTCAGGGATTTCGTTCCTTGGAAAGAAATATTGACATACTCCTTTATCTAATTAAATTCCATTACCAATAAATTGAAATTAATCTCGAAGTGGATCAAACTCGGAGTTAATTTTAACGCGGAACTCATTCTCGAGTTAGAGGAAAGGATTTGATTCGTTATAAAAATGTTTTGCTTCGTAATGGTTTTGGCAAACTGGTTCGGTTGCTACTTAATTGACAAGGAAACTTTTCTAAACATACGAAAAATGGCTGAGATGTCGGGGAGAGGCTCAAAGTAAGGACGATTCGATCCTTGACGATGATTCAATCTTGGTTCGCATCAAATCCTCGAACCTCTGCGGGATTCAAGAGGAATTATTCAGTAACACTTGTTTATTCTGCCCATTACGCGATAGCCGAAGTGTAGGACGAATACTTCGAAATCAGTCGCGACGAAACATTCGGTAATACTCGTCTTTTCAATATTGTAATAGTAATTAACATTTGAAGGACTAATGTCCGTCTCACGAACTGCATTATACGAGATTCCTAGACCAGAATTTCTTTGGAAAGACGAAATAGTTTTAAGATACGTCTTATTAAGGCAAAACGAGATTAACAAACCACGTCTGTACAATAAACCTTTGTCCTTATTGCGGGAAATATAAAATTAAGTGATTTCCAATTATTGGTCGTAGTATATACAGTTAAAAGAAAATTAATACGTGCAACTTTGTATAAATTTCTCCGTTTCGCACGAACATTTGTTACATTGCTATTTGAAATAGTATTTTATTCTGTTTTGAGGGTTTAAAGATGCTTATTTCTCTTAACTCTCCCAATGTTAATTGCGAAAAAAATCGCCTTTCATGTTTATAACATGATACATTAGAAGTACATGAGAAAACATATGTCTCTTAGTTTAACCCTTTGCCCTCGATATCTCCAACTCGTCAAATTGTCCCCTTAGAGGAGTCGTTCGAGTGCTAAGAGCTAAACGAAATGTAGACGATACTTTAGCAAATTATAGAGTACCTGGTTTGTTAATTTCATCTTAAGCCGATTCGACATTTAAATCGTGCATTTGTTTAGGTTTAGAAGGATCAAAAAGACTACGGCTATTTCACCGAAGTATTATGAAAAAGGAGAAAAGATCGGACGTACGACGGCGTAGACGATTCTTGTGCAAGACTTCATTCCACGTGATTACAAGAGAGTCGAAGTACTCTTTGGAGTAATAATTAATAGCCATTGGATCGTTGCTAGTAAATGTGAATTTGAAACTATCCCCATACTTCGTTACGTACTTTACGTTGCCGTTACATTTTGTATAGTAACAAACAAGAAACGCAAAAAAAAAAAGAACAGGCGATTGATTACGTGTAGCGTTACTACCGCTATAACGTTATAACCCAACGCGATGGAAGGCAGAGAGATCATACGTAACTTCACCTCTAATCTTTCATTTTAAATCGCAAGATTAATTCAAGATGACAAAGATGCATTCAAACTTCAATTTTGAAATCGATAGTTACAACCTTTACAGCGTGACATGTTTTTCAACCCTGCTCTTCGTTAAGTGTACCGGGTAATAAATGGTCGTACGTAGTAACGCCACGCGGAATTAATTCTCCTTCCACCGTTCGTATTATTTCTCACTATACGCAATGTAACGCAACATCACGGGTATTCGCTCCACACCCCTGCTAATAATAAGTGTATCCCAGGCTACATCATGGTTTCGTTACAGCAGTTGATACCGGGGAAATCTAAGTACGGACAATCGTCTTCGCAAAAAGCTGCACTACCGTTCCTCTCTAAAGGATTGCACCACTCCCTGGAGTTTATTGTATTTGTGTAGCAATATAGGAGTTCTAAAATCTCATTAATGCGCTAGGAACCTGGGCTAGAACTTTCGCTACTCCGCCGTCGTCGCGCCTCCAATTCCTTAGCCAGCATGGCCACCTCCCAGTTATTGTGGCCACCCTCGTCCTCTTCTCCGGACTTGCTGTCTTCGCTGTTCGACTCCAAGTCTATGGCTACGTCTTCCTTCCACAGGCTCTGCGGCGTTATGGACTTGGGCAGGTCCTGCAGCTCCAGGGTCTCCTCCTCGGAGTGCTCCTCCCAGGACCTGCGGTTGCAGGAGGGATCCGTCATCGGCGAAGAGTGCCTACGATGCGTCTGGGCAGTCAGGACCGTGTCGACGGATCCGTCCCTCATAAAGGGGTGATCCTCGTTGTCTCCGACCGGGTCTTCCTCTATCGAGGCGTCGGGCTCGGTGCTGTCGCTGGAGTCTCCCATCCCGTGGGCTTCTCGCTGCTCCAGTTCCTGGATCCGTGCCTGCAGCTGGGAGATTATCTCGTCCCTTTTGCGGACCTCGAACTCCAGCGACGTGAACTGGTACTCGAACTTGTTCTGAATGTCCTCCTGCAAGTTTCATAATCGATGAGAAGTCATTTGGATTGGGGATAACGAGCGATTTTATCATTCTAGAAACATTGTATTGTAGTATATGTCTGCGACATATCGGACTCGGATAAATATTTCTTGGTCTTAAATATGCCCATCAAATACACTATCTTACAGTTACATAACACTGGAATAACATGTATGTAACGAATGTTATTTAAAAGATACATTAATATCATATAACATTGAATTATTACCGTTCGGTAACATGGTTACAAACTTGCGAGCATTGCAATTATATAATATCAATATACATGTAACATGTTACCGATATGTTATGTATATGTTATATGTATGTTACATTATATGTTACATATGTTACGTAACGTTTATATTATTGTTACGTAACCGTGTTTGGTGGGTGAGACCTAATGGGAAGATGCGTTTTGTCGGGACGTACATAAGGATTTGAGACTGTCGGGGATGTTGTTCCTTCCTGCATTATTTTAGTTTCTCGAGGTGAAGTTCAGAATCAGAGACGCGTTAGTTGACGATCGGAGAATAGCAATAATTTTGTATAAAATATGTCCACTTTGGGGGACTTAAAATCTTTACGAGGGATATGATTATTCTAAACAGTCGGACGAGAGATCAGAATGCGATTGAACGGCGCAATTGAATGGGCCAAACATTCAATTATGAATCGAAAGCGGAATTACCCCTAACCATCGTTCTATAATTCAATATCCCACAAGTTGAATTTTCAGCGTTTATATTTCCGAAAACTGCATAGATGAACCGTATTTGATAGGGAGCTTGGTTAGATACATAAAAAGCGTTACTTAAATAACTCAGTCGCCTCATGGTCTCCGGTAAATAAATATTTACAATGAAAACCTGCTTTCGAGGAGAAAGCGAATATTTAACAAGTACAGTCCCGCCGTTGTTCTTCAATCGATCCAAGATCTAGGAAAAGGTTCGGCCTGTCCTTGTATTTTATATCGGCTTGTCCGGTAAGTCGATTTCGCATTGCGGCAATGCCCCCCTCCCTTCCAATCCAATTTCGAGATTAATATGGAGCTTAATTTCGGAGCTTACCAGTCGCGATTGAATGACGTCTCTGATCCCCGAAACGAGTTCCCCGAGGTATTCATCATCCCGCGGCCGAGGAACCATTTGCAGGCCAGTCCCGCTGCCCAGAGGACGGAAGCTAATTTTATTGGGCGACGGCAGCGGAATCTGCTCTTGGGTCTCGGCTTTGACTTCTATCTCGGCCTCGACCAGGGTCCCGGACCGGTCGTCGAGCAACGAATTCCCAGGAGGTTGCTCGGACGGCGGGCTCTGTAAGGTGTACTTGTGGAAGGTGACGCTCTTCGACAACTTCGAGTGTCGGGCGACGTAGCCTTCGATGGTCGGGGCCCTCATGAGCTTCCTCTGCTCGGCGGTGGTGGCGACCTTCCTGTCCGGGGTGCTGGTCGCCGAGGTCTCGGAGCTGCCCGTCCTGCTGCCCGCCGAGAGCGTCTTCAGGATGCTTTTCAGGTTCCGCCTCTCCACGGTTTCGTTCTCGGGGGACATCGACGTTTGATCCGGCGATCGTCCCTCCTGCTCCTGGAATAGATCGGTCGTTCAAGAACAAAGTCGTTACTCGGTAGAAGATACCTGGTACATCTAGGTGCATTCTCCAAAAAGTGTTCGTTAAAACCGCTCGGTCTCGTTTCGTGCCATCCTAATCCCTAACCTGATTCAGCTTCGCCAGCTGCCTACTATATTCTATCGCACAGGCCTCCGAGTGGCTCCTAGTGAGATTCCCGTTGAATTTGGTCTCGGCGTTCTCGCCGGAGTCCAAGCTCGAGCTCCTAGCCGCTTTCTCCAGCTCGGCTAACTTCTGCCGCTCGTTCAAGATCTTCAGCTTCTTGACGAAAGGCAGCCCGCAGTACTCCGGCGACAGGTCGTCGACGGAGGCGTACATCTTGGTCTCTTGTCTGAGGTGGACGAGGCTCTGCTTGAGCTGCCTTCTCGATGGCGAGCCTACCTGGGAGGTGTTGTCTCTGGCGGTCGTTAAGGACGCGTCCTTCAGCATGGCCCAGGGCTTTTTGGGTGCTCCTCCGTTTCCGCTGCCCATGGACGTAGTCGGGGACCTGGGTGCTGCGGGCTCCGAGCTCTGAAACCAACGTCGTCGATCAAACGATGCATCGTTCGCCGTCTCTTACGAAATTCAATTTCATTCTATTTCCAATCATTGCTTCATTGGAAATCTCCTTTCCACGCAACTACCCCTTACCATTACCTGAAACTGCGTGCTAGATCCCACGGACGGTCTCCGCTGGGTTTCTTGGCTTTCACTGGATACGTTTTGCTTCGGCAGCAGAGGCTCCTTCGCCAGGAGCTCTCGATCTCCCAGAGTCGGTTGATCGGGGTTCTTGTTCTTCAGTAATAATATTCGCTGAAGGAATGGCAAGTTCTGGTTGGTGGGCACCTGGGCACCCGAGTCGACCGAGGATTGCTGCTGCTCCGCCAACGGACTCGGCAGCTCCATCAGGGTCTTCCTCTCCTCTCGGTCTTGCTTTTCCTTAAGCAATCGTAGTCTGGACAGTAAGGGCAAACCCGCTCCGAGAGGTGATATCGGGGGCTCCAGGTTAGCGGCGCAGGTTTCTTGACTGTCGTCGACTTTCTTTTGCCTCCTCAAGGGTGGGACTTTCGGCGTTAAGGGCTGCAGTTCCAAGCTTTCGTCGGGCTTGGTGTTCCGCCTGCTCTTCCTGAGGACATTCTTCAGACCTTTTACGTCGCTCTTCAGCTTGTCCACTATTCGTTTGCTCGTACTGTTGTCGGAGGAGTCGTGGCCGGGCGAAGTTGGTTGGCGAGAGGCTCGAGCTACCCTCTGCGCTTCCATCAGTCGTTTCCTACCCAGGTTCTTTAGGATCTCCTGGGCTTCCGGGTAATCCTTCATCGCTGCTAGGACGTCTTCTCGAGAGAGGCTGAATAACTCGGAATAGCCGACCGAGCGAACGTCCGCTGTGCGCCTGAAGTGGAGGAAAGTAAGGTACATTTGTCTATCGACAAGGTAGAACGATGCTTGATCACAATGTACGAAGATTCGGTATTTTAATTAAAACATATTGAACCTTGGTTTTCATGTCGAGGTACTTTAAAATCTTTTGCATTTTCGTTCACAGACTATTAATGAATTTAACCCTAGAATCACGAATGGAGCATAAACACACTCCAGGTTTTGAAACTTCACCCCTAACTTGACAATTGTTGTATGTCGGTTTTTAAACGAGGGTTCATTAACTAAATTTGAATGGAATTGAATTTGCTACCGACCATTCACTTTCTTATTAACAAAACGTTGAAATTCACCTACTAACATTCTCCTTTGACCATAAGAAACATTTTGTCAACGAGAATCAAGCGGGCTGGATATCTACGGTAGTTTTGAGTTCCCTAGTAGCACAAAATATTTGTCTTATATTTTCTATATATTTAACCAATATCGTACATTTTGTAAATATTTAGCAGACATCTGAAATATTTGTAAAACATTTACTTTTGAGTATCATTTGTATATTATTTGTATAATACTAGCTCCACGTGTTTTCGTAATATTTTTCTTCTAGATATACAAAACATTTTGTTTCATTTTAACATAAGTATTTTTTTTAATATTATTTGCCAAATACATTATGAACGTTTTAAAAATATCTAAAATGCAAATGACATATTTTGCTCCCATAATGAAATAGTGGAACGAAAATTTTGCAAAAATTTGTCGTGTTTTTCCTATGTCAAATAAAGGGTCCGATAATAATCGTAAAGTAATAAAACGTATTTTTATTACATGTTTATAAATTAAAGAATATAAGTTTGACACGCGTATATAAATTATTGAAACCAAATATGTCATTGAGATTTTCAACAAATATTTTATATATCTTCAAATGAAATCTTACGAGGCATCTTAAAAAATCTGTCGCTTGAGATATGTAGCAAAGATTGCAAAAAATATTTAGAAAATATTCTGCGCTACTAGGGTTAGAGGGTAAAAGAAATGATATATGAGGACGAGAACTAATGATTCACATATTAGTACAATATCGATCTCTGTCTCGTCTGAAATTAACGATAGGTAGCGACGATTAATCGAATCCTCTCAACGAGAAAAGACCTTGAAATTAAATATTTACGACATTACTCTGGATTCCATTTACGGACAGGGCAATTATCATCCAATTACCGTACAGCTGGACAATTATCCATTATCCCGTTTCTCTGCAGGGTTTCGGGTGAATGGAATTATCGCAATACTAGGTGAGGTTCCCGTTCTAGAAGTTGTCATTGATACCAGATATAAAGAGGACCCGCTTGGTCGTAGAATCCGATTTTGGGAGGTTTCCTCGATTGGCGCCACTTACTTATTGAGGCCGTCCAAATTGAGGATGCCGATTTCGCCAAAGAAGTCGCCAGCTTTCATCGTGGTGAGGACCCTTCCGGTTTCGCTGATCACTTCCAAGATGCCGTCTGCAATTATGAACATTTCTCGCGCCACTTCTCCCTTGCGGCATATCGAGTCGCCGGGCGTGAAGATGTATGCCTTCATCTTGAGGACGAGGTCGTGCAGAAATTCCGGCTGGCATTCCTAGGGCATATATAGTTGACCACGTGCAATTATGATTCTCGATGCACTCTGAAATCGATGGTTTTACTTAAAGGCGATAGTTTCGTTCAAGCAGGTTCCGCCGAGGCTCCGATCGGCTAACCTAGGGGAAGAAGGCTCTGGGAAGTTAGCGGAATGGAAAACCAATTTGAGGAAATGGGTCTTAATTGTGCCCATAATTATGAAAGTGGTCTAAGTCAAAATTAAAAAAAAAAATAAGTTTATCAATTATTTCACGTCATATTATTTCAAACGAAATTAATTCAATGTAATTTCGAAACAAAAAATATATGACTTAGACCACTTTCATAATTATGAGCACAATTGTAAGTTCAACGTAGGGATAAGTTTTTCCATCGAAGCTGTCAGAAGAAATCGCGTTGCGACATATGATATTTAATATGGGACGGCGATGTAATTCGTCGCAGGCAAGTGCAATTTAATGTACACGAAGAATTTTCTTTACTCAAATTTTAATTCATTACATGTAACGTCGATCATTCCGGCATCAGTTATATCGATATATGTACACATATGAATTACGAGGAATGTGTGTTGGCATATAATTCACCGATTAAAAAGGAGAAATTCTATTTAAATCGTCGCGTCAACGTCACGTTTTCTAATTATCTTCGGTAATGCGATACTTTGGTTTTTAATATGTCTTCGCGTCACTATGAACTGTTTCTACTGCGCGCATCTTTTAATTTCCTCAGTTAAACGCACGCGGGAAGGTTTTCCTATCACTATTTTATCGAGTTTAGTTATCTTCTAATAACGAAGGCTCATGTCGGCACAATAATCCAAGTTCCTAGGTTTAACGCGTAATCAAGTCTTACCGTGCGGTACCTTGTCATTTCCTCCGTTTAATCTACAGAAGGGATTTCCTATTAGAATCTCCTCTATCATCGTTTAAATGATATATGTTCATTACGACTCAACGAGCTAAGATAAGCGGAAAACCTTGCAATTTCTCCCAGTGTACGGTTCTTTCTAATTTCCTCTATTGAACATAAAAAGAAAGGAGTGCCAATCAACCTTTCACATTTTAACAATAAATGTTTATATCGGCACAGCGGACATTCCTATCACCCGGAATTAACATACATGTTAGTTACTCTATCGCGTGGAATTTTCTCATTCTTTTCATTAAACCTATAAAGGGTATTTTCAATCAGAATTTCGTAAAGTAACGTTTGAATGACAAATGTTCATTCCCAGGAGTCGAGGTTTGGTTAAAAAATGGTTTTTTAATATCCTCCGTTAAATCTATAGAAAAAATTTACTGTCAGGGCCTAATTCAGAGACCTATCTCTAGTAGCACAGAATATTAGTCCTATATTTTNAATTATTGAAACTAAATATATCATTGAGATTTTCAACAAATATTTCGGATATCTTCGGAATTAAATCTACAAGAAATCTTAAAAAATCTGTCGCTTGAGATATTTAGCAAAGATTACAAAGAAATATTTAGAAATTATTCTATGCTACTAGGGATACAGGCTTTCCTATCGGAACCTTCCCGGGCTGTGTCGCATCTTGACAATAAATGTTCATGCCGGTATTCCAAGTGCCTAGGGTTAATATATAGCCGAGCCTCCCCATCGCGTGCCATCTAATTTCCTTCGTTAAACCTGTACAGAGGGAAGTGTTGGGCATAGGGTCGCGACGTCGATCCAGTTTCCACGCGGAAACCGCGATCCGTCTCCATCCACGCGAGCACGGAGCGACGAACTTATTCATCCGATCGACAATGGGGCTCGTTAATGGCAAAAGGGTGCTCGCACCCCTCCGCGTATTCGCGGATTCGCGGATTAGCGGATTCCCGCGCTGGCGCGATATCCGCGACCTAATGACGGACTCGTATAACGCGCGGCTTTATGAAGGCGAGCGACTATCGCGTCGTCAATTAAGAACGGCTGGGTATCGTGCCAATTACACGAGGCCCTAATAACAGCCGGCAGGAACACTTTCCCATTGTCGAGGGTCGCGCTCCGAGGACTCCTATTGGGGTGGTTAAGGTGAAGTGAAACCCCCTTCAAATCAGTCGACTCGAATACAACATTTAGTTTTAAGGGTATTGGACCAAACTGTCCGAAACTTTGACAAATCACTCCTGATCATCTAAGAATTGTCCTGACAAATTCAAAATTTGGATTTTTGTAAAAAATTCTTTAACTTGTCCCAGGCCAGAACCAAAATGGCGTCGAGCTCTCATATTTCGATCAATATACAATTATCGAAGGCTCTCATATGAGAATCGAAAGGGTTACGACAATTTTACGAGAATTTAGAACACTCTGGTAATCGATAAATTCGCATTTGAACGGAATAAAGGCGAAAAAAGTGTTGTATGCGCTTCTATGTCAAAACGATGGTAATACGAGGTCTCGCAGTGAAAGTTTAATTTACTTGGAAATCACAGATGGCGCAAGGGGTCCCTTTGCAGTCAATTAGGGCCTTGGAAAGCATGAATCCAGAGGATTTCTCGAGTTTTACTTCGATTTCTTGATGTTTACTGTAGGAAAACGACAGGTGGAGTATGCCATTTTGTACAATATTCAATATAATTCGACACAGCTGTCAATATAAAAACGAACATCGGCAACGTAGGCATTTAGAAAAATCTTCTTTATCGACGTCGATCAAGTTCCTCGACGTGTTTCACTTCACCTTAAGGTGATATGAATAGGGTCACTCTATACATCAAAACGTGAAAATATTGATCAAACTTATCTCCAAACTGGGTGTACCGAATCATTTGAAACTTCGACACGCGATTATGAAGGCCCTAAGGAAGAACGCGATGTTCGTGAAATTTTTTTTTTTTACAAAAAATGTGATCTTCGTTCTAGTCTAGACCAATGAAAATCAATTTTTCTGAAAAACGATATTTCACGAGCATCGCGCTCTTCCTTAGGGCACTCGTAATCATGCGCCGAAGTTTCAAATGATTCGAAGCACCTAGTTTTGAGAAAGGTTTCATGTTTCGACGTTTTGATGTATAGAACGACCCTTTCATATCACCTTAATAACGCAACGATGACCCTTACGAAGGGTCGATTTTTCGCAGGGAGGGAGAGAGGGAGAAATGAGAGGTGCTTGAAGGGGACCGGAAAGGAAATGTAGCGGATCGAAGTGTTTTAGAAGCCTCTAACTGTTGGACATTGTAACTGATCGTAACGCTTTAGAAACTTCTCCTCGGCTTTCGATGGAAAAATTAGAGAAAGATGTAATAGCGACGGACTCCCGAATTGTGCAGTCCGTCACTAACCAACGAACAGCACGGACGCGTTTGAGAGAGCGAGATTAAAGGATACCGGTCGTTTTTCGTCTTCAGGCTCTGACTCCGATTTTTCTCCTGCTCATCCTTTGTCAATCCTTCAAAAACGAGAAATGTGAGAAATAGATGTATTGGGATATAGCGAAGAGGGAAGAGATCGAGGTGGAGAATGGAACGGGAGGGAGAAACCAAGGGAGGAATTGGAGATAATTAAAGGTAACCGGAGAGGAGGAGAGAAAGGAAAATTGAAGCAGGGGAGACACCGAATTAGGAGAAAAATGGGGAGCGAACAGCAGGATGCGAAATAGGAGGTGATTCTGGAGAGAAAGAGGAGAAGGTTGGAGATAAAGTCCATTGAACTATCGAAGGTGATAAGGTGACAAGAGCGGGCGGCGTCGTGATTCGAGGCAAGAGTTGATCCCGACGAGTTCCGTATATTTATCGGCTCCAATGTTCGACTGATGGACCCTTGAATAATTATCCGGGACATGTCGGCCGATCGAATCGTTATACGGATAATAGCTTTATCGACAGTTCGGATTAGGCTGGGAGAAACTATTCGATTAACCGGCTACGATCGACGATGTTCCCGCCGTCCAATGCGTCATTAAGGGGCGCGCGATAAGGGCGGGGACAACAATAGCACGATTGATTAGCCTAATCTTTCATGGGCCTGGGACGTTTAGCCTACTCCGCGAATCGGAATACTTTATTATGTTCATATGGGAATCACGACGAGAGGCATCCGGTAACTCCAACGATGTCACATAATACCCTGATATGCTTGTCGGGAACACATTTAACTATTTGCAAATCTTTCATTTCAATTGACAAAAATTCATCTACTTCTAGACCCGGACTATCTAAATATGCTGTAATTATCTCTTTGTAATCCCCAAGCGCTAACTCAAATCTATGCTTCTCTAATACTCGTCAATGTAAAAGGAGTTAAGATACAAGGAAAGCTCGATATCACCTGAAATGGAACTTATCGGAGGTTCTTCGAGGCCTTCTGCACCCTGATTGGATGACAATTCTTTTTATCAAGGAAATACTCGAACGACGATAACACTATGGTACCTTCACTTCGACCTAAACTCTCATCCACCAACAGGTGGATTCAATTGGTCCCTCACTTGAGATTAGGATATCTGCGATTTTTTGACGATAGTGCTCAGCTATAGTTCATCAGGCACCATTACCGGAGGATCGTTAACCCTTTCGTTACGAGCGCCGGTAACAAATTCGGCCATATCTGCAGAGTATCTTTTGATTGTATTGACCCGTATTGTATTAATCATCCTAAAAGTACATCTTGAACATACGTAACACAGTTTGGCCATCGAGACGAGACGAGAAGACCAGCTATTGGGATAACTTTTAATTTCTTAAAAGTTTAAGGTTAGACTTTTATTTGGAAATTTAATAATGGAATAATGCGAGGAAACAGTTGTTATTTAACACTTAGAAAAGTGTACTTATAAAAGGCAGTCGAGGAGGTGTTGTTCAGGTGGAAGACGCAAATTCGAATACCGAAGACTGCCGAAGCGCAAAGGTGCACCCTTTCGGCGCGGTGTCGCGTTCAGTGGTGGTTGTCTGGCGGAGCGAACAGTTGTTATTTAACACTTAGAAAAATGTACATACAAAAAGTAGTCAAGGAGGCGTTGTTTAGGTGGAAGACGCAAGTTCAAATACCGAAGACTGTCGAAGCGCAATATGCACTCTTTCGGCGCGGTGTCGCGTTCAGTGGTGGTTGTCTGACGGAGCGAACAGCTGTTATTTAACACTTAGAAAAGTGTACATACAAATGGCAGTCATGGAGGCGTTGTTCAGGTGGAAGACATAAGTTCGAATGCCGAAGCGCAATATACACTCTTTCGGCGCGGTGTCGCGTTCAGTGGTGGTTGTCTGGCGGAGCGTACTGTTCAGTCGTAATGAAAGGGTTAACGTCGATGTTGGGTGATTCCCTTTTTCTTACCGATTTATCGACCTTAGCTTAGATTTACGGGTTACCCTCATGTGCGACGAAACGTTGGCCGCCGTTTTTCGAGATCCACAAGGAGGACACGTCCTCGGGGTGGCTGCATCGTCCGACTCGGATGCGATAGACCGATATCGATTGATATCGCCCCCCCGAGTCGACCTTGCATGCTCGAGCGGCATCGGCACCTACGTCCGCCCGCCCAGGTAGGCATAAATAAACGGGATTCTCCACGGAGTGGAAGGGTTTGGGCTTTGTGCCCCGCCGCCTTGAAGCTTAATTAACCGTGTTCCTTTGACTTATCCGGGGCCGACGGCTCGCCTCGACCCGCCGCGCAAAGGCAGATGGAAATTCTTAAGATATTATTTCCACAATGGACGCCCGCGACCCTCGTCTCGCGCCCGAACCTCCTAGGATCTCGCTTTGTGGCGCTTTGTGGTACCCGAGGCACTCGGGCTCGATTTTCCTCGAGTCCTCCAAGAGGGAATTTAGCCAAGATCGGAGTAAATCCGCTCGCGTTTGCGTCACTTCCACCCTCTAATGGCACGGGCGAATCTCCTTTCGTCGGGTGACGGGGCTCGACTGACTTGTTTCTAGGCTTTAGGCAGGGTTTATTGCGGATAGTGATTGGGGGTGAGAAGCCTCGGTGTTTTTTCTTGCCTTCTTTTTTAGAGACAATTGGCTGGATAGTGCTTGAAATTCTGCCTTGCTGGTTCCTTGTTGGGAAGGAGCGAGGGTTGGGTTTCCCCTCGACCGGGTAGGGGTTGTACCCAGTGATATCGGTTACAGGTTTGGTAAAATTGGTTGCACCCGCGGATAGTGGTAGAGGGGGAGGAGAGTTTGCGATTTCCTTTTGACTTTTAAGGAGGAATAATCGGCTGGGCAGGGCACGAGGTTTTGCTTTTTCGACGGTCTGTTAGGCAGGATCAGAGATTGAACTGCGTCTTCAACTATTAGGGACCATGAAGATTCGTTTGCAGGTCTTGTAAAGTTAATCGCGTCAAGTGATAGAGACGGAGCATGAGAAACGTTTAGGCCCCTTCTTGAATTTTTTGGAAGTAACGATCGATAGGACGGCGGATGGGATTTTCCTCCGTTCCTTATCAGATACGAGCAAATAATTTAACTTTATTTCAACGTTACGAGGATCGCGGTAGTATCTATTTTTCGATCTACTTCACTTTGCCTGGGGACGAAAGAGTAACATCTGTGGAGAAATCCAGAAATTCATTCTCCGTTCTTACTTTCGAATCACAATTTCATCTCGTTGAAACCACGCGGAACCGGTGATAACGGTGTCACCGGTAATGATAACGCTGAGTGCCGAGATACTCGAAACCGCAGTAATTCGAGGCGGGACGCTTTTTACGTAGTTTTGAATTACAGGCCGACGTTCCTCGGAGAGTTGCTCCCGGTGAGCATCGGAGAACGTCATTAAAATACCGAACGAAAGTGGATAGGTGGAGGAAGCATTGCATCCGGAGATCAGATTTCGTTCGTGCAGTCTTACGTGTAGAGAGCATCGATAAGATATTTCATTTCATATCTTCCTTTCCTCTCGGGGTTCCTGCCACCCTAAACCTCTCCTAATGGTGTCTTAGAAATTCTAGAGAAATTCACCGAGGAAGGTGCATCGAATCGCCTCGAGTGGGTTGAGGTCAATTCAGAGATATTGCCTCTCCCAATTTATAGATTTTCTGCACGGAGATGAAAAAGGCAGGGAAATATATATGCAATACGGTTTGGAAGCTGGATGTAAAAACGATTCCAGGCACAGATTTCCCATTATTTGGAAGGATGTCCCCACATCGGTACCGGTATTTTCAAATTGCTTCTATTCATTTCAACCTTATCATTTTTTTTTTTAGAACCGAGGGTATTAATTGCATGCATTACGTACGTATAAAATGTCTTAGGAAATCAAGATGTCTCTAACTCAAGCCATTTTTCCTATCATTCTAGTTAAACTTGCGTAGACACAAGAGTTCGATTTTGTAAAACACAGCAACCTAAATAACTTGTAAAGACAACCCTTGTGTTTAAAGGAAGACAACTGCTTGAGATTCTGGATTCACTGAGAATCCTTCACCTAAATTCATGATTCACTCTTAATGAAAACCTCACGTTTAGATTGTAGGAATACAAAAACTCTTACAAGGGTCTCGTGTAAGGGATAAGTCATTCTCCTAATAGAAATCTTTCCCCCGTACCCCCCAGGATTCGAAGTGATCGTGATAGGGCCATTATCGCGCCTGATCCAACTCATGGGGTGGGGCGGTCTTCGGGGTAAGGTGGGACGTCTAAATCCCGGGTAACCAACTCTTAGACCGGATTTCGGTGTCTTGGAGTGCTCACCTGGAAGATGGTGACCTTCTTAAGCACCGAGAGATTGACGTGGAGGGCCAGCTCGGTCTTGAGCTTATCGGGGAGCAGCCCTAGGGCGGTGTTGATGTCCCCGCCGCCCTGGATTCTGCCCCTGGACCAGCTGTAATCGTACCACCTGAGCACCCTGCGTTTCATGCCCCCTGGGACCTTGTGATGCCTCATGTATGTCTTGGCCCCGTCCAGGAGTCTCTCGAACTCGAGCCGATTGGCGTTCCTATTGGTGATGACGTTGCCGACTTGGCCGACGATCGTCGCGAAGATGAAGACCCCGATGAGGTAGCTCACTATCGTGAAGACGTATCTGCGAATCAACGGTAGAAGAGAGCTATCAGTCTTCGGGGTGTCAGTCTTTCCCTGCGATTGGACGAGCGGCCCCCGCCGGAGCCTTCCTCCTTTCTCTTTCTCTTTTTCTCTCTTCCTCTCTTTCCTTTTAATGCTTCCTCTCGACTTTCCTCTTCCTCTCTTTCCCGTTCACTCTCTCTCTTTCGCTCTCTCTTTCTCTCTCTCGCTCACTCCCAAAATTGGACCGTTCGTATTCCGAATTGAATTTCTCGTATCTCGCTAATTCCCATCTTCCACCTCTTGGTCTCTCCCCCGCTCGATCCGTTCGGGGCTCCCATCATTTTTTACTCGATATACTCGAATTAATTAGTCTCATTTGGGCTTTTCGTCGGGTCTGTGCCCGTTATTCTTTAGCGTTATGTTAGGTTTTTGAGCCTTCCCCCCTTTCCCGGTAAACTGTCCCAAATTGTTCTTGTTCTTTCCATGGCTGACGAGGGCGTTCGATTATTTCCAACCCTTTTGACGTGGTCGACACGTCGGTATCCCTAGTCCTCAACGATGAATCCGATGGCTCGAGTGTCCTTCGATATATTGCGTACGATAAGTGTCGGATCGGCGCTTTGTGAAAACGACGATTGGATTTTTGTAAAGAGGATTCGTCTCGTGTAGAAATTTCATGTATCGTCGGGACCGTTGTGTCCCTTGATTATATGAGTACAGAAGAAACGACTTTCGAAAATGGTTATTCCGCGTAATACGTATTATTCGAAGTTGTACTATAACGTATGTAGCCTACATAATCAAGACCGGAGACATCCGAGAAAATTTAGTCAGCAATTATTTTATCGTCTCATAGCATATATTCATAATGTAAAATGTTGACCATGTTTTTAAACGATAAAAATCGATTTTATAAATTTGTACTTAAATACTTTATTTATTACTCGAATATTCCTTAGCTAAACCATTTTGTATCCCAGAACGAACACGCGGTAAGGAATTTCACTTATACAGCTTTTTTCCATTGCAACCTACCCTAGTAGCACAAAATATTTGTCCTATATTTTCTATATATTGAACGTATATCGTACATTTTGTAAATATTTAGCAGACATTTGAAATATTTGCCAAACGTTTACTTTAGAATATTATCTCTATAATATTTATATGAATATTAGCTCCATGTGTTTTCATAATATATTTCTACCAGATATACAAAACATTTCGTTTCATTTTAATACAAGTATCTTTTAAATATCATCTGCCGAATACATTATAAACGTTTTAAAAATATTTAAAATTCAAATCACATGTTTTGCTCCCATAATGAAATAGCGGAACGAAAATATTAGACAAATTTCTCGTGTTTCTTGATACCAAATGAAGTGTCCAATAATAGTCGTGAAGTAAAAAATGTATTTTTATTATGTTACTAAGTTAAAAAATATTTCCCTATATGTTTATAAATTATTGAAACTAAATATATCATTGAGATTTTCAACAAATATTTCAAATATCTTCGAATTAAATCTACAAGAAATCTTAAAAAATCTGTCGCTTGAGATATTTAGCAAAGATTACAAAGAAATATTTAGAAATTATTCTATGCTACTAGGGTATATATCGTTTCAGAGAAAAGAGCGAAACTCGATAGTTTTACGTAGTTTGAAAATCCCGTAAAGAACACAGTGGTTCATATCCGGTAACAATTGCAATAAAAGTTTTTACCCATCCGCTCGGCCCCAGTTGATATCGAAACTCACACGGATTCCTGATAACTCGCAGGTGACGTATATAACCCATCATATTTGAAATCAGAGATAGCGAGGCACTAATTGCCTTTGGGATTTAGTCCTCTAATCCCTTGATCATTTATTAACGAATCGTGCGTACTCTCTCGAGAAATCATTACCACTACACCCACGACAGCTTATTAGATTACGGTATTTCTGGAACGGATGCGTGGTAGTGAATATTCGAACCAGTATTTCTAAATCAATAATGTTTCGTAGGCAGAATTGGACGAATCATTTGTCAATAAACTCTCGTGGTAGTATTTGAGGCATTTAAGCTCATTTATCGATACGCGCTCGGTGCAACAGAGCGTTTACCTTAATCCCTAAAGTAATTACCGGCTGTACCCATCTCGATCGATTGTACTCTGGGACTAATTATTTATCCGTTTATTTTATTTTATTATTATTATTTTCTTTTATACAGACATATCCATGGAGCGTAAGTCCGGGTTTCGTAATTCAAATTGTCAGGATCTTCGCAATTACCTTACTCGTTACTCTTAATAATCGTCGTTTCCCTTCCGCGGTCGGGCATCTTATCAAGGGAAACTCGTCGGCCGAATTAATTTTCCGCTTTTCCTTATGAAATCCGTCTTTTTCGTTGATACTTGGATTTTTTTTATTTCGAAGAAGACGCTTTCGCTGGAAATAAGGAATTCCGAATCGGGGGCCGTAATTACACCAACGAGGGACTCGGGTTTATCTTCCCGCTAGGATTTGCGAAGAAAAATGAAAATGTCGCACCGACAGTGTCCCTCGATTTTTCGTATTCGTTTAATTCCCGTAATGCTTATCTATTTTCCTGTGTTTGCAGATTGCGCAGGTCCAGGTGACGTTATTACCATTAATCACGGCGAGGGTAAACCTTTTGCCGGATTTGTTACAGGATCCGCGTTAATATTCTGCGCTTTACATCGAGAACAGTGCATATTTATTCGAATATTAATGCCGTGGGGCGGTTGTATACGTAATCATATAATAAAACATTCCTTCGGTCTGCTTCCACTACCTCCCGTAATTCCTCCTCCGTTTGGCTACATCGGAACGAGTTTAAATTAACTGTTAAGTGGTTAAAAGGGATTTCACTTTCGTTCACAAGTTTGAAAATTTAGTTGCAATTGAATGGAATATTCATGCAGCCCACTAACCCGAGTAGCATAGAATAATTTCTAAATATCTGTTTGTAATCTTCGCTGAATATCTCAAGCGACAGATTTTTTAAGATTTCTTGTAGATTTCATTCGAAGGTATCTGAAATATTTGTTGAAAATCTCAATGACATATTTAGTTTCAGTCATTTATAAACATATATAGAGATTATATATTTTAATTTAGGAACATATAATAAAAATATATTTTTTACTTCGCGATTATTATCGGACACTTCATTTGGTATAAAAGAACACGACAAATTTTTGTAATATTTTCGTGCCGCTATTTCATTATGGGAGCAAACGTGTGATTTTGATTTTAAATCTTTTTAAAACGTTTATAATGTATTCGGTAAATAATATTTAAAAAATATTTATATTAAAATGAAACGGAACGTTTTGTATATCTGTTTGAAAAATATTATGAAAACACGTGGAGCTAATATTATATAAATATTATAGGGATAATGTTCTAAAGTAAATGTTTTGCAAATATTTCAAATGTCTGCTAAATATTTACAAAATGTACGATATTTGTTAGATATATAAAAAAAATAGGACAAATATTTAGTGCTACTAGGGAAATGGGTTTCCTTCCATGTGATTTGTGAGATAGTTATTGATTGTATTTTAATACTTTTTCATATTTCAGTTTTTTGCAGGAAAATTTGTCGTAATGATCATCGTAAACTTCAATCGAATTTAATCGAAAACCATTCGAATTTGTACCTCTTTAAAATAATTTCATTGCTACGTAGTTTCTAAACGTTCGTAAAAATTCACTGTTTAATCAAAGTGGACCAGAATTCAAAATAATACAAAATAAAAACCTCCATTGAAGCCGGTATTTTTTAAGAGGAATTATGGTGAAGCTCAATTTTATATTGTCTTTGTTCGAAAAAAATATTTAATAATCATTTTTACAGATCCAACTGACTGGTTTGAAATACGTTTAGCACATTGATATGATTTCCATGTACCCAAAGTCTGTACCAAATCAATATTCTCGAGGGATAATGACTTTTCTACTCCTATGCTTTGGTGAGGTGTTTCTTCTGTATTTCCCCCCTCGACTCTTGGGGTTTCCGTGATGACCACCGAAAAAAACTCCGCAGTTTTTCCTGGCAAGCATAATTAATGCTTCCTTCGTTTTAAATCCTACCCGTGGCTCTTGGAATAATACAAAATTCTAAAGGGAGATAAATTGTTCGCAACGCGATCCACCTTAGATTGAAAAAACTAATTTTCCAGGCAGCTCGCTTCGTCTTATTAACTTGACACCGTTGGACGTCATTACCCTAGTAGCACAAAATATATGTCCTATGTTTTCTATATATTTAATGAATATCGTACATTTTGTAAATATTTAGCAGATATTTGAAATATTTGCAAAACGTTTACTTTAAAATATTGCCTCTATAATATTTATATAATATTAGCTCATGTGTTTTCATAATATATTTCTACTACGTATTATATTAATAAGTTAAAAAATATTTCTTTATATGTTTATAAATTATTGATACTAAATCTGTCGCTTGAGATATTTAGCAAAGATTACAAAGAAATATTTCGAAATTATTCTATGCTACTAGGGTATTAGCGTTTTAAGCGGAATTGTAAAAACCGAGAGTTTGCTCTATCTATTAGAAAGATTCATATGAACATTATTGTGAACTTCTCGGAGGTGGCTCGATTATATTCTATCCTCGAGTATGATATAATTAGGGAACGGAAATGGTTTCCTTGCAATTAATCCGATTGTGTTTCGCGATACGAATATTATTATTAAGTTAAGTTTGACTGCTATCTCTGTCACTAGACTGGCTCCGGCTTTCCATTTGAACGGGATGTTGTCAAAGCGAATTTCATTTCAGAGAAACACGGTGATTACTTGCCCAAAGGTTATATTATGCAGTCAGAGTTTAGAATTGTATGAAATTAAAAGTTAACCTGTATTAATATTTCAAGATCAGCGTTGCATTGATATTTTACGCAATAGATTTATTACTGTAACTTGGAATGATCCAGGCCAAATTTTTTGTACCTACGGTATATTGGTCATATAAATA